TCTATTCAGGAAGACTAGATTCTAAATTTCAAGGTTAGTTTAAATAAAGAGATAGAAATAATATTATAGTTATGAGTTACCTATACAAATTTAACAATGTACATATATTTTTATCAAATAGTGATGCCTTGGTAGATGTGGATTCTTCACATAAAGAATCTTTATGAAATCTGATTGTTAGTCATAGGATTATGAAATCAATAAATATAACTCATCTGATATCACCATGAACACAATATTTGATGCAAATTCATGACATGTAAATGACTATCAATATTTAATAAATAAATTGTCACATGTAATATCAAAATAAAGGACATCAACAAAATATGATTTCACTAGATATTCGAATATTGAGAAATCGTATAAGTGATATCACCTTATCAAATAAATATTATATTCAATTGATATAACATTTAGTGAATACAAAATTTTATTCAACAAAAGGATATTTCTCTTGGGGGAAACATATTTTGTAAGGATAATGGTAGAGAACAAGAAGTCAAAAATCCTTTTCTACTAATCTCACCTTTAGAAATTTTTATGCCTTTGAGTGCGATCTTGGAGAAACCTAATCAATCTCCTATAATCAAAGAAAACCAATATTTATAGCTCTTAAGAAAGAAAAAGGAAAGTATTTTAGGAATTTAAGGCATCATATTTGTTAATTATGGCATTTAAACACATATCTCATTTTTATAGAGTATTTAGTATGTCTCTTAATATTATATCAATCCCATCAAACGTTTCCAAGATATTATCCCATGAGTAATGGAAACTTGTCATGATGAGGAGATGAAGATACTAGAGAATAATCAAGCATGGAAACTTATGTTTTGCTAAAGTCATTTTCTACCAAATACAATTAATTTGAGAGATTTATAAAATAAATTTTAAGATATTTACATTAAGTATTTAGTGGAATTAGATAATTTCCAAAATGACGATCACATAATAGGGTGATTGATTGCTCTACATTGTAAATTGATTATGTTGGATTTGGTATGACTAAGTGAAGTACTAAGAGGGGTGAATTAATTTTTCATATTTTTTCTAACTGTGTAAATATATCAACATAAGTTCTAACACAATATATGAACTCTATATGCAACTCAACCTAAGACTTTTATCATTGTCACATGGTTGCTTTGATTTATCTCTCCCTCACTTTTAATAATGATGGACATAAAAAATTACATTGATTAATCCTTTCCTTGTGATCTCATTCAATCATTATATCATAAATTATGTAAATTTAAAATTTATAAAATTAGAAACTATCAATTTATAAATTTTAAGAAATATTTGATAAAAAGCTCCAAAAATATCAAAAAAAATCATATTGGTGAAGATGTAAGATAATATCAAGTAAATTTTAAGAATTTTCCTCAACGAATATGACTTTGTATGATTTGTAAACTAAATGATGAAGAAAAAATCTATTTAAAAATATACGAGAAAATAAAATTCAAGTGTTGTCATTAGGATGACATCAATGCTTCGACGAATGTGATTCAAATGAAAATAGAGTTTCGTTTAGTGATTTGTGTGTAAACTATTACAAATAATTTAATTAACCAAATTAAGATGTGTAAAATTCAAAAGAAATAATTTATTAAGTAAGACTTTCAAAACTTTAAATCACACAAAATTTCACTATTTAAAATAATAATTAAGCTTTAAATATAAAAAATAGAGCTCTAGCATCACAACAACGATTGCTAAAATTCTTGGCATTCAAGAAGTTTTTTAAATGATATCCACAACCCCAAAAGTTCTCCTTGGGCATTTATGACATGGGTAATATTTGGATCCTCTTGTGAAATCTAAATATTTATGAGGCGAGTTGACGAATCATATTCGATGTCAATCACCTGGTAAAGTAGAAATTTAGTGGTGTTCAAATCTCGAACATGATTCACCTAATAAAGATGAGTTGAATGAAGGTGAGATATGTCTCAAGGAGCTTCTTTCTTAAATCTATATAGTAGGAGGAGCCTATTTATTGTATTTGATATGTTCTATAGAAGCGACTACATGTCTCTTGATGGATCATCTTCTTCTCAAAGATGGCACGATTGTTGATCAACTAAAGCTGATTTTTTTAAAGAATCTATGATTTTTATATTCAAAATCTTTGGTTAGCTACTAATGATGATTAATGAATAGTGTTAATAAAATTTTCATTGATGATTGAATGATTCTGATGGCTTGATCATTGATTAGTATTTTATAGAATTTTTTTGATTTAATCAGATAAAAAATGTAAACTTAGGATGTGGTAAGATTCTAACCTTTGCTTAGCCACATAAGAGAAGGTTAACTATTTGCCAAAATACTGTTGAACAATGTCGTCATAATTTTATTTATTTCAACTTGTATGCATTGTCATTCGAGTCAATTGTTGGGTCTATATTGATCAATGTGTCCCCCCTTTCTCTTTTTTTCTATTTATTTTATTTTTCTTTATTTTTTTAAAAAAATATGAATTAAAAAATTATATAAATTCATATAAAATTATATAATTAGCTAAAAACTCACATTAGTTAGTTAAAACTCTTTTTCTCAATTTAACATAAAATATAATGAAGATTTATTGAGTTAAGGTATAAAATATATTGTTAACTAACTATTAACTAATAATAATGAATATTTATTACTTAAACTATATCCAATATTAGAGGATCCTCCTTTCAAATTTCTACTATTTATAATGAAATTACGATTGACTTCAAGGGATCAGCTCTCTCAACACAATGGTATAATTTCCATAGAGATCCCACCCCTCAAAGGTAGTTCCTAACTCACAACATCACATACTTAGGCCTAAGTACACTTCTCCTTAGAGAACAACACCCTCATAGGTAAATTTGACTTTGAGCACCTCATGCCTTAGCCTTACCTTTTATTTGTCCACCACCCATATTATATTAAGACTTTATAAAAAAACACAGCTTTTAGTGCAGTGGACGGATTTGTATGTTGATGTAGATGATAAAAAATGATGACGCTTTAATTCATTCTTTAAAGTATGTAGTTGTTTTCATTTAGATGATTGAGTAGGATTACTTCTCTTACTTTTGTGACTAATATGAATAAATATTTCTCTATTCAACATAATTTTATTTGTTCCCAACTCCCTCTACTTATACTTCAACATATGAAAGCACTCATATTATTTCGAATATCTTCTTATTGCTTCACAAATATTTTAGTGACTTTTAGCTACTTTTTACTTCTAAACTATTTACCCTAGTGATAGTTGTTTTTGATATATTGTATGAAGATTCATACTTTATTGATGATATTTTTTTGTTTCAAGGTTTTCCTTAGAGGAGATTGTTTGTCTTGTCTTTTATCTACGCCTTCTACTAATGAGTTATCGTCTAAAATCTAGGCTTCTAACTAGCAAAAATACTTGTTTTCAAGTCTTCGTACTCGTAGAAATTCAATTGATTAGTGAAAATACTTATTTTCAAGATCAAGTTATGATATTTTCATTGAGCCTATCATTTACTCCACGTACTATGATAATATGTTACCATCTAAACTATGAGAGGCTGACCTTAAGTCTTAATTTGCTTCAAAACATATAGGTCTCTTACAACTAGTCTTTGAGGTTTCTATCTAGAGATATGTGCAACTTTCATATTAATCTTTCATTTAATATCAGTTTGAAGCTTGGTTGTTTAGGTTCCTTCATGATTGCTGCATCATCTAGAATTTACTAAATGGAGTTGCTCTTGAATTTTCTTGAACGATTTGTCCTAGCACATCATCGATGGTCTTGACGAATCTTCAGACTGAAGACTTCATGCACAATGGTGCAACACCCACATGTGCCAGCACAACACATGTGCTCTTAATCTAGACCCTCTTAAGAGATGTGACATCCTTGTTAAATGTTGCGAGTGGTGATAGTCTTATTTCAGCTCTTCAAATTGCTAGAGATCTAACGACATCTCAACTAGAGTGATGATAGATTCAAGGGAGAGGACAACTAGTTCAAGTTAGTTGATGTCACCACGCCTTCTAGTTCACCCAATCTTCTAGATCCAAGAATGCTACTCCACCTTGTCATCAAAAGTTGAAACATTTCTTTGACATGGATGTGGCTCAATCAAAACAAGATATATTTATTTCTCAACAAAAATATGTTATTGACTTTCTAAAGGATACTAAAAAATTCAATTATAAACTTATAGGTACCCATATATTTTGAATCATAAATTCAAAAATACATAATAAATTAGACTTTTAAATAAATTGATGAATCAATATCTTGTGTGAAAGGTAATTAACTCTTTTCACACTAGACCAAACATGGTGTAGTAAATAAGAGTTCTTAATTGATTTATGCTTTTAAATCATAGTCCTGAAATGATTTATACTTAGGCTAAGTTCGTTCTAAACTAAGCCTAAGTAAACATAGTCCCGAAATGATGATGTAAAAGTAAATATGTGACTGCAAATATAAGAACATTACGCTGGTTGAGGGTTTGTGGTGAATCAGACGTCCTAATGACCTCAGCACACACCCTTGCAGGGCTTCCGTCGCCTCCCAAACCCTTTTTGACAGGGGATTGAGAGAGCAGCATCACAGGGTTCGTCTCTTGATGGCTAAGGAAAGCTCAAAGGCTCTAGAGGGACCGTTCCCACACTTCCTGAGCCGTCCGGGGCGGAGAGAATCACGTCTTCCCTCCTTTCCAAGGCAGCTAAACCTTCTTCCCCTCAGATGGGCTCCGCCAACTGCGCCATGAATCAGATGGGTCATCCCTTCCCCCCCACCGATCTTTAAAGTTTATCCTGGGGTCTTTAGGTGATCCGGCGATGGCGAAAGCGGCCAGAGTCGTTCACTTTTGGAGCCCGCCACCTCTTTTAAAGGAGGGATTCTACGTTCTTTGAACCGCTTCGGCGACTAGGTAGCTGAGAGCTTACCTGCCATGGCGAACAAAGTATGGGTCTTCACCAGTCTCCTCCTCGTCGAGTGCCATCTAGGTATGCTGTCTTTCTCCTCCGGAAGGGCCACGCCCTCGCCGCCGGCCACCTCCTCTGGCCGCCGCCCGCTTGAGAGGCACAGGAAAGCGGAGTCTATCGTGCCCTTACAAACCCTAACTCCGCCGGAGGGGAACACCACGTTCATCGGCGGCACAACGTGGTGCGTGGCTCGGCCGGGAGCTGCTCAGGTGGCCGTGCAGGTGGCGCTGGACTGGGCGTGCGGGGACGGTGGCGGCGCCGACTGCTCGCCGGTGCAGCCCGGGGGAGCCTGCTTCGAGCCGGACTACCTCCTTTCTCACGCCTCCTACGTCTTCAACAGCTACTACCAGCAGAACGGCAACTCCGACGTCGCCTGCAACTTCGGCGGCACTGCCATCATGACCACCCTTGACCCCAGTGAGCTCCACATCCCACCTCTGTTCTCTCTCTCTCTCTCCCTCCCCCCTCTCGTTCTCTCTCTGGCTGCCAACACGACAACTGTGTAAAATGGCTTGCCCAACCAGTCAGATCATATTGAGCCGTCTGGTCAGTAGACCCAATTCCATCATACATGATCGATTTTTCTAATCTTCTTGCAGGCTACGGGTCGTGCAAGTTCCTGGCCTCGGGGTGAGTATCCGGCCCGCACAGATTTCATCGAACGGTTCTAATAGATTGACCCGAGAAATTCTAATTTTATTTATTAATCCAAAAACGAAAAAATGGCACAGGCCCGGATCTGGCACCCCGCCACCGCCATCTTTCCCAGTCGGAGCCTCGGCCTTCGGGATCCTCCTCTACGCTCTGATCCATTGATCTCGTCCGTTGATCAGCTGTTCCCTGGATCACGAGGACTTCATCACTGTCCGTCAGCACTTCGGTGGAAGGCTGAGATTCCATCATCATGCCCCCATTTCTCGCTTTTGTACGATCGAACACGAGACTAAAGTAAATTTTTATAGCCCGCTGGGTGTTCTCTTGATCACTCATTTCATGAGGGTTTTTTCGCTCTTTTCCTCGATCTTTGCAATGCCCGTGGTCGGTTGTCCACCTTTTAGCCCAATAGATTTTGTAATAGCTTACACTAGTTGACTAGCTTACATCGTAGTCAACTGGCTTACGTCATAGTCAACTAGTTTCACTATTTTAAAACCCTTAGTTCTTGGAAGCCTACCATCTTGGTGCAGCCACTTGGTTTGGTTCCTGTTCTTGCATAGAACACAGCTATGAGCTATCTGCTACAGAGATTTGCAGGGCAAGACGAGGGATTTTCTATCGAAATATAAGTAACCAGGGGAGTGGGGAGAGGAGGGTCAACGCTCCTCTAGTGCCATGATTATGGAACAAAGGAGAGGATTGCCGCCTGTTCATGAGTATATCTACCCTGCATAATCATGCTTTCCAGATACGGAACTCTCCTCCAGTTTTCTAATTTTTCTGACTCAGATTGCGGTGCTGCTGCTTCTTTTTTTTGGTTGATCTTTCTTATCCTAACCAGAAAGGAATCCAGATCCCATGATGCAGGGGAAAACACATCAGATGGAGCAAGAAGCGGAGGGGGATTAGATCCCGTTCAACAAGCAGGAGGGAGGCATTTACATCCACAGGACGATGAGAATTGAGAATTTCTGGAGCGGCAGGATCAGATTAAGAGCAAACACCTTACAATGCACCAATGTTCTTGAGACCGAGAACAATCCCGACGCCCAAGATGTGGCCGACGGTTCCGCAGGCCAGGGTGTCGGCCAGGGTGAAGCCGGCGGGGTCGCCGGTCTGAAGGCCGGAGTCCCTCACCTCCAGCTTCAGCCCGGCGGTGGCCTTCCGGTTGGCAGATGGAGCCAGTCCGAAGCGTCCGGCGAACAGCATCAGGCTCGTGGTGGTCACCATTATCTGAACAAATAGGGCAAACAAGAAAAATCAGTGATCCTCTTTGATTAGGGCAATATTTCCGCAGATCTGAGGCTTACGATGTTGGTCGATGAACCGATGAAGTCGCAGCGAGCTCCTAGGGCACCATTTCCGCGGCGCCTCACCGCCGGCAGCATCGCCTGCACAGCGCAAGGGATTAAAATACGCACCAGATCTGGATCTAAGAGTTCGCCGGCGAAAGGATCGGACAAGGAGCTCACCACAGATGGCTTGGACGATTTGAGGCCGGAGAACTGAGGGAGCGTGGTCACGGCCGGGCTGGAGCTGATCTTGGCGGCCATGGCGGTCGTCTTCCTTCCCTTCTGGCCTGCTCGGGGATGCCTGGTGATGGATGAAGAAGCTCTCGCCCACTCTCCTTCCTCCCCTCTCCTTTTGAAAGCAGGATTTCCGGCGGGGAGGATTTTGTGGCCTCCGACGCGAGGGAGGGATTCTGATTGCCAACGTGGCGGCCGTTGATTAGATATGTGTCTGGATAGGATTTACCTCCTGTGGTCTTCCGTTGAGATCCTCCGGATAAGCGGGCCCCACACCCTAAATGGGCTCACTGTCGTTCAAAGTAGGATGGTTCTCTGCAGGCCCACCAAGCGACCTCTCCGATTGGCGATTTATCTGGGTCGTTATTGGGTCTCACCCACTGTCAATTTTCTAGGCCCAATGTATTCCTCTGGCAACCCAAGTGCGCTGTTCAGGTATTTCTTTTTTTAATAAAAAAATAGATATTTTATGTTTTTACTCCTTTTTTTTAGTGGTTCTCCAGGCGGAGATCACATTAATATAATAAACTATAATTTATTAGTTTATAATTATCCTAATGTGATTAGTAGTATTCTCTTATAATTCAATGGTTTATTTTATTTTAAAAATTAAAATATTTAATAATAATAATAACCCAAACGTGAGAGATATATTTTGATTTTTTGTAGATGAACGATAATTTCCTAAAAAGGGATATTTTAAACAAATAGCCCAAAAGTGATATGGAGATATCTTGATTTTGTTTTCAGATGAATGATAATTTCCTAAAAAATGAATTTATGATAAAAAAAAACCCAAAAGTGATATGGAGATATCTTGAATTTTTTTTGATGAACGATAATTTCCTAAAAAAGAAACTAAGACACGAATGACGTGTCGGATTGGTGCCCGGAAAGCTAACGGGGAGTTATTCTCGGGTTTCAGATATCGATTCCGACTTGACTCGGTTGCATAATTCGGTTCCATAACGGATCTAGACCCTGTGGGTCTGGATCCACATAAATGCCATCGTGACACGGTTACGGAAAACGAGTCATCGAGTCCGGCGGCAGGGGCAGGCGGACTACCTCTCTTCCTTCTCTGCCGGTCTGCGATCTCCACCGAGGTGGATCTCCTCCCTTCTCCTCTCCTCCTCCGGCGGTCGTCGGTCTCCACTGGGGTGGATCTTCGTGCCTGTAACGGCCTCTGCCGGTTGACGTTCATCGCCAGGGTGTGTCTCCGCTGTCCCTGCCCCTTTGTTCTCGTCCGCTCGAGTGGATCTCCGCATTCACTATCCCATTTTCCGGTGAGTTCATCGTATGTATTCCCCTGATATTAATTGTATCTTTATTCCACAATTTATGTATGCTTCATGCTCCCGGATCGTGATGACGTCTTGTCATGTTGTTTTATGAAGGTAGAAAGTCGGTCCTTCCTGGATCAGATGTTGGATTTATCATGAATTTATCCATATAGACGTTTGGGGTCTTGGAGTTCCCGAAACTAGGGTGATAATTTCACAGGTTCAGATAGTTTGTGTGCCAATTAAAATCAGTTGTGCATATATTTGAGGCATCTTTTAATTATAATGTTTAATTTTCTACTTGTGCTTCATAAAATTGCGTGCGGGTGGGCCTTTTACCTGATCCCTTTTATATACGTACTCGTACTCCAAATGCAGATTCAATTACAGGGATCATTTATTTTCGTCATACTTAGGGGAAAACATTAATGAGCGCCGGTTAAGGGTGTTTTTTTCTCATCTTGCTATCGGCGTGAACTTGAGGAGTAGAGGACATGGACAATAGGGTGGAAACATAGAAAACTGTACCAGCAAGCCGCTAAGTTGACAGCGTAGGCTGCAGTAAAGGAAGTGGAGGCAAATTATATCCGGAGCATTTGAAGAATTATGAGGGGATTGGTTTGTTTAAGGAGATATAGAGCCAGAAACCTGGTCTTGACGGGAATGAACTAGTAGTATGTACAGGAATCTCTATCATTGCTGATGCAAGAGGTTCTAGTCTCAGGGCTTTCCACAGGGGAGAATTTTTTTTCCTATCTTCTGCTATACTTAGTGCAGGCTACGACCTTATCTTCTTAGCTATTATGTAGTGAATATAAATAACCCTGATCCTTGTCCAATTCACAGTTTACCCGAGAAAGCCGCTGTGTTCCTAAAACATTACGAAATGATTGGCATACGTCATCATGGCACTAAGTGGTTAAACAGGAATGGCATGTGTAAGAATGATAGTAATTTACAATGTGAATAACGATCAACCCGCTTGCTACAGGCAAAACATGATTAAACCCCAAGCACTATGCGGTCTGTTACGTCTTATAATTTAACATTTTATTGCGGTACCTCTGAGTTTAATACGAGATAAAGATACTGCTAACACCTGATGCCATTGAAACATTGTGTCCGTATTTTCTGGCTTCACCTACAAATTAATTCATCATTTGTACGGTGTCTATATGCATATACGAAAAAGAATCGTATTAGGCCTCTTACTTTTGCCCAATGTATTTCTGAAACTGATATGTTTAGAAGTTGATTTTTTTTTAATCCACAAGCACTTATAATTAAGTATATCCCTTCGCCCCTTGGTTTAGGATGATATGTGAACCTTTCCGTCATTACTAAATGCCAAGGTTAAATTTCGGTATACACTGTGTTGGTAATATCATAGTGACGCAGCTTGCTGGTCCGTCGTTATCATGGAAACATAGTAAATAAGGGTTTCTTTCGTTTACCATAAAGAAATTGAGCTTTAAAAGGGGTACACCATGAAATTTTATTTCTTAATTTACTACCATTTATTTGATTTTGTTTAGTGTACCTGGACCTTGATGCCACAGAACATCCAAAGTGTAGTTCTAATTCTCTGTCTAGCTACTTTGCAAGTGGAGCTCACTGTTTTGTTTGTAACATGCAAAACTATTGACTGTTGCATTTTTATTTTTTTTATTTGGTCCCTGGGCTGTTAAAATTGCATTCTTTTCAGTACTGTGACATTGTTGAGAATGTCTAAAGCCTGATTTTTCTCCCCTTTTCTCTGGTTAAGTTTTTTGAAATTTGCAGATATAGGATCTAAGTAAAGCTACTTTTGTAAATATACAAGTGAAAATTCATTCAAAAGGTCTTTAAATCCAGTTTAGTTTATTGTTTTTAAATGTATCCTCCGAAAAGGAAAGATGTTTTAATTTCCCCTCTTTATGAACCATATTTATATATTCCTGCTTAGTATCAGTGACCTATTTTATAACCTTGTTTGTTTTTTCCTGATGATTGGGCAGATAATATTAGAAATACTTCTCCCTCTGAGGATAATACGATGGTCAAGCTGACAATGATCGCTCGTGTCACTGATGGCCTTCCATTGGCTGAAGGATTAGATGATAGCCGTGACCAGAAGGATGCTGACTTATATAAGCAGCAAGCTAAGCTTTTGTTCAAGAATCTGTCAAAAGGGCATAATGAAGCCTCAAGAATGTCTATTGAGACTGGCTCTTACTTCTTTCAGTATCCTTTAAATTTCGCATTCGTCATAAACCAACTGTTGTTAAATTTATTTTCATGTAAGCTACTCATATAAACACACACACACATCTATGTATAAACTTTTCCCGAGTTTTGTAGCATAATCCTCATGGTTCGGACTGTTTCTTAATCGGTGCAAAAAGTGAGGAATCTGTTCATGAATATGCAAACTAAGTTTTCACACGTGTCACAAAATGATGAAAGGGTTTGTCATTCATTTTGAAGTTTTTTCGATAAATTATTGCAAACCGGTGCCTAAGCATATGCCAAGACTAATCTCTACACCAAAAATAAGGTTTTTATTGTGAATATAAGGACTTTGAGTACTCTTTGGTTCATATAATGAGTATTTTGATCTAATATATTGATCCTGAGATTTTTCACCCCCACTGCCTTGACATAATTTTTTAGTTACATCATCGAAGGACGTGTCTGCTATTTAACACTCTGTGATCGCTCTTATCCAAAGAAGCTTGCTTTTCAATATCTAGAAGACCTTAAAAATGAATTCGAGAGGGTCAACGGGAACCAGATTGAAACTGCTGCAAGACCCTATGCGTTCATAAAATTTGGTATGCTACGATATCTGTTTCTTGGTTGTTATTTTTCCAATATTTTATTCATATTCCTTATTTTTGTCTGTTTTGGTTATTCTAAAGATACATTCATACAGAAGACCAAGAAATTGTACTCCGACACACATACTCAACGTAATATTGCAAAATTGAATGACGAACTGTACGAAGTTCATCAGATAATGACCCGTAATGTTCAAGAAGTTCTGGGTGTTGGTGAAAAGCTTGATCGTAAGTATTCATATCCATGCTCTTTTGACTTTAATTCAGTCTTTCGTGTTTCATATGGTTGATTATTTTCTCCAATGATTGAATTTTTGTTCTTATTATTAAATTCCTTGCTAGATATGAAGAAGTTAGTTGGTACGTTTTCAAATAGAGGGTTGGTGTGGAGTTTATTATAAGAAACCTTCAAAAGATTTATAGTTTATTTATTATGGCCGTGCAACCACTGTCTCCTTCAAGTGTAAGGTCTCTAAAACGGGAGGCTCAGTAATGAAGGTAATGCCAGTAAGTGTAGAAAAGACTATATAAGGTTTACAAAGGTGTTTACTTTGTTGTGCCTTTGGTTATACATAAAATCCAGGCTTCATTTTAGTGTTTTGGAAAGAGAATGACCAATTAAATTACAGACGTAGATAAACTAGAAGCTAGATATTTAAGGGAAGAACAATCGAGCTAAAGCTGTGCTTTTGCTTTCGAAATGAATGTGGAAGTCTCAGAAACTGCCTAGCTACAGAGAGAATGTGAATGAAATGTGAATGTAATTGAATCTAGTGCTACTAGTGTACCTCGCCTATTTTGAGATAGGTCATCATAACTGATGTAACAATTAATGCTGCTAGAAAAGGGGACCAAATGAGTTATTAGTAAATGTCGTAGATGCCGCAGTTGTGTTTCCCACGAATGTGATCCGCTGAAGTGTAATCTAATGAAGGAAATTCAAGAAAAAGTAGTATGAACTGTCCTACACACTTACTCTTCAAAGAAAAGCGAATGGTGTCGAAATGTTGCAGTTTTCCGTTTGGGAAAGATGGGAACACCATCATTTTATTAGAATCGGCCTTGTACTTTTTCGAAGAAATGAAGTAGAAAGACGGAAAAAATTGCAAGCATGTCAGGTGCCGCAATTCATTTCAGAATTAGTCCTGTGAGGCAATATTTACTGTTCTTGAGCCATTTCCCTAAATATATTTCTCATGACACTACCGGATGAACTCCTGAAAAATGTCAGATATAATTTCTGAACAGAAATCTGTCAAAATTTGCACATTTAACCACATCCATGAATTAAATTCTCTTACATGTTTATCTTTAACCCTCTACTAATCAGAAAGGCACAGTATATTACTCCAAGCTCATAAAGTTTACTCTTTTTTTGGGGGGGGACATTGTTGCACGGCCAGTTTGTAATTCATTTTGGGATTTGTCAATTTTTAAAGATAAAAATCTGTCGCTCTTCTGTGTCCTTTCTATCCAAATCAGGCCTCTAGTCTCCCTATCCTCGGCTAATTTTGCATGTTGAAACTTAACTTTGATTGTATTTTTGTATGATGACCAAATTCATACCTCCTACCTTTCTATTTTGATTATTTCCATGCAAGACGTGCGACTATTGATTACAGAACGCCCTCAAAGACCTTTTTTATCATTTTCTGAAGGGCTTGTAGCATCTCTGCTAGTTAGAAGAGCTCATGGTACGAAACATGTATTAAAGCATAAATGTTGCCTGTGAACCTGACAACTGAGATGGTTTGGATTGCATAGCTCTAACTTGTATGAGTCAAACAAACCTAACTTTGATGCTTCAGCGGTGCATCATATTCCTAAATGTGAGATCTTCATGATTATTCATCCACAGTGGCTACTAAGTGGCCTTGGGTATTCAAATCATTGATTTTGCCTTCGGACAGAGACGAAACATATTCATATGAGAATATGAACATTAGTCGCCCTCCTCCTCCTCCTCCTCACCTGTTTATATAGGGAGAGGAGAGTAGGCATTTACACCATACGACCTGATGTGGGATGGCCTAATGGACCCATGAGACTTAAATGACTGTCTAATACATGAAGATAGTGGGCCGTTTGCATCCGTATTATAATAGACCATCCTGTTAGTTTTTTCACTTACTGAATTCTTTCCATAGAAACGATGGGTGAAATCCCTCATTACTTGACACGACCACAATGAATGAATCCGAGGAATTTACATACGAGCATAGACGCGCATGTCTTTTTGGTACATGGTTTTGGTGTCGAATTCAAAGTTCAATTTGATGCCAGAATTGGATAATTATTGTATGAAGAAATTGTAGGCCTGAATTGTGACATTGACGGCTTGAATTCCTTGGGTTAGCAGTAATTCCTTGTATTCTGAATAACTTTACAACGTTCTCTTGCTGTTTTGGTACAGAGGTGAGTGAAATGTCAAGCCGATTGACATCGGAATCCCGAGTCTATGCCGAGAAAGCGAAAGATCTCAACCGACAGGTGGGCCCAGTATCCAATATTATTACCTTATTTCTTCATGCTTTTTTTTTTTTTTTTTCATGAAGCAGATTGCCATCTTTAGCAATTAGGCTTTGACCTTGCACAATGACCTAGCTTCATTTGAACAATAATAATAATAATAAAAGTATTATTATTATTATTATTATTATTAATTCGTGCCGTTCCCTCATCCTCTTCCTTCGAGTTTTCCTCACAGATCGCTGATCGTTGTCGCAGGCTCTTATCCGGAAGTGGGCCCCTGTGGCCATTGTGCTTGGGATAGTCTTCCTCCTCTTCTGGGTGAGGCGCAGAATCTGGTGATCCTAAGCGAGCCCAAGGGCCAGCTTTTTTGCATCTACCGGTCCCCGGTGGTCTCCGGCAGAGCCGCCGCTGCCGGTCTGATCACCGATGGGCCTTCTCTCTGACCCCTTCCATGATGAGCATTGTGATCGCAGAAATCTCATGGCCCCTATTTTTCATATTACATATATCTAAAAATGAGGACAATTTGACTTTTTTTAAGGCTAGTGTACTGGTCTATTTTGATCCTATCGATATTATTCCTTGATTAAGTGGCGCTCGGTGATTGCTCCTCTGACTTTTATTTTCATTTTTAATCAACTAGATGAGTTGAGAACATGGACCGTGTTCTTCCGACATGAGAAAGTCAACGTCAGCAAACGTAGGTCTTGATGTTACTATTATGGGTTTAACACTGTAATGATGTATGTCAACGCATTGCATTGACTAATTACCTTCCCCCCAGTTCAAGCTTTCTAAACGCCGACATTAAAGCTCCCTCTCTCTCTCTCTCTAATCATCTCTCCATTTATACTGAATGCATGCTGTCGAAACGGATTGTCCGAAACGGACGACTTCCTTGTCGTAACCGCGGGATTCTAGTTGTCACGCAACTGTTCTCGGTTTTCACTGCTATTTCGGGAAACCCATGACATCCGTACGGCTCAAACAAGGGCTCGGCTTGACCCGAGCCGCCGGCGCCTTTGTCAACCCTGGGGATCCAACGGCGTTGAATCATCCGCTCCCAGAGTGGATCAACTGATCGAATCCTGACCGTCAGTCCAATATGATCTTCGACGGGGCCGTCGTTTTCTCTGAGCTGTGTTTGTCGGGTCAACAAGCGGGGCATTTCCAGAATTTAATTTGACCCACCAGAACGAATAAATTCCGGGCCTGACACATTGACCCCATGTGGAGGGAGGAAATGCCAGGCCCCACCGCCACTACTGTTGACTGCCAGAGTCTTTCCCCACAATAAATGAGCTGAAATCAATTCTTCGGGCGCGGTTGCTCTGCCAAATCTTCTGGTAGTTAAATGCCATTGGCTAGTGCATTCCAGAGGGTGAGCTGCAATCAAGCCCACGCCTACCCCTCCTCTCTCTCTCTCTCTCTCTCTCTCTCTCCTACCCCCCCTGGTATTTCGGGTCCTTGTCGTCGTCGTCTTCTTTCTCGGTCTACCGGGGTCGCAACTCGTGAGTTTCTCCAAGACAGGGGAAACGACAGAATAGAAGCTGATTCCTCTGGAGGGTGTTTTGTTCCATTCCTTTTCGAGTTGTTCTTCCCCCGGGGGTGAGAAAATCCGGCCTCGGGTCTTCTCTGGTTTCCGTGTGGCTCCCGGCAGTGGTGCTGGCTTGTTGCCGGTGGGGCAATCCGGCTCTTGCGATCGCCCGTTCCTGTGGAGTGTGGGCTGTCGGAGGGGGATGTCTGGGTTTCTGCTACCATAATTTTTGGGGGCGACTGCAGGGGAAGGGGTTTCAAGGTTGGGATTTTGAGGGGGTTTCCCGGAAAAGAAATGTCCCAAGGTCTGATGGTGTTCTGGTCTGGGGGGACTTTATGTGGCTGACTGAGTTGGGTTGGTGGTGAGGGCTTCTAGGCCCCGACTGAGAGTTGTGTAGGAGGCAGGAGACAGCCTTTCCGGGTCTTCTAGCCCCGGCATTTGGCGTTCGTCTGACAGATTTTATATGAGGAATTGACCCTGATCTTTGTCTGCGATTTCTTCCTCTCTGTTGCTCTCCCTGTGATCTTGTTCATCTCCATCTGCGACGGTAAACGCTTGTGTTGATGGCTTGTTTGAAGGTCGGTTCAAAAACTGATTTTTTCCAATGCCAAGGACAGGCCTGGTATGCCTCTCTCTCTCTCTCTCTCTCTCTAGACGTATATTTCTATCTTTCTGCTTATTCGGGGTATTTCCTAAAAATTGTGATCTGCATTCTGAAAACTGAGTTCTGCATTTTGGATAACACACACACAAATATATATGTATATATAAATTTATATCTTCCTGCTTTTTCGGGATATTTTCTAAAAAATTTGGTTCTGGGCGATATCTGTTTATGTCTTCTTATATCCCACCGGTTATTTCTAGTTTTCTTTTCCTGAAAACTGTGATATGCATTCTGGGTAGTACATTTATAAAAATATATATTTCTATCTCTCTGCTTGTTTAGGACTTTTTTCGCTAAACTTAGGAGCTGCATTCTGGGTAATACATATATATATATAGATATATAGATATGTTTCTATTTCTTGGCTTATTTCGAGTTTCTTCCTTCTATCTGGGATCTGCATTATCAGTTTAATCATGTGCTCAGTAGCCTAAAACGTAAGTAGAGTCTCATTTCCGGATGGAGTTTTATAGAGCTTTTCTAGGGAATATTTCTTGGCTCTTCTGCTAGCTATGAATTCAGGAGTTGACTTTTTGTTGGCGTGGAATTCACAGGTTCTGCGCTGCTGGCCTCCCCAGCGATGTCACCGTGGAAGTGGGAGATATGTCCTTTCATCTTCACAAGGTCAGCCCTTTTTTTCATGACACATGAATGATTTTCTTCTCGGATCATCAGAACAAAGGGATCTTGAAAGCAACATTACCTCCACTGACACGCATCAGACCCTTTTTTTCTTTTAAAAGAAAATATATACCTCGACAAGTCCCTGGTTGGTTTTTCTATTTTATATCCCTAATTACCTCATCAGGCAAAGGCAATCAATGTACATCTGGTCAATATGAACATATTTTCTATTTTATACATAACTTTGGAAGAATTTCAGCCGGTCTTTATGAATACATTTTCTACTTTTCAGAATTTTTTACTTTTTGGGAAAATATTAGGATCCTAATCCGGTCACAATAACATCTGGTCATTCTTGTTCCCCTTCTTCTTCGTCACTTTTTCTGCTATTTTGCTGTCCCCTATCCTTTCTTCTTCCTCCGTCAACAGCACCAAGCCCAAAGGATTTGAGTTTAACTGCATCAGATGAGCATGTACTCAACTGACTAATAGTTACTTTATATTAATTCTGGCTAATTTCCTCCTAGAATTGGCTGTTCAACATGCATATTTTCAGCAGCATATCGAGTATTACTAATTATAGTAAGTTATTTGCTAATGATCGAGGCCTCCTTGCCTCCGCTGTTCTGTACTTGTAGCCTTCTTGCCATATTCTGCATCCATCTCCCCGCAAGAAACGAACTCAGAGCTTCATTCCCCGCAATGACGGTCAACGAAGGACAAAGTCCAAGTCCTCCAAGGATCTTCCTCTCCATCATAGATGATGGGCAACTTCTTAGCTAATTTTAGCATTCTCATTGTTGATACTCGGACGTAAGTTTTCGCTAAAATGGCATATTTTTACCTCTATTTTGTGGGAACATGGTGGTGTTCAAATGGATTCCCCCTTTTCTTTCTCTTACCCAATCAATCATCTTCCCTCAGCATCACAACCCGCACCCCCATTCCTGCATCTGGGCGCCGCCATAATATCCAATTTATCAAAAAAATATCGTTGTTCTCTCCGTCCCACGGCGCCCCACACGCAGTTGCGATGAATATTGTATGAAAATCGCTTGGAAGAAATAAAACTTATATTTTACCCATTAAATCGTGTTGAAACCATGTCTGGATGCTGGGTGATTTCCCATTATACCTTCCATCTCAATGTGCAGTATCCTCTGCTATCCAAAAGTGCTACCTTGGGGAGATTAATTGAAGAAGCCTCCCAAGGAGAAAGCTGCAACATCAAGCTCAACGACGTTCCCGGCGGCGCAAGGTCATTCGAGATGGTCGCCAAATTCTGCTACGACGTGAAGCTGGAGCTGACGGCCGGAAACGTGGCGGCACTCCGATGCGCCGCCGAGCACCTGGAGATGACGGAAGATTACAGCGAGAATAACTTGATTCTGCAAGCGGAGTGCTTCCTGAACCAGGCGGTTCTCCACAGCTGGAAGGATTCCCTGAGGGTTCTCCAGACTTGCGAGGGTCTTCTTCCTCACGCTGAGGACCTGCATGTCGTGGAGAGGTGCATCCAGTCGCTGGCCTCGAAGGCCTCTACAGACCCGCAGCTCTTCGGGTGGCCGGTGATGGAACGTGGGCCATTGCAGAGCCCCGGGGGGAGCATCCTCTGGAATGGAATCAGCACCGGTTCCCGGCCGAGGAACTCTCGCCCAGATTGGTGGTACGAGGACGCCTCCAGCTTGAATCTTCCCTTCTACAAGAGGCTCATCTCCGCCATGGAAGCTCGCGGAGTGAGGAGGCAGGTTATCTGCGGATCCCTCGCGTCGTACGCGAGGAGATACCTCCCCGGTCTTAACCGGCGGCAGAGCGCTGGCGAGCTGGGGCATCGCCGGAGTTCTGGGTCGCCTGCGGCGGAGCCTGTGGAGGAACAGAGAACTCTTCTGGAGGAGATCGATCGACTGTTGCCCATCCAGAAGGACGCCATGCCGGTGAAGTTCTTGTTCAGCCTTCTGAGAACCGCCGCCATCCTCAAAGCTGGCCCGTCCTGCATCTCAAACCTGGAGACAAGGATCGGCATGCAGCTCGACCGAGCGAGCTTGGAAGATCTGCTGATGCCGAGCTTCTCTCCTCACTCCGCGGATGAAGCCCTCTACAACGTCGACTGCATTCAGAGGATTCTCGAGCACTTCTTGGAGATGGACCGGGCCACTGGCGGCGCCACCGCTTCGCCATATCCGGGGAACGGCGAGTCGGTCACTGGGTCTCCTTCTCTCACGCGCTTGACCGCCGTCGCCAAGCTCGTGGACGGCTACCTGGCAGAGATCGCTCCAGACGTGAACCTGAAGCTGATGAAATTTCAGTCCCTCGCTGAGGCCGTGCCGGACTACGCTCGGCCTCTGGACGATGGGATTTATCGCGCCATTGACATATACTTGAAGGTAAGAAAAATACTCGACGATCTATGGTGCTTTATTTGTTCTCCACGATCTGCGGTCTGAATGTGGAGGAGCTTGAAACAGTTCCATCCATGGCTGTCGGAGCTCGAGAAGGAGAAACTCTGCAAGGTGATAGACTGCCAGAAGCTCTCACTGGAAGCTTGCACCCATGCAGCGCAGAACAACAGGCTCCCACTGAGGGTCGTCGTCCAGGTCCTCTTCTTCGAGCAGTTGCAGCTGAGAACATCGATCGCCGGCTGTTTCATGGTTTCTGAGAATCTCGATGGGTCGAGACAGCTCAGGGGGAACGACGGCGGGTGGGCGACGGCGGTGAGGGAGAACCAGGTCTTGAAGGTGGGCATGGACAGCATGAGACTGCGAGTTTTAGAGCTCGAAAGAGAGTGCCTTGGCATGAGACAGGAGATCCTGAAGCTCGGTCAGGAGAAGGGAAGGGGATGGGGCGGCGTGGTTCCAAAGAAGTTGGTCGGCTTCAAGATCAAGTCACAGATGTGCAGCGCCCAGGAAGACTCCGTCAGTGACCAGAAGAGCAGCGCCGGGAAGACTGTGAAGTCCCCATTGAAGCTCACGAGTCACAGGAATAACCTTTACGTCGAAGGTTGACTTTCCGTGATCTGGCGACCCTCATCTTCTCTCATCGTCTTTTCGCTTGTACGATGAGGTTTCTGTAGATTATCGCGTGGGTTCTTGTTCTTCTCTACTGGTGTGAAGAGTGTCTGTGTTAGTGCTTGATAGTAATAAAAAATTGTGCTCTGAAGTGGAAAATTTGCCACGACGAGCTTGAACGTAAGTTCCCATTTCTGGTCGGTCCCATCAGTCGTTGACTGGAACTCGAGCTGGCTCAGTTTTCTTAATCACCAGCGGACGCCACTCGTCCGCATTTCGGTGTTATGTGATCGAGTCAATGCGCGCTCAGGAGTTACCAAAAAAAAAAAAGAGTAAACTTTTCAGGTCCTTCAATGAGGATTCAGGGACGATAGTAAGGAGAATATGGGTTCAGAGAAGTGCCATTTTTATTAATAATGAGAAAAATAAGAAAAAATAAAGGATTAAGATCATATCATGTTTAAGTTTTATTTGGTTCTAGATCGTCATAAATCACTCGAATTAAGAACAAATCCGTATCTTTCTTCAGTTAGGAACTTTAAATCAACCACATCTAACTAGGGTCAACCTTTTGACTTGGCCTAGTGAAGAAGTCTCCTCTCTAACCACCACCATCTCTTTCTTTACCTCTAAACCCACAATTCCCACGTACCCTTTCCAAAAGGTATTATTATTGTCCTTTAAAGAGAATGGGGGAACAAGAAGGTGATTCGAGGCTAAATATCAAGAGCTGATCAAGTTATGGTGGCATGCAAGTTCAAGTGAGAAAGAAAAAAAGTATCAGTAATTAAGGTAGGTTCTGTGGAGCTAAAATTAAACAGCCTTATCTTTTAATAGTAATTTTTATATATATATATAAAAGTCAACTACTTCAAAATTAAGAATAGCTACTTGGATGGATCCAGTTGCTCCTTTTTCCTCCAAAAAAAAATAAGTTTTATGAGACAACAATTTTACAAGGAATTTCATATTAATTTCCTTATGAGGCATATTTCCCCCTCGCCTGCCGAACCTGCCTGTCATTGTTACTCTTTCTCGACTGTTTTGCCTCCGCCCCGTTAAGTAGTTTTAATGAAATATTCATATTCTTCATGAAAAAAAATTCCTTCTGCAATTCGTCCCAGATCAAGTTTCCGGGTCTCTGTCCGAATCCGAGCCGTAAGAACTTCCTTGAGAATCTAGTGACGACGCCATTGATGAAGAGGACGCGGAGAGGAAGGAGCAGGATCATTAATGGCGTAAAGCCCCCGACTTTTGGTGTGGGGATGATCCACGAAGACATGGGTTGTTCAGAGAGCTTCAGAAGGGCGGCCTTAGCCGGTTGTTCGAACGGAATAGTGCCATGGAAGGAGGCGGCGGGGGGCTACCGAGCTCCGCCTTCTCTGGGGAGATGGCGGAGAGAAGAAAGCGGAGGGGAACTTAAGAGGGGATGGGGAGGGGTTTGTTTGTGGGAATGAATGCTCGAGAATTTACCCGGGCAGTTATCAACGCGTTCTCCACGCCGCCCACCGTCCATTTCTTCTCCCCTCTCCCTCCCCTCCTGCTAATTCACAGGTCCTTCTCTCTCTCTCTCTCTCTCTCTCTCTCTCTCTCTCTCTCCCTCTCTCTCTCTCTCATCTCTTCGTCCTCACCGTTTGAGCTTGGGAAGGAGAACTCCTTGGATTGCCCCGGCCATGTCTTCGGTGAGACCGACTAGTCTCTCGCCTTTCTTTGCGATTTTCGTCGTCTGGTTTCATCCTCGGATCACGGGTTCTGGCTCGACTCGAGAAATTGGCTTCTGGTTTTATAGTCGGAGAAAGAGGACGATGGAGCATGGTGGGGATTGAGATGGTTCTCCTCTTCTCAGTTCAGGAAGATAAGATCCACTTGGTTTAGAGAAAGAGAGAGAGAAGGATTATCACCCAAAATAATAGCATCTTCCGGTGGCGAGTAGGTAAATCGGAGGAAGAGGATGATGACCTTATCTACAATGCATGAAGATAATATCATGGCTTTATTCATTTATTCTGAATGTGAGACTATAATAGAGAGATCATATTCATAGGTTTTGATTTTTGGAAAGGTTCTTCGGGGCGAATTGACGTTATGTCATGGGGGAATTGATGGGAAGAACATACGATTTTGAGATTTGGTAGTACTTGAGCTCTTGAATTAATAGTGCATGTTCTCGTTGCCATTTCTCCAAAGCTTCATTTATGTATATTTTTATTAATTTCCTATTTTTAATCCCAAGTTTTAGAATTGGGAAATGCCGATATGATCCTCAAAACTATCATTGCACATGGGATTTTTTATCTAATTTTTTATATTTATTATCATATTTTTTTAGGTTTTTTTTTCATCCACCACAATGAGATCATCACCCCTTTCCAACTGATGATTTAACTTATCTCGGGACCATATAATAACTTGTGATTCTTCTTTGTAAGAAATAAGAAGGATAACGAATCGATTGACCTCCCTAACACCAAGTTTCTTGCCGTGGGTCAACTCAACTTATCCACACAAGATTAGATGTACAAAAAAAATCGTATCTTGAGATTCAGTATTTGATTATCAGTTGACTTTCAATACAATCACATTCATTGGTGGCAAGCAGTAGATGTTTGGATTAATTGGCCTCAAAGCCATTCAACAATGGTTTGACAGTACTAATCACATTCAATAGTGACATTCATTCAATCATGGGCTTCTCCAACAGATGATTCAACTTACCTAGGGACCTTTAGCTTCGATTCAACTATGCAGGATAATGAATCGATTGACTCCCTAACACCAAGTTTCTTGACGTGGTTCAACTCAACTTATCCACACAACATTAGATGTACAAAAAAATCGTTCTTGAAATTCACCATTTAATTATCGGTCGACTTTCCCATCCAATCACATTCAATGGTGACAAGCATTAGATGTTTGGATTCATCCTCCTCACATTCATTCAATCATGGGCTTATCATTTCAAATCATATCCAACGTTGAGGAGAGTCTTACGCTTAAATTGTCCATCTTCAAGGCTGTTTGATAGATCCTCAGTTGACTTTCTCACACAATTGGTGTTTATGCGTCGCATGAAGCACGAAAAAGGGGTCCCTTTGCCGAAATTTGGAGAATGGGACGTGAACAACCCTGCTTCTGCCGAGGGCTTCACAGTCATCTTTAACAAGGCCAGAGACGAGAAGAAGACGACCGGCGGCACCGGGACGACAAGGGATAAAGGAGACTACAAGCAGAATCAGACAATTGAGTTCCCCAAGAAGAGGGTATTGACTTCGTTCAAGGAAGAATAAAATTACTCCTTTTGTCCTATCTTTAGCGTTATTTGGTCAACGAAAACGTGATGATTTTATCCACAAATCTGCAGAGAAAGTGGCTTTGCTTCTGACCAACATCGGGACTCGGAGGGACCATCCGGGTTGTTCTCTTCCACTGTGTCCCTCTTTCTCAATGGCCAGCTAGCCCAGAGGGAGGGAGATGTCAACCCCCTTTCTTCTGTCTTCGGTTTTTTCGTTTCTTGTCTCGTGACGTTGACTTACTGCTATCCAATCATCCTCTGGAAGTCTTTTCTGGACGAAGAAGTCACGAGTTCCCTGAAATTATGAGAAAATAATTGGGTCAATGCCTCGGTTACTTACTGTTCTTGAGGGGATTCACGGCCTGAATGAGAATCAGTAAAAAGTTCCCTTCTTTAGATTATTTATTTTGGGAATGATATAGCTGGGCAAGACCACGTCTAATGCCCCCGGTTTTGTCAAGTACAGACAAGGCCCGAATCCAGGCATTGTCTGAAAGTGGCCTTCGAGAGATAGATAGATAGATAGATAGATAGATAGATAGATAGATAGATAGATAGATAGATAGATAGACAGACAGACAGACAGACAGATAGATAGATAGATAGATAGATAGATAGATAGATAGACAGATAGCAAGATAGATAGATAGATAGATAGATAGCAAGATAGATAGATAGATAGATACATCTATATATATATATATATATATATATATATAGAGAGAGAGAGAGAGAGAGAGAGAGAGAGAGGAGAGATTCAAATATAATAGAGATTTTTTTTATTTTTAGCCAAGGCCCTGTACAAATTATGTGATTTATTCTACGTCATCTCTCTCTCTCTCTCTCTCCCTCTCTCCTCGTTCTCGTTCGTCCGGATGAGAGAGAGACAATATGTCGAGTTAATATTGAAAGTTCAAAAGAAAGAGGAGTATTTATAGGAAAACCTTTGATTTCGATAGAAACTCCTGCGAGATGCCTACGAATAAAGTATATTAAGAAACATATTTTTAAGGTCTAATAAATTATTTTTTAAATCTTTAAGAATAGATATTAGAACAGTATATGATGTGCGCCGAGTCCTGAGAGGAGAGCGAGGGTAGGAGAACTGAGTATTTAAGCAAATGTGTTTTAAATAGATTAAATAAATATTGTGCCATATATGGAGGGCATATACAGATAATTTACGGAACCTTCTCCGACAGGTTTTTGTTCGTCATTCCAGCTTCGTCTGAGAGCTTTCAGAGAGAGAGAGAGAGGGAGAGGGAGTCATGGGGGAAGAAGTGGGGGAGAAGCCCCTAAGGAGGATGGCGGAGGCCTTCGATGAGCTTGCCGTCGCCGTGAAGAGCAGTAAAGCCCGAGAAGGGGGCGAGGGCCTGGACGCCGCCTGCTTCTCCCACGCGTGCGCCCGCGTATCTGTCCTCTTCAGCTGCCTCGGTATCGCCTTCAAGTTTGCTGAAATGGATTACGTTGCCAAGGTCCCGGAGCCCTTCTATTTCCTGTCTATGTTCGCCGTCTATTCTGGGATCTATCGGAAAGGAGTCTCATACTCTCTTAGCGAGGATTTGTTCTCATTTTTCAATATTTCCCTAATTTTATCAGTAATGGTTATTAGGTTAGGTCTCGATCTTTTTCAAGATCTCTGTATATATTTCTCTTTGATTCTGTCGAATTGATCATGAAATAGAAGCAGATTCTCATTCCGTTAGAAAATCATTGTTTCGATCCGGGGTTGCACCGTTGACATTGCGAAAATCTCATGGCATTTTTATCCTCCTCTGTGTTCTATATAATTTTATTAAATTCGCAGTCGATCATCATTTCCATAGGAGATTTTACTGTTGATGTTTTTAACAACTCTCAAGTCGCGGTGTATGAGATTTCACGTCCCTAAGAAGACAGCATCAAACTAGCCCAAGCCGTTGAAAATGCTCCCCTCCAAGATGAACGGAAAATTTTGGAATAAGTAATAGATGTTCTCAATGATGTTCAAACTTATTTTGAATGATGTTCTCAATGCACAGTTGGATCTCGACTATTCATATATATATATATATATATAGAATCTGTTCTCTGGAAAAGAAATTTCTCCGGATGTAGAGGATTTCTCTGCCCAAGATTTGTTGCTATCAATCTTTCATATAGGGAGTTCATGACTGGAACAGTGAACATCTCGTTAAATGGCATTATACTTGTAAATTTCAACGTTAAGGCAGAGTAATTCCCAACGTGGATTAATTTTTAGCTATCATTAAAAAGTTGTCATTTTGTATGATCTTCGTCTCAACTTGAATTCGTTTTTAGTTCCTAAATGAAGTTGAAATTGGCGATAATCTTCAGAAAGTCAAACAATTTTGCGAATATATTGAATTCCCTGGGACAGTTTGGTGTGGAAATCTCCTGCTTCGGTTCCATCCAAACAGAGAAAAGGGATCTTGTGTGCAATTAAAACAATCTTCAATTCTGCAGTGGTGTCCCCACTTTTTCCATATAGATTGATGAGAACGCATCTAATTATTTTTATCCTACCATTAAATGGCCTTTGATTTCGCTTATTCTGGGTGATGTCAGGTTGAGGATCTGAAGTCCGCATCAAAGTCAATAACCACGCTGGAATCCATGCTCCAGCTGGACATTGAGCAGGATACCGTGAGGAAGGCTGGAAGCCATACGAGAAACCTTCTCAGAGTGAAGCGAGGACTGGACATGGTCAGGGTCCTCTTCGAACAGATTCTAGCATCTGAGTATGGCCTCTTCCTCCTCCCTTTCCTACTGACGACATCTGAAAAGACTTTGCAGGATGGATCAATCATTCTGAAATCTCATTCGATGATGTGGATTTTATGAAAGAGCAAGGCAGGCAATCAAAGAAAATGTGTCGTAGAAACCGGACACACTAGTTTTATGCGCTTCAAACCTGCTGGATCTTGAAGTTCCCAATGATTTGATTGCTCCATATTTAATTTATTCTCCTTCAATAATCGAAATCACATGGAACAAGTAGAACACTGGTTCCCAATTATCTTCCCATGCTGAGAAAATTCTCCAATGCATGTCATCTGAAACTCGAAATCCATTGTGTGAGATGGGAGGGGGGTGGCACATTGCTAGAAAGATTCTCTTATTACTGGTTTCGTCTCAATCTACCAACTCCCATTTCTTCTGCTACATCATCATCGTCGGCATCGACAGTACTAACTGTTGGGACCTTCGATTTCAGTGGGAACTCCCTCAGGGATCCAGCATCAGTGGCCTATGCGCAAGTCTTCGCTCCCCACCATGGATGGGCCATAAGGAAGGCTGTTGCCGCTGGAATGTACGCACTTCCTTCAAAGTCTCAGCTCCTGAGGAAACTCAACGAGGAAGGTGAACCCGAAGCCCCATTTTATTGCATGCAGGCTTTAATAATAAATACATTTCCATGCCCAAGCTGACATCTGAGAGCACTCGCTCTCTCTTTCCAGAGTCCTCGGCCCGAGTCCACATGCAGAGCTACGTCGCCACATCGGCTTCCATCATTCATTATGTTCATGAGCTTTTCTTTGTGAGAGATCTGGGCATCGATTGGTGATTTGGGGCTGTTGTTTCAGAGGGCATCGCTGATCTATACATGAATTATTATTTTTCTCCTCCATGAAATTGGATCCCCTGCCGCTGCCTTTGAGCGCCAGCCGCCACCTTATTCTGTGAAGATGGATAGATCTGGTCTCCGTGTGGGTTCTTGAATCAGAGACGCAGCTGATTTATATGTCCCTTCATTTGGTCTCCATGATCCATCAATGGAGGGCGATGAATGGAGAAGAAGAGGATTTCAGAAAGCTTCAGACCAGGCCCTGAGAAGAAAGAAGAACCCATCATCACTCTAATCCCCAGTGCTGCAGTCTTGCCGAGGACCGGCCGAGTCTCATCGGTTTGAATCCATAGGCTCGGTTCAGCTCGACATGATTTTTTAACGGGCATGTGGTGATTCTTCAGGATTCCAACCAGAACAGGCGACGACCTCAGTAATTGTCTCAAACTGATGAGGAATCAACAGGAGGCCGATATGAGACTCAGTTTTTTTTTTTTTCTGAAAGATCATTCGTCAGATTGGCAGGATCGTATAATCTCATTAGGGAATCAGTTTAAGTTCTCAGGGTATCAGTAAGCCCATCTTGGAAACATTTTGTAACTCTCTCTCTCTCTCTCTCTCTCTCTCTCTATACCTAGGAGGAGATCGCTGCCGATCCCTTAGCTTGCTGTGAATCAAAACACCAGTTCTGCTCCAGAATCGAAGGATACCCATACATTGAAGCATATCAAGATATATACAGACCGCCCTAGAAAAAGGAAATGTACAGCGTAGCAAAAATAGTAAATTCTGTGATGTCCAAGGGGGGCGCCCCCCTCTCAACCCCCAGAAGATAACCCATCTCTGGTTACAACATCGTATTAATGTTACATCCTGGCCAAGTGGAGATTGGCGGAACAAGCTACGCTGCCCAAAATGTTAGGAGGGGGGAAAAAATCAAAGGGAAAAATTAGCCAGCCCCGTTGACCTTAGGGACTTTCAGTCGTTGGGTGCCATCTCCCACTGGTCAGAGCCCTCCCCATCAGCTCCTCGTCGCTTCCTCTTGCTATCACCATGCTTTGATCGCCTCGGAGCTTCATCCTCACTGCCGCTCTCATACTGCGGCCCTGCCGCCGGCCCCCTGGTGCCTCCCTGGTGCCACAATTGATCATCGGGGCGGTGGGCAGAGTCCTGTACCTTGCTGCCTTGATCCGATCCAGCGTCATATCGGTCGCTCTGATCGCTGCCGGACCTCCTCTGTTCTCTCTTTGGCATCCTAGGATTGGCCGCCAGCGGCAGCGGCGGCCGGATCAGTGGTGGCATCCCCATCGGCCGATTCCCTCGAGCAGCACCAATGCCCGTCATGGCCATGCCGCCCATGAAGGGAGGCCTGCTGCCGCCCATCATCATGCCGATCCCGCCGCCATGGAAGACAGCAGATCCAGGTTGCGCCATGCCGGGGAAGTTGCCAGAGAATCTTGGGCCGGGGAAGGGCTGGAAGAACCGGGGGCCAAAGAGATCAGGGTTGCCAAAGCCATCGGTAGCGACGGCGCCATACCCGAACCCGTCGGCACCCATCATCATGGGGGGGAAGCCCCGGATGCCAAGCATCGGCCGGCTGCCGCGCACCATTGGCATGTGCGGCGGCCACATCAGGGCACGGCCCCGTCCCCTCGCAAGAGCAGCCTGGCCCAAAACTTCTTCCTCTTCGTCGCTGTCCTCTTCCTCTTCCTCGTTGTCCTCAAAGGGAACGATGTCCGGATTCTCAGCCGAATCGTCCATCTCGACTCCCTTCGCCTTCTCCTCCTCACGCTTGGACTCTGCAGCGATTAGCATGGCCTGGATAGAAAGGCACCCAAGAGCAGGAATATCAATGGAAGTGATGATGGAGGATGAGGAAATTATATCTGGAGCAAGTTGGTTTAGCAGGTTCATCATGCCATATGTTCAAACAGACCTGAAGCATTATTCACTAACAGGCCCAATCCTGTGGTTATGTGCCCAGAAATATTCTAAATAAAAAATCCGCATTCAATTAAAAAAAAATCATAAATTCAAGCTCTGTGCTACAATGGTAATGCCATCAATTCAGCACTGAAGAGAAAGTGCGGATGTTAAATCATTCTTGGAAAATTACTCCTCAAGATTTTCATTTCATCGATTTAAATTTCTGTTCTTATTCAACTCAAGTGAAAAAACTTGGGATAACAAGAAAGAATCACCAACAACTGTCGTGCACCAGAAAAAAAAAAACACAAAGGATCAAATGCATGTGATGATAGTATATTATGAGAATATTATTCACAAGGGTAATCTGCAGTGGCATTCGCATGGAATCATACCATAAGTTCGCTATCTGGTTCGAGGTAAAGTAGCGAAGCCAACTGCTCACCAATCGAAGGCTCCAGCTCCTGGCAGTCTCGACTAATCTGCAATCGCATGTAAAAAACGAAAGTAAGCCAAGGGCTACGTTGGATATGCTAGGAAACATGCACCAAACTGACGCAAATTCGAAGAAAAGACCCTTATTTTTTCAACTGCAATTCCATCCACATGGAATTATCATTTAGTTGATCTTGAGAACAATGCATATCGTGAAGCTCAACCTAAGTCATCAGCACCATGACTCATTTATATAAAGGAAAATGTTTGAGTTTTTAATATAGCTTCGCATGCACAATTATCAAGAAATGTTTTGTTCATCACCTCCTCACGTCAATCAAGAACACTCTGCTGACAGGATCAAGAAAAATTAACTTATTTTAAACGACGCATTTGTAATCTGAAGTTCATTGCCATAAATTGTATGCTTTGAATTCTGTCCTCATACAGAATCATAATATCCCCAACGTCATCATCTCTTCATTCTAGGTTACTCGTGAGCAAAGGGTATCCAATAATGACTTCCTCATCTTGCATTACAACACATTTGCTGCTCTTCTAACACGCGGTTATGACCCTTTCTGTGCTTCCATTGTAAATCCAGAATCTTCATGTCCACTATTGAATCCAAATAAATTAATCATGTCTGGAACCCCTTGGATATATAACCATTAATAAACCCATGTCATAATATATGTCAAGGTTTTGAGAAGAACGATAGTTAAAAAAACAGCACGAGAGATATCAACTTCATGAAAATGTAGTAAGTCCGAGAAGAGAACAAGTTCTCTGTTTGATTATCAAAGATATCAATTTCTCTGTTTGATTCTGCTGAATTTTTAGATGCCTCTTACAGATGATGACAATAAAATACATAAGTTTCCAAGAAGAGTTATAACGAAGAATTCAGTCAAAGGTTGACAAGTGACATCACAAAATGCAGTCTAGATTTCACCAAGTAGAAGAGGATGAAAGGAGGAGAAGAAAGAAGACAGGCTGCATCATGAGGAAGAAGAAAAGAAGATGAAGCGAAAAAAATGAGCTACGAGAAGCAAGAAATGGGAGGAAGGAAAAAGAAAGGCAACATCTCCGTCAGTATGCAATCACTCCACTTCATTTTCCCTTCAACGTCTTTCGTCCGCCCAGTCTCACAGCCATAACAAATGAGGGATGGGCGGGGGCCGAGTGAAAAGATGGTAAAATTATGATATCAAATTTCTCAATTCCCTCCTGCCAATTGTTTGTATAGTTGCCATCAAACTGGCTTCACTGAGCTGATTAATCGTCTTAAATCCAGCCAATAATAATCAGACATATGTTGACAATGGTAGCAACAAAGACATCACCACTCAACTGTGGCAATGAAGTGTCCCCTCCTTCAGTCGGCCACACCTCACTCTTTTATCCACCCTAAAACCATTTCCAAGTTAGGGGAAAACTAGGAAAATGTCAACTTCACCACGGGGTTAGCAAATACCCTCAATTACGAGAAGTACAGTGGTCATGAACAGTCACAAAAAGTTCAAATAAGAGCATTTCTGTACAAATGTCACGTGGTGAGGACAGACAAGAAACATTGTTTCGGGAAGTATTTGCACAAAAAGCATCAATGAAAATGCTTCAAAGGGTGAAAAATACTTCGGCTTTCCAATACGTCTAAAAAAAATCACATGTACCATTAACTTAATGGCTTATCTGACGACTCCGAAAAGTGGAATTTTCATCCGGCAACTTTTTCGAAAGGTGAATACAGAAACATAATGGTGAGCTTTATATATTCATATGGATTAACAGACACAGAGGTCTATAGATATCGATATACCTACACACTCTATCCAGCTTGCAATTGGTAGTGGTAACTAAATGATCACAGTCCCACCTGGCTACATGATAGAACCCAGAGGACTAATAAATCACATAAACTGGTTGACAGAAAGCTCCCAGATTTCTAAAAAGTAGTCCATAGAGTCTATCAGACAGATCTACCAAGAGTTATACCAAAATGTTGGTTAAGTATATAATATGTATTGCGTGAGGTAATACATCATAGGTTGAGTACTATGTTTTATTCGCATCACTAATCATTAAAAGGAAAATGAAAACCACCAGATTATATCACGAGGACTATAGCATCAGGCACCTATCATGTTATGTGCTAATGTACGGTAAGAACATCAACAGGCGGATTCGTCCCACACATTTTCATGCACGAGGCGAAAAAGTGTCTACTGAATGGAGAAAGGAGAAAGGAGATGTCTACTGAATAACATAGAAAACTCCATTTCTTTATGCACGAGGCAAAAATTGTCCCACATCTGATCTTTAAGCAATGAAAAACGACATAACATAAAATATAAAATATACCTTCACTGGCAAGTTCTCATTGTAAGGATTCCTCAAGTGGCGAGTTTTATAAAAAGACAATTCACCGAGCTGCAACAAATGATGATGCAGTTAGCTAAAAACCTCATGATACTATACTTATCTATGAAACAAAATAAAAAATTACATATAGAAAATGTTCCACATAAATTGCGATGTCAATAGAAATTGTTTACAAGCATGAAAAAAATTGGAAAATTGGAAAACATTTCAAAACTTGGACAAGTTTTAATACAAGAAAAGCATATGTACACTGCCATGTCAAACACTTTGATCAATAAGCATACAAGGTAAAAATATTGAATTATAAAGGAATAATTTCATTGTCAAATAATCTTCAACACTATAATTCATCATAATCAGGCACAATCCTAATTGAGGGAATTAGTAATGGGCAAGTAAGACAGCAAAATTTTAGCAATCACAGTAGATTTATAAAAAAAAACTTTAAGATAAAGGGGTCCTGATAAGGGAGGTGGGATAGACCCTTTGGTGTCCCATATGCATGAACGATAATCATCCTAGACGAGGCAAGCAAATAGAAAACCCAATCAATAGATGTTCAAAACCAAAAGCGCCCATAAATCTATGTCGTGAGCCAAATCTAAACCAAAAGAAATAATTCTCAGACAAAACCAACAACAAATTAAAATATTAGCAATTTCCTGTAAGACCGAAATTGAAAGAAAATGAACTGATTAAATATTGTTCATGAACAAAATTCTCAACATTCAAAACTTTACTGAAATAAAAGTCTATGCTCCAGACAACTAAACTACATCGTATAATAGCAATGCAATAAGTAAAGATAGGAACTCAAAGAAAACCCTTCCACAGCAAGGTTGGGAAACATTACACAAAAAATATTTAATTGTTCTCCACAAGCATGCAAGTTTTGATACCAAATTCGAAACCATATTTTGGCAACAAGCAGAATCCATGATTATTTTTTTTTTCCCACTGATAGAAACAATCTTTCCCCACGAAACAAACAAACAGAAACTTAATAAGCATTCATATCAATGAAAGACAAGAAAGCTAAAGACTTTTCACACAAAATTCCCTGGACAGTTGCATCTGATCATGTCAAGATGCATGAAACTTTATAATAAACAGTCAAATCGTTTAAAACAAAAACCCACTAGCGTTTCCATGAGAGAGCACTTATAATCACCCAATATTTCTTTGCCAATTGTTGTGACAACACAAAATCACGACAACAAAAGGACAGGAAAATAAATTATCGCCACCACCGCATGAACTTCAAAAAACATATATCCAATGGTTTACAAGGCCAATCAGGATCCTTGGGCATTGAAAATTGATTAAAAGTCATTAGCTAGAAATAAAAGCAGTTTGGCGAGTAAAGTCCAAAAGCACCATACCTTTAGCCACTTGATGGAAAAGTTACGACCATAATGTGCAGTCCCATGAGCATGTTTCCAGTTTCCTCCACCAACAAAACCACCAATTCTAGACGTCATCTTTGCACACCCCTAAGAATTCATCACAATAATTTTTACATTAAATAATGCCTTGCAACGAATAAACTTTTACATGTTTTGTCCAGATAAGCAATAGGAAACAAACATTTTCATTTAAAAGTCAGTGTGGAAAGATCTGCATGGAGAGAAGGTATCACGTGCATTAATGTAGACCAAACAGATGATTACCTGGAAATGACGAGTCCGGTTGATTGAAAATATCAAGATAACATTCTCTGAGGAATCAAAAGCTTCATTTAGTTTAGCCTCATTGCTTCTTTGTGTCGCCCAGACACCTTGCTGAACTGACAGTTCGAGATTCTCCCGATTGCAGCTTTTAACAATGAAATACCTTGTTTTTCCATATTTCAAGATGTGAGAACCAGTCAGAAGGCACTTCTATCATTTATCAAACCCTCTCATAAACCCAAAACGAAGCCGCATAATACAAATGGAAAGCTACAGTGACTCTACTACGAGGCCAAGACATCAATGGCCCAATCATATAATACACCATGATCAATCAAAGATTGGAATTAAATGGCAGCATAGTAATCATAGGCCAGAAACTCTATCCTCATTCACATGATCAATGAGAAAGTTTCAACTCTAACCTTCCTGAAACTCCAGACCCATTGAGTGCAGCAACTAGGAAACAAAATGTTTGACTCTCGGCTAGGACACATTATGATCTTCCATATCAAGTTCTAACATTAGCATCATGTACCTTTGCGCAAACCAATTTTTTTTCATTCATGAAATCAGGAGCAATTTACTCCCGAGATAACTTGTCGATCCTTAATTCAGAATTTTTTGCTACAACGTTGAACTAAAACAATTTATGTTGTTGGAGGCTCAAATGCCATATGGTGACAAGTCACATTGACTATGACCATAGTTATGTTTCTCCATCATAAAATCATTGGAGGAGAGGACTGAGTATAAAAAACACTTGGACCTTAATGACGTTTGAATTGTGTCTCCACAATATTTGATGATATCAGAAGTGAGCGCCCAAGTGTCACAACGAACACACATTCTTTTAAACCCGAAAGTGGATAGTACTGCATCGTACCGTCCACCCCACGGTTGCAAATGTTCTTTAGAAAGACACGTTAGACACCAAGAATATTTTAAAAATAAAATAAAATAAGAGGTAAAATACACATATACCCTTCTCCTTGAGTAAATGACAGAATAAAAGGAATTACAAAATGTTTGGGTTGACAGCAGATTTTCGAAGAATTCAAATCCCGTCCTAATTTTCCAGTATGTTGAAATGATTTATGCAAAAGTTTTGACAACTAGAATACCAGCGTTAGAAACATTCGGCATTCTCCATCAAATGTCTGTACACAAATATCCATCAAATCATAGGATCAGATATGTTATATTTTTTAAATGAGCGACGTGAAGGACAACAACGTGGACCTTCAATCCCTTTATATGATGTCACAAGATGATAAAGAAATGAAAAACTACAAGCAGAGACTACACATTACATCCACGTATCCCAACAACATGAAATTCAGATATCAAGTAAACTACAGAGAAAATTTCTCAGCCTGGAATAATTTAAGATTCCGTCTCATGGGATTTATTCAAAACTCGGCTGCACAAAAGTCAAATAGTATCGCCAGATGAAAAAGGTCCACAGATGAGATCATACTAATATTAATATCCCCGTATATTCGTCGTCGCATCAAAAGAAAAGTGAAAAACTATCCAGCTTCTTCAAAACAAAGTACAGTTCATTTTTTATACTTTAGAAAAGCATGTCAAGAAAAATGACAGAGACAGCTTTACATGACTTCAATATTCATCTAGAAGCTCCACACACACCTAGATTGACCTTGAGGAAGTGGCAGTGCAGTTCTGACTGGCTGGTTTGCCGAACCATTTTGAAGATTTTGTGACTGACTCTGGCTAACTTGTTGTTGAGGATGCTGATTTTGATGTTGTTGTAAATGTTGTTGTTGTGGTGGCTGTGGTGGTTGTGGCTGTGGCTGCGGCTGCAACTGTGGTTGTGATTGTTGAATGGATGGCCCATGTGTACCCGCAGATTTTGAAAGAGTGGCGTGGCTAATTGCCCCAGAAAATGATGGAAGTTGGGATTTCTCTCCTTGCTGCGTATAGCCCACATTTCTGCCATGGAAAAATCTACCTGAAGGCCCAAAAGAAGAGCTCATTTGCTGAAGCTTCTGAAAAACTTCCTCCACAGGAGGAGGAGGTCCTTGCAGTTTTGCATGCCTGTACCGGCAGTCAGAACCATTTGGGCAAAAGCCCAGCTTGTACCTGCAATTTAATGACAACATAAGTCAATAATGTGCTTTCAGTTGCATGTAATACCTACAACTAAAAACGGAAAAAAACCGTATGTTGAATAGCACCTTACTGGGAAGTCATTTAAACATGTAAGGGACTTTCAAATCCCATACCTGGAAGTGACGTTTACGGTGAATACATTACAATGAACTGATTTGATACTACTTTTGCAGAGTGGGAATAAGGATATCAGAGTATAAAGAAAATTATTCTCCTGTATGAGATTCTTCTGTCAAGTTTAGCAATCTAATATTTATCTTGTAGAGGAATCCAAAATTTATAGCTAAGACGTTGAAATTGATAGAGAGAAGATTATTCTGGTATGGGAATGGAGGCATGTGTATAGGGTGACATGATATCAGCTGGGGAAGTATACACAAGATTCGGCACCACTGTCATTGACAATTTCAATTTGATATTATTGAATAAGTGGCTGAGGAAGTTGAGAACCTGTAGATAGGAGCTATAAAGAGAAGCGATTGAATGAGAGTACTACAAGAGAGCCAACTGTGAAATTTACAGGATCCCACAATGTCTCTCTGTAATAGAGTACAACTGCCAGAATAAATTTTATGGAGGAACAGTCAAACAGTTTGAAGCAATTCTCAGTTTCTAATAACTGAATAATTGTGGCAAGCAAATCTAAGCATATGGATATATAAAAGAGGAGGAAAATTTATGGTGCGTTAAGCTTATTCCATCACAACACTAGACACAGTGAACAAGGCGGCATCTCAACATTGGGGTTCTACATCCCCAATAAATAAGATTTTGGATCCACTGTAGAGAACGCCCAAACTATGTTCAATTGTTTCTCCTCATAACTCGTAAATTGAACAAGGACCACAATGACTACTCAGAGAATTTATTCAGAAGTGCACCTTCACAAGAGAATTGCCATAAGCAACTCAATAAAATAGGTATTCAATGGCATCCCCAAGGAAGATCAAAGGAGGACATAACATCATTCAAAATGACTGATTAAAAGTGGTCAACAAACATCATGGCTTATCTTGCACACGTTTGTTTGATGATATGGATCTAGAGTACCAGCTAGATACTCAAGAAACATAGTCATTCAGCAAAAGGAGTGGCCATTAGTGTTTGTGGAACGAGAATCCAGGTTAAGGCGTATTGTAGTGAGATCCCCCTCCAGTTTGTAAGGATTGGGCGTTTAATACAGTCCTCAAAACATCAGCACAGAAACATTATGTACAGAGAATTTTTTATAGCATATTGGAACTATGCATGCAGATCCTTTTTATCATTTAATTTTGATGAATATTCATAGAACTACCCACATCCAAAAACAACTTTCCAATTCCTTAACTTATACAACAGAGACCTAAAAAAATCGAAAAATTAATCAATCAAAAAAATGAATCATTTAATGATCTATCTGGCAGTGGGAGTGGGAACCAGGCCCACCGAAAGGAAGGCATAACCAACTCTTGATCAGTAATGGTACTAATGGCACAAAAGGGAGAGAAAATAAAAGAACCAGAGAATTTCACCAAGTCAAAAGAAAATGAAGAAACAAGAGCAGAAAATGATTGTCCCCAATCAAACGGCACAGGGCAGCCTCCCTATGCCAGGGTCAAATGGACGGAATATGAGGTTCCTTCACTCATCAATTAATCTGAGCTTCCTCTCATTTGCCCTTCCTTTTTTTTTTCAACCCAGGCACTCATTCGTTAACCAAATAGATCCACAGAATTCCCAAGCATCAGAAGCCAATGAGAAAAAACCCTTCCACAATAACTACACTTTTTTCCTGAAAGAAAATCCATCTGGGTACCCATTCCGTGCATTGAGGAACAGTTAAGTTCAGTCATTGAAAGGAGGAGCAAAAATAGGACTTCAATGAGAGGTATCACATAAGAGGTAAATGAGAGGAATTAAACAAATTTCTTACTTATGCATGCATATAGAAGTAATAAAAAAAATTCCACGATAATTATGCATAAATCTGGTTGATCCATGATCATTCAACAAACTTTTGGAATCTCAACCGTGTAGGCCTTCATAAGAGAGAAAATGTTTGAAAACTAGAATTTATTTTCTGAAGATCTTAGCGGCGCTTTTTTAATTATCTTCAACGTATGCTAGATGAAAAGAGATCAAGCGTCTTAACCAACTTTAATAAATGCAATTAGCATATCAACAACCAGAATTTCTCTCATTGTTAGCTATAAACCATGAACAAAAACTGGAAATATCACCAGAAAGAGATTAAAGACACATCCGTGGTCATCAAGAACTATAGTTGATTTATGTGCCACTGCATCATAACATTTAAGTGATAAATTTAGTAAAGATAGCGAAAATTTTCACACAGTCAATTAGTTCATAAAGTCATACAACGGCACCCCCATAAGGCCAATTTGGTGGAATTTCAAGAAGAAACTAAAAATATACATTAATATCCTGAAAGATATTGATAAAAGAATCAAGACTATGGTGAGAACACACAATGAAAATATGGCTCACAGTTAGCTCAAGAGAGCAAAATTTGAGAAGTAACACCAAGGCTCAACATGGAGCTCTCATCGGAATGGTGAGAAAGGCAAAAATTATGCTATGAGAGAAGAGCTTCAAGCAGAAATTCAACTTAGAGGGAAACAGCAAGACGCATGAAATCCAAGTTCAAAGAACATAGCATGCATATTAACAGTGCTAGCAGGCAGACATGAGATCACTGTGATTGAAATTTTTAAAAAGTTTATTTCTATCATAGAAATAGGTAATGAGTTTGGAAACAAAACTGGAACAGGCTGTGCGAGGTGGAATACATCACATGATTGCTTGAATTCGCTGAATAACACAAGCTTGAATGAAAGCTTTTGATACCAATTATACGACCACTTAGGAACAGTTGGGTGGTGGGAGGTTAAGAAGACATAAAATAAAAATCCGAGGGTAACTAAGATACAATCATTGGGATGGAACTGCATCATGACGTTAATGGGAAGAGAGATTGGCGTTGACCCTGTAAAAATCCAAGTGACACGGATTGATGGGACACAAACTGTTATCCTGAGTTTTCTCCAACAATGAAAGGAATTTTATCCATGCAAGGATAAGAAGGAGACCTGAGAAAGTTTTTAACTGTATCACAATACAAAAGGCCACGGAATACTGTCACTACGCTACTCCGAATTTTTTATTTATCTTACTCTTAGACTAAAGAAGTTATTACACTTTGTCATAAATCTCTGAGCTTCTGTCCATGAAATTATCTACCATATGCAGATCTCACCCTGTTTCTCAATTTCATGTCTAGCGCTTACTTGCATTTTTATATTGATTTACAGTAGATACCAATATCGGTAGACTAGCAACAACTAGAATTTTTTTATCGTACAATAGGCATCGAGTTCAGGAATCAACAAATGGGGAGTCAGTGTCAAGCTAACAGTGAGCCAGAACACTAGGACCTACCCTCGGAGTTCTCAAGACATCAGTCGACCCTGCATTGACAAGGATAGTGATCGAAAAATCATGGTAAAATATGCTTGCTAATTGAAACATCAACCACCCTATCTGCCACTTTAACAAAAATGGATACATGAGACGTAGAGTTTAGAAAATCTCAACCAAAAGGAAATTGACTTTGGCCATATATAGATCGTGACATAGTTCCAGAGACCCGAGGTACAAAATAAAAAAATTACCAGATAAAATCTCTCACTCAAAGTGGAATTTGAACTTTTGCCACGATTCAGAAACAATTCAAGTCGCACACAGACAAGGATAGTAACGAGACTAAGGTTATCAAAGGCACACAGACCAGCAACATACATGTTACACTCCTTGATGTCCTCGGTGGTGTGCTTGTAGGGGCAGTCCTGCTCCCGGCACTCACCGTACAGCCGGAAAAACCGGCACACGGGCATCCGATCCTTGTCGTATTGGTGCAGGAACCCGCAAGCGTCCCCCTTCATGCACAATCCCCGCAGCCAGTGCCGGCACACCGTCTGGCGGAAGCTCCTCCTCCCGCCGGGCGGATGATGGCCCCCGCCCGGCCCTGCTCCCGGATCCAGCGACCCCGCCACCGCTGCCGCCGCCGCATCAGGACCATGTGGGGCGGCGTTGTCCAACGCCGAGTCGACATCGGCGGCGGAGCGATAAACGGGGCCGCCGACAGCGCTCCCGTCGAGTCCGCCCTCGAAATCGAAGCTGAGCCCGCCCTCCGCGTCCTCCATCTCCACCCGAATCTAGAGCAACGCCCCCCCCTAACCCTCAACCTAGGGTTTTGGTGACCTGCGCTGGGGGAGGGAAGACTTCATGCGAGAGCTAGAGAGACAGGTAGAGGGAGAGAGACAAAGAGAGAGGGAGAGAGCGGGGCGGGGAACGGGGAGAGCTTCTTAGGCGGGCTCAGGGCGCCAAGACGGTGACTATCTAGTAAGTAGGAGAGGGTTACTTATTGGGCCTATCGGCCCATTACTTGTTTCCGACGTGTCAATTCATAATTTCCTTTTATTCAGGAGTATACGCCATTTTATTATATAAAACATAAGTTCAACTTTTATCAAACCATCATTTCAGTATATTTGCTACTATTTTATTTAATATTTTCTTCACTATTTAATTATATTTAAAATACACTGTTTTAATTAAATACAATCATATGGTAGCATACGGACATATATTATATAAGCATAAATTCAACTCTTATAAACAATCATTTCATCATATCGGCTACTATTTTTATCTTTAATATTATTAGGCATGGGAGAGCGGATCAGAACTCCAATTTATTTATTTTTATAAATAATGTAATATAATAGTTTTAAATTAGTTACAAAAATAATAATGGGGGACGATATTGAAAGAAATTATGGTGGTATATTTTAAGAAAATAATTATTAGTTTCATATAGAAAATGACATCAATACCCTCACATCATTTAGCTATTCCCTTCCTATCCCATACAAAACCTAAAACCCCGTATTCTCTCCTCCCTCTGCCTCGTTGTCGCGCCTTTCTGCCTCTTCCCTCCCTCGGGGCGCTGCCTCTCTCTCTCTCTCTCTCTCTCTCTCGCCTCCTCCACCAACTCCCTCTTCTCTTCCGAGCCAAACCCTACGTCTCGTCTAGCTCTTTCCCGGTCTTCCACGAGCGTCAGTCCTTGCTTCATCTTGTATCTCTCCATCTCGTTCGCTCCGGCATTTTAAGCGGCTCCGTCCTCGCCGGCATCACAGTCAGGTAAGCTTCTCTCTCTCTATGTATCTCTCTTCACCTCCCTTCATCCCTCCCTCTCTCACACCGACTGTACGTTTCTCTCTTCATCTTGCTCCCCCTCTCTCCCTCCTCTCTCTCTCTCTCTCTCTCTCTCTCTTCACCTCCCTTCATCCCTCCCTCTCTCTCTATCTGTCTTCATCTACCTTCATACCTCCCTCTCTCTCTATCTGTCTTCACCTACCTTCATCCCTCCCTCTCTCACACCGACTATCTCTTTCTCTCTTCATCTTGCTCTCCCTCCCTCCCTCCTCTCTCTCTCTCTCTCTCTCTTCATGTCCCTCTTGCTCCATCATCTGTTGCTCTCTCTCTCTCCCTCTCTCTCCCTCAGTCGCTTTCCCAGTCGGACCCTCTTTCTCCGGCGAGTGGTGCTTTACGGGGATTTAAAGCTAGTTAACTTTTTTGATGGATGTATCATGAGAGGAGTTTAGCATGTTATTGTTTAGGGGGGTGCAAAAAATTCCAAACCCAACAAATGAGGCTGGGTTCATATTTATGGGGTATTTTCCTACGGGGATTCCCCCTCCCGTGTCGGGGAATGCTGGTGACCGCCGCCGCCGCCTCCTTCTGTGCCCACTCTGCCGAACTTCCCCTGGTCCCTCGAGGTGCTCCACCCTCCTCTCTCTTGGCCTCAGGGAGGCGGTTAAGCCTGGTGCATCGTCTTCTCCTGAGCCAGTTTTCTTCTACCGATGATCCCTTCTCTGTTTCTGCAGCTCCAAGGTCTTTTTTTTTCATTGGGCTCTTCTGTTTTTATCCGAAGTTACTTCTCCCAGTTTCTCGCCTTAGTGAAGCGGCTTATTCCTCCTGTCTCTCGCGCGTCTCTGTGCCCCTCCGTCGGATTGCACTACTTTGTCGTCGTGAAAAACATTTATTCTCTTGTTTTGACTTACTCGGAACGTAGGTTTCCTTTCTCTTCGAGAGGATAGTGATTAGATATTTTTTTTTGTTTTGCTTCCTGCAGTTGCTGCGTTGCCTGTTCTCGACTGGTGCTTCCAGGGGGACAGAGTTCTCTTTGGAGCTGTACCGCTTGACATATGGTTCAGTCAAGAGGTGAAGTTTCTGTGCCTTACGGAGTTGATTTGAGATTTCTAGAATGCTTTAGGTCGTTTTGCAGGGTTCTTTAAGCTGTTGCCAGGACTGTAGTTTTCGTGTTTCCTCTGTTTTATCATGTGTAATCTTATCGCTTATATGATTGTTTCCCTGTGATATAGGATTCACTTTCTTTTCCAGCTGATTGCCAATAGGATTGACGTATGACTCACAAGTACTTCCGTATCTGAACCAGCAATGAACTCTAGCAGGCGCCAAAATAAAAGAGGAACAAAGGGGAAGCTACGCCAGCCCCTGCCCAAGTCTGATGACCGCGATGATGCATTCTTTGACCCTGAACCTAAGCGCCTGCGCCGGAAGTCTGGTAGTGGTGGTAACGAGGTCATTGACAGCGATGAAGACAGTGGAGGCATATCGGATGGTGAGCATAATGCAGAGAATGAGCAAGAGGGGGAGGTGGAGGAACCAGAGACTGCAGCTGAGAAGCGTCTAAGGATAGCAAGAGAATATGTAGAGAAGATAAAGGCTATCACAAGACAGCAAAGGGAGGATGAAGATGAGACGGAGGAGGAAGGTGTGGAGGAGGGGGAAGGTAGGCAGGATTCCCTGGCTGCAGAGCTTCTCCAGAAGGAGCAGCTTGAGGCCAGTGGCCGTGCCCGCAGGCTTATTGCATCACGGTAACTTCTCTGCTCCTTTCATTGTTCTCTGCCTGCTTTCTGTTGAGAATCGTGCCCATGGGTGGTAATGCCCAAATTTCGTGCTCATCATACTTACTTTATCTACAATAGTGCAGGCTTCAACAGCCAGATACCATGGATGAATTCAGAGTTATGCAGAGGCACCGGCAATCAGTTGTTGCTGTGGCTTTGACAGAAGATGATGCAAGAGGTTTCTCAGCATCCAAGGGTGGAGATATCATCCACTGGGACGTGGAGAATGGGAAGAAGGAGAAGTATGCTTGGCCTACAGAGGATGTGTTAATTTCCCATGGTGCAAGGGCTCCACAGAACAGGTCTTCAAAGAGGAGCAAGCATGTGCTAGCGCTGGCTGTCAGCTCGGATGGGCGGTATCTGGCAACAGGTGGAATGGATCGACATGTTCACCTGTGGGATACACGAACAAGGCAGCATATTCAGGTCATATTTTCCTTGTCTGATTTGTTATCATGACTGATTGCCACTTTTCTGAGTGAGAGCTGTTGGAATATGTATTGCTCTAGTACACAAATAACATTTATTATGTGCTACAAAGTTTATGTATTTTTCTTTGGAATTTTTATGTGATACTTGGCTAACAGTCCATTTTTTATCTCACAGGCATTTCAGGGCCATAAAGGTCCCGTGTCCTGCTTGACATTTAGACAGGGTACTCCTCAGCTTTTCTCTGCATCCTTTGATCGGGCAATCAAGTTGTGGAATGCGGAGGATAGATGCCATATTGACACATTACATGGGCATGAATGTGAAGTCCTTACAATTGACTGCCTACGAAAAGAGCGGCTATTGACTGTTGCTCGTGATAGAACTGTGCGGTTGTGGAAGGTAGGAAATGGGTTTATTTTATAATATGTTCTCAACTACTCTCTTGAGTTGTGGACTGATGTGTTTACTGTACATTTATCTGAATCTGCCTTTTGTTTCAGATCAGTTTTTGAGACAAATCACTTGCAATTATATGACTTTCTTAAAATTCCAACTTGTGGAAATGAATACTACTTAGCTCGTAAGTAGCAAGAAAGAGAAATCAAGGGGCATTTATCAGTCAGAAAGAGAAATCTCTGTTAGTAGTTGGCTTAGATCCAAGAAAGAGTCACTAAAAAATGAAGATGTAGTTTGGAATGAAGTTAATAGACTGTCAATTCTTTTCTTCGATTTTGTTTTGTGAAACAGGCTCATCTACCATTCTCGGAATAAGGTTACATTCTTGCAATGGTGGATTTACTTAAAAAACAGTGGAACCATCTACCCAGGCTTTGCGAACTATGGCAAACCGAAATGTTAATAGAAAGTAATGGGAGAAAATGTTCGGTTTTGCATCAGATTTTGACTGAAGTCCAGTGCCACTCCCAGTTTGTGTCAATTCATAGTGCTAATATTTTGCTGCACAAGTTGCATAAGGTGTTCTTCGTCTCTTAGCTGGAGAATCTTCCTTGTAGAATCAATCTTGCTCCCAGTTGATGTGATATTCGGCATGAACTTTTCGTCATGCAAATTTCCTAAAGTTTGAAATGTGCATCACAAGTTGGTGCTAGTGTATTTCATGACACTCAATGAGAACGTCATGTCACTTTTTTTTAAAAACTGTCTTGCCTGTGTATGGATGCAATAGTTGGAGGAATATTGTGTCCAGAAGGCTCCAACCTCTGAGCAGAATGACGTAGAGTTCTTGTGTCAGAAACATCGTGTCCCTCAGGAATTTGCCAGCGTTAATTAGATTCCCTCGCTGTCCAAGAAAGGGAGTTTCCACTCTCTTGGCCTTTTTATCTCATCCCTTTCTTTTGCTAACCTCATCCATCTGAGTGTGTGTTTGTATCATAATTGATTACCCACATTTCCCACAATCTTGAAGGAAACTGTGCCACTGTTTGATTATGATATTTCCGGGAATACTTGATGAATTTCTTGCATCCATTATTAATAAAATATGATCTTCAGACTATCACCACTGTGAAGATCACAGGTAATTTGCGAAGATCTTTAACGTCAATAGATAAGGGATCATTGGTGGGCGAACCAAACCTTTTTGCCAGGGCCTATAAATCTTCTTCTTACTAATGCCTACAACATATCCATTTTTCCTGTGTCCATTTTCTCGTTGACTTCGAAAAGGAAATGTAAATTGTACCATTACATTATTTACTCGAACTATAAATTTCTGAATTATTGTAGTCTACTTCAGTCTATATCTGTTCATCTTTCCTTCAAAGTATTGGAAAACGTCCTCTTATTCGTAATCATTGACAACATTGCGAACCATGCACAATGATAATCTGTACGTTTCTTGCAAAGACTATTCACCCGGTAGATCAGAGAAAACAGGTCTGTTATCCTACATTTTTAACTTCTATGCTCTTGTACCCCACACATTCAATGGATATCTGATTCCCGTGGTTCTTCACTTTCATGCCAACTGAAATGAGTGAAACGCTGGATATCTTCATTCCATTTTCTCGTTTTTCGTGTCAGTGTCCATATCTTGGCTCTGCAACCGGTAATTTGACAAGTTTTGAAATTTATTCCTCATGTTTGAGGCACGCGATTGATTACGAATCCTTTAACTTGGTTAAGAGTGATCATTTATGGCAATTTTCCATCATATATGGTTGGGAAAAAAATGGAAACTCGCACAAACCTTGAATGATTTTATTTTATCAGTGTCAGCCAGGCATCCACTGCCCATCTGCTGTTGAAATATGCCAACTACTGAGAAGTAGGAAAAGCTGTTAAAGTGGTGTCGATTCTTAACCTTGTCCGGTTGATGGGCAAATATAGAAGAATAATGGGAAGTGTCCACAGGGACTACCATGGTAGTTTTCACAGAATATGTCCTTGAATATTACTACTGAAATCGCAATTTATTTTTTTTAATGGTGATGTCACATCGCACGAATTTTTCTGTAAGGGTAACTTTTTCTGCTGTTTATAATTGACTTTGGTGTGGCTCCTTTGTGAAGGTTTGCATGTAATTAATTATAATTTGAAACAGGACTAGTTTAGAACTATTTTTTTTTTTGTTGCCACAGGTTCCCGAGGAGTCACAATTAGTTTTCCGAGCCCCAATGGCATCTTTGGAATGTGGTCGTTTTATCAACAACGAAGAATTTTTATCTGGTTCAGATGATGGCAGTATTGAATTATGGAGCATCTTGCGGAAGAAACCCAGATTCATTGTAAAAAATGCGCATCCTGTATCAGTAGCTGATGTCCACATGAAAGACACTAAAATAGTATCAAATGGAGTTAGACAAGGTAACCAACATTGGTTTTCGATTCGTAATTCATTTACTATTCCATAAAGCATTGCAGTGGTGGTGTGAATAAAGTTCTGCACTCCTAATTGTTCACAGTGCATGATTCTTCTTAGACTATTACTATTACAAATTTGATCTTAGGAGAAAATTATTTTCATGCATATAAAATGTCCTCATTTCATATTTTTAATTTTTAAATTTCTTCATTGGTAAATGCATTTGGTGGATAATTGTTATCCAATGATCTCTCTACCACAGAATACCCCGGGTACAATGGTGTAGATGGCAACTTACAAGTCAACCCTTGTTCTTCGGCACAATCCTGGGTTAGTTCAGTTGCTGTATGTCGTGGCAGTGATCTTGCAGCATCGGGGGCTGGTAATGGTGTGGTTCGTCTATGGGCTATTGAGAGTGAGGCTGCAAGTATTCAACCTTTATACAATCTTCCTCTGGTAAGTCGTTTTAAGATCTTATTTCTTTCTGTTGGCTACTATATCTGTCGCAGGCCAATGTATCCCCTGGTAAATAGAGATGTATTTAAGAATAACTCAGATTGGACTAAACTTCGACCCAACTAAAAGTTTGCTTAATAAAAGTAAAAGTACATAATGGTTTATGAAACAAAGTGTTCTCTAAAACGCATGCATACGCCATAGCTTATCGAAAATTTTCGGTAGAAATATATCTACGATCGCTTCACAAGCAAGAACGTTTCAGACGCCTTTTTGTATGAGAAGATAGTCTAGCAAGTGCCAGTCAGCCCTCGAGGGTATACATTGGTTTGTTGTCCACTGCACCTGCCTCTTCCTTTGAGACTCCAAGTGTGTTGAGGTCAGCGTCCCTGGGCAACTGCCATTTGACTGACACATTGTACGTCTTCAACAATACATAAAGAACTGACGAGAGACTCTGTGACATAATACCTATCTCTAATTTCATCTCATGGTTTGTCTATCCCAGAAAAGTCGGTACAAATTTTGGAACCTACATTTTTTTTTTTAAATGTAGTATCAGATTGTTATAAGCCATTTCAGTTGATTATACGTCCAAAAAAAGCATATACATGACTTATCTATCTTCTTTGCTTCTCAAATAATAAGGTCCAGAAATCTCAGAATATCGATTTTTTAACATAATTTCATGCAATTATTCCTGAAAATATCACATCACATCGTCAGTCATTTTTCTCATGTATTTCTTTGGAAATGTACTTCAAAGAAAATACAGATAGCAGGAGAGATGGCAACAGGATCGATCATTTGTTGCTAGTAAACCTGCTGCTGATGATAACTAGCTAGATTCAAAATAATCTAAGTGGGCCCTTAGGAACTGTACATCTCGCCTCGTAAATACATTCCTTTTGCTTGGGAATCAATATCGCCAGCACCGCAGGTTCCTGCTAAGGCTCCATATCTTATCCCAGCGAAACCTTGTCGGCAATCATTGAAAACTGTTTGCTTCTTGTACTCCACGAAAACCAAAGTTTCTGTGTTCGTTTTTTACTGGGGTATTGGACGCATAAATGCAATAATCTTTGTTAGGAGATCTCTATACTTTGTTATGGTTGAATGGTGCCATGGTTGTCCTTTGACTTAATTCAGCACACATCTAATTTCGTATCAGATATGGTGTTAGTCTCTGCAGTTGCTTTTGATATTCTGTTTATACCTTTCTGAATTCCTTAAACCTGGGAGAGATTTTTTTTCTAGAGTGACCCTCCTTCAGCGATTTATGGTGGGGATGGGCTGTGCTCTTGTGTATGGATCAGTGTTCATCCGACGAGTTGACTAAAGAAACCATACGTTGACCCTACGTGTTTTGTCAGAATATGTGAATAATGAGGGTGGTTATTTTGAGAGACAGAATGGTTGGAGACCGGCTGCTGGGATTTTCGAGAAAATTGTCTCCTCAATTTCTAAACAATTTTAATGGTTTTTAATTTAAATCCATTTAATTGGGAGAACCCATAAACAAAAAAAATTCCTCATTTATTTTTTTCTTCCATATAACTTTACAACCCATGAACAGTTTTCTTTGTTGACAGAAGAACCATGAGCAACTCATCTCTAATGCAACATTATTGCAAGAAACTTCTAGAACGTTCCCTGAAAATGGAAATTTTGTTGACCCTTCAATCCTCCTCATGAGCTATATATATTTAGTTCACATCTGATATTTATTTGATAAAAAAATAACATCGAAACGCTGACTTATCTGGGATTCCCCTGTCACTCAGGTTGGCTACATAAATTCACTTGCGTTTGCTAAATCTGGGCGCTTTGTTGTGGCTGGAGTCGGGCAGGTTTGTCTCCATCTCTCAAAATGATTGACTTCTGACCCTCCTGTTCTTGTCCCCTTTTTTTCGCATATTATATTTAATAAACCTTTATTAAAAAAAATAGAGCTAGTAGAAAAGCATATGGCGACGAACCCATGTCATTTAAAATGTAATTAATTAATTAATTAATTAGTTAATTAATTAGTCCTTTTTTCTTCTACCCATCTTATTAATTATTCTGCTTTATCAGGAGCCGCGGTTGGGAAGATGGGGGCGTCTTGCAGATGCCGTGAATGGGGTTGCTCTGCATCCCCTCAGGCTCGACAGTGACGGCTCCAAGCATAGCTGAGCAAGTGGCGTGGCGTTACTCTTGGGCTGTGAGAAAAGCTTTCAATTTTGGCAATGAATTAATTTTTTCAGAGGCTGTTTGGTTTTAAAAAATCCAGCGGTTAATTCTTATAATCTGTCTGTCATTCTTTTTTTCTAAAAAAAAATCCCCATTCTGTTAAAATGAGGAAACACTAAACAATTGCCCAGAATCATGTTGTTTGGTTATGCTTTTATGGTCAGCTGATGTAGATTTATCCCGTTATTTCTTCCTATTCTGACTTTGTGTGAAAACAGGCACAGGAAATGGAGCTCTTGAGAACAAACAACCTACCCCTCTCTCTCTCTCTCGGTTCCCTTTCTACCAAGGTGGGACCCACGCCCCTCGCCCTCTTACGTGGTTAGACCGGGCTCACCTTGAGCCCGTGGGCTTTTCTGCTAAACTCAGTAGGCCTACGGGCCTCAATTGTCGGCTTGCCTGTTCTTTAGGTCTTTAATGACCTGAGCCTTGGGCCCAGACCGTTGACACCTCACCTACGTACGCCTTAAATTTTCTGCCCTTGTTAGAGACGTTCATCGACTTCTGAGAATATCCAGTGGACTTGCTGGTAGATACTAAACTCATCAGATCGGTCAACCCAGCTTTGGTTTTCCTCTATATAAAGCAAATTAGATAAAGTTGTTGGTTTTTCTGTCACAAGCCAAATAGGGAAAAACATTCTGATCTAGGAATTTTACTCTTGCTTCCCCAAAATAAGTGGGGTTTTTTGTCATTAAACCCCTCCATCTTGTGTAAGGACTCTTCAAAAACCCTCAACAACCCTTTATTTATTTACCCACTCGGGTCATATGTAGTGTAACTTCTAAAATGCGTGGTCAAAATCTGTCTTCTTTGTTTAAAGAACAAATTTATCGCCATATTTGTAAAGGGTATTAATGTCTTTACATATTCACATAGATGGATTGGTTTGATATCTTCTGAACGGCTAACCTTATATAAGGTAATAAATTTAATTAAGAATATGAGTGTAATTAACGTAATTACAATATTTGCTTCTTTTGTAATAATAAACACAAACAGCATGTTGGTAAACACGTTCAAACAGAATTAGCAACCTTATGTCATCAAGGGGCATGGGGATATTTTAGTCTTTTCACTATGTATCCAACAATTAAGCATAGTACTTTTCACATAATCATGAAGTATTATAGCCTTTATGCAAAGAAAAATGAATTTTTTATGAAAAAACAAGGGATATAATTTTTTATAAAGTAGTTGCAATTCGAAATAATAAAAAATTAAAAAAAAATGGAAAGTGCTTACAATTACGTGCTTATGGCTTTTTTAGACGACTCTTAAAGAAAAAAAAAAAACTTTTCGCCTTGGATTTAATGAAAATTTTGGTGGTTCTAAGGCTACTCATTTGAATTTGTTTTTTTTTTTAATTCAGAATTGGAATCTAAAAAAAATTCAGAAAATTCCAAACCCGGGTTAGCCGGGTCCCAGCCGAACCGCTATTTTTTTCGGATCTAGTATATATTCGCCGCGTGTTCATTCAGCGCCTTTTCCCTCACTCGTTTACCCCCACCCGAAGCGAGTCGGGAAACGCCGGAATCGCCTCCCTCTTCCGGACCGGTTGGGTTGCTCGTCCTCGCCCCTTCCTCTGCCTCCGCCGTAGGAGGGCAATCGATCCAGGTACCTCCTCCAGGCCCCGATCCTTGTTTCTGGCCTCCTCCCCCCGGGCGATCGCTCCTCTTCTTCTCTGCCCGTCTGGGTGTCGTCAATTCTTTCTCTCTGAGGCGCCCCTCGAGAACGTGTTTTGCTTAAGTGTACTTTCTTCCTCGCCGGTGCCGTCTCTTCCCCTTTTAATCTCTCTCTCTCTCTTTCTCTCTTTCTCTCTCTCTCTCTCTCTCTCTCTCTTTCTCTCTCGTGTTGCCTTGGTTTGGCGGGGTTTTGGGTCGTGCCTCGCGGTGGATCCGTGCCTCCTGTTGTGTGAGTGTGATGCGGCCCCTAGGTTGAAAACCCTTTTCTCAAGTATTCTGACTGGACTTAAAATCTAGGGTTTTTTTTCCCCCGTCCTTTAGATGAGTCATGATTGTTCATTTTTTAATGTTCTCTGCCGTTGGCAGTTGCTACGTTGCTGACTCTGGGAAGGTGCTTCTGGGAGGGTGGGTTCTCTCTTTGAAGCTGTGCCACTTGATTCGTTGGCCAGTTGAGAGGTGAGTGAACGTTAGCGCCTTGTTCTTGAATTGCGACTCAAAATGCTTTTGTTGAATCACGTTTGGTTAGTGTTATTGGAGTTTCTGTGTGGTTGCAATGAGAGTGCTGATCGTTCTGTCCCTTTTCTATGCTCTGTTCTCTTATCGGCATATTTCTCATCTTCTGACAGTTATGTGCACGTGGACAGTTTTGTCAGTGCAATGCCACAGCATGCCTTAAGGAGATCACATTGTTTTATCAATTGACGTTTTGTTTATTGCTCTTTCTATCACATTGAGTTGATATATCTGTTTATCTGTTACCGCAGCATGGCTACATCAACTGATGTATCGTTGATAACTTATATTCTGTTGACTGATGCTTATATTGCGGTTAACATTGTCTATGTATCACGGTGCCAAGTAGTGTTTTGTGGGGTGATCAGGAATTTTCTCAATTACTACGAGTATACAGTGAAAGATATTTTTCTGTAAATTTATGGGATGCAGCCGCAGAGGAAATAGAGAAAGGAAAAGTGGTTAAACCACTGATAAAATTCTTTCTTCTTCTTGATGTGTCCATGCCCCAGGGTTTTAATTGGGCCCTAGTGGCCTCCTAATCTTAGTTGTAGATTGGTTCATCAGATTTGGATGTGATAGCTAAATGATAATAACTTGGAGGGAGATAAATCTCCGATAATTATCAGAATCCATGTTTCTGTTAATGCATTTTATTGCTAGGTTTGTGTAAAATGTGCGGCTATAGAATTAACTGATCCTTTATCCTTATGGAATCGTGTTCATAACATTACAGCTTGCTGGCTCTATGCGAAGCCTTCCGATTCATGAGTTAAATTAATTCTTCATAGTTCTAACCCTTGTTACAATACGGTCAAATGTGTCTTCTGGATTATTTTCGAAGGATGTGTGCAATTGTAAGAGGGATTTGAACATTGGCTTGTATAATCTGGGCTTGTTGTGGTCAGTGTTGAGTCTGTATATTCCACCTTAAATCTCGAACTTTCTGAGTCTCTGAATTGCCCATTATTGAAGTCAATATCCATCACAGTCTAGCCAATCGTATGTTCATTCCGTAGTGTATGTTCATGCCAGAAGAAACAGAAAGACGAGAGTCTTGAATCGAGCAGATATAAACCGGGAATCGACGGAAGAAACGAGGTAGAGGATCAAAGTTTGATTCGAAGGGCCTAAAGGACTCTCAGGAATACTTTTTTGTAATCTCAGCCGTTGAAATTCGACGTCAATGTTGGATTGCATTGATTAGGGTGTAAATGGTCAATGCCAATCAGTCATCTATAAACAAGGATATTACTGTCAGAATTTTATATATGTGAGAGGGTAAAGTATTGGGCACATCTATTGATAACCATGCATATTCTGTCGAATATAGTCTCAAAACGTGAACTATTGACTCTCATAATGTGCCATTATAAAAGTGATTTTTTTTATCATCTCAGTCTCCTTAAATACATTGTGGCAAACATCCTGAAGCTTCTCATGCTGCTGTCTAAATAGCAAGAAGACTGCAAATACGGTTATAAAAAAAAGTGAGATTCCATTGTTCCCGTATCTTATGATCTACATGAGAGATTGTGCAAGATTGAGAATGTTGCTTAAGGTTTCAATGCCGTAGTTGGCAACTGAAATAGTTGGGAACTGATGAATGGTGCATCAAATACACATCGTGGAGTGATTGCGAATATTTAGTAAGATGTGTGTGGGAAGTACTTTTCTTATGTTGCATGATTTGTGATCTGATTTTGCCTTCATTTTCTGTTTTGTGTAGGTTTATTCTCAATGTTTTACTCTCTGATGCCACCCTAGCATAGAGGACTTCCTTTGTATTTTCTTATTTTCTTCCACAAAATGTTGCTGTTTGAAGATCTTTGTAAAAGAAACCCCGCGTCTGAACAATTCGTACTCTCTTTCTTCCATCCTTACTGATAGGAGAAGGGAGACGAATGTATATAAAAGAACTGCATCACCAAAAATGGTTCGATAGATGTTAAGAGATTGCTTCAAAACTGTGAATTTACTCAGACTTCCACAACTCTATGTATAAAATGACAATATGGAGGAAAAATTCCATCCGGTTCTCCATTGCCTTGAGACTTAATAGTGTTATCTTTTTTCTGCTATCCCAGATGGAAATAATAGATTCTTTATTCAAACAATGGCAGGGCTTCCTTTGTATATTTCTTTGATTTTTTCCCTAGGTTTCTTCCTCTTGCTTTTTTATGGTACGTAAATAGATGCCCTCGTCCTTGGTTGTATCTGTGGCATAAGGTCATCTTGCAGCCAAATAGTTTTGGCTGCATGCTTTCATGGGCTGTCAATATGTATCTTGCCATAAAGTTGACAATGCTTTTTTTGGAACACAACTTATTTAGGACTTAGTGTCAGTGGCTTAGTTATTATAATTATCTTAGGCCTTATCTCATGATTCTGGATCAGGAGAGCCAGTGAGGATGTAAGGAATCCCCTACAAGGTCGCCATCATCTTTGACTAATTTTAGCTGACTGCACATGAGAGACAACGCGTTTGAGTGTGGTTTTTGATAATGCTCAATTTTCAAGCGACATTAAATGTTTCTATGGATTTTATCCTTTTTCTTTCTTTTCAGACTGGGGAGCCCCAGAATTACAGAATGAATCTGCAACCAGTTGTGCAGTCCAGATCTTCTGCCAATGGGTTTATTCCTCGCCGAAATGATGGAGAGATGGGATCACGGACGGACAGCAAATCTCACATATTTCAGATGACAAAGTCATCTTATGGTAGTGTTAATAGTTCAGGCATGCCCTACTTTCTTCCTCCAGAATAAGTGCTTTCTTTATCCTAAGAGTTTAATTGTACAGGCCTTTCAAATGGCGGGGATACAGGAGGATTCGGGGGTCCTTCACGTGATCGGTTGATTTTTGTTTCAACTTGTCTTATTGGCCATTCCGTGGAGGTTCATGTGAAAAATGGATCTGTGCTGTCAGGAATATTCCATACAATAAATGCTGAAAAGGATTTTGGTATGTGTATGCCTGTTGAAGTAGTTTTTATTGATATTTCTCTCTGGAAATATTGACCTTCATTTTAGTATCTGTGGTCCTTGCTCTTCAATTCTTATTTGATAATATGCAGGAATTGTTCTGAAAATGGCCCGCATAACAAAGGATGGTTCTGTTAGAGGACCAAAGCCTGTGCCTGAAACTGTCAAGAAGCCTCAGACGATGATCATTCCTGCCAGGGAACTTGTTCAAGTTATTGCTAAGGTCCTACTGCGTTTTTTCAATAGTTCACTTTCATTTCGGTTCATTGTTTTATTTTAAAACTGTCGGAATGATATGAAAATACGTTTTGATGCTGCAATTTCGTTCTTGCTTGATTTTTGCCGAGAAACACGGTAGTATCACGTGTTTTACTTTTCATTGATTGGATGATTAGCAAGAGGCAGTTGGTTGTATGCATGGCCCTGACCTAGATCCATTCTTTTTCAAAAACTTCAGGGTATATCATTAACAAATGATGGATTCTCGAGTGGAAGTACCCACGAGAAACGCCAGGACTTCATGACAGATTCAGCAATCTCTCAATCTCGTCGTGTAGATGTGGAGAGGGAGCTTGAAAGATGGACGCCTGACAAAGATGATCCCCAGTGTCCAGAGCTGGAAAACATATTTGACAAGCACTGGAATAGGTTACTTTGAAATTCTTAAGTTTAGGACAGTAATAGATATCCTCTGTTTTTATGCTAGATTTTAAGGATTTTTGTTCAAAAGCTTAGTCTTTGCATTGTTTATCTGAAAGTTTTGCAATTTTTAGATTATATTACTTATGAATTTACTGTTCCTATATGTAATCACTATGTTGGTCTTGTATTCTTTGATGACGTGTAATGAAGCCTCTGCTCTTTGCACTTAAGTTTTGAACATGTACTTTTTATATACCTCGATTGTGCTATGTTGCCATTTTTGATATTAACTTTTCCATTTGGAGCATGGTCATGGGCTAATGAATTGCGGACCAAACTTATTTTTCATTTTCTTAAATCAGAAGATATATAAATTTAATAATTCCAAGGTAGAATCTGAATTTTCTCTTCTTTTTTTTTTTGATAGTGAATCACCAGATTAGTAAAGAGTGAATATGTTGTCGTGTGTGATCCATGAGCTCTTATAGTTTTAAACGTAGCAGTTTAGCAAACCTGAATATTTAACATTATCTTCACCGCCTTGGCATACCACATATATTTATCAAAGCCCTACCCAATATTGTTTCTTTGATTTTCTTTTTTGCGCCACTTATGAAAATAAGGAATTTCCATGAATCATCTATATAAGTAAACTTAGAGGATGTAATTTTTTCAGATTCTTATCTGTTTTTATTCTTGAATTCCAATGGATAAGTTGCATGACCTGCTCACTCTTGGATATGATAAAAAAAAAAATTAATTTCTTTCACCCCCTCTTATATAGGAGCTGGAACCAGTTTGAAACAAATGAGGCTCTGTTTGGAGTAAAGACTACTTTTAACGAGGAGCTCTACACAACCAAGCTTGAGAGAGGCCCTCAGATGAGAGAACGGGAGAGAGAAGCTTTGAGAATAGCTAGAGAAATTGAGGGGGAAGATACTAAAGATTTACATCTAGCTGAGGTGGCCTTAACATCTTAAAATTGATTTTTTTTTAGTTCAATTTCTTGATATTGGGACCTTATCTTTTCAATTTTATGACAGGAAAGGGGCATTCATTTTAATGAAGATTTTGACTTTGACGAAGAGGCTAGGTTTTCATCAGTGTATAGGGGAATTGGTGGTGAGATGGACAGGGAAAACGAGGACATAATATTGGATGATGTGAATTCTGAAACATTTGGTGGCTCATTCAGATACGGGACTAACCAGCAGTTTTCTGAGATTTCTCAGAGGAAGAACAACGGAGCACAGGCCACGTCAAGCAGCTCATCAAGGGTTTGTTTTTGTCCATATCTTTTTTTTCCAGAATGGTTTTATTTCTATGAAGTGTCCTATTCTCAGCTCGATCAGCACTACTCATTGCATGTATTTATGGCTTCTATGTGTATATTATTTTATATTTTTGACAGTTGTGATACATAACGATATCCAGCTGAATCTGGAGTGGCTTATTCTGCATTTGTACTAAGGTTAGGTTGATCTGTGGGCTGTTCTAACCGATCCAAGTTTGTAAACCCCACTAGTAAACACCGATTCACCAAAACACTATGAATGAGTCCCGTTTATGTAAAATCATTAAGCAAATTATAGTGTCAACTAGTACTGCAAAAATCATTAAACAAACAGTTCAATGTCGAACCACTAAGAGTGATGTGTCAAAAAAATTCTATAACTGTATTGGACCTTTCATTTGCCCCTACCGTAAAATTGAGAAACTATAACTTTTTTTAATCTATATGATGTGTAGGATGAAGATGGATCTTCTTTAGATGGTTTGGTCAAGGGTGTGCCTCGATCTGATACGACAGATCATGCTAGACAGCTGACGACAGATGGTGGCCCAAAGACTCGTGATATTGATGGGTCCGTGTTCATATTCCAATTTCCCTATTTGTGCCTTCTCTATTTAAAAAATTATATGCGCTTCTTGTGATGGGGAAATATCCTCATTGACTTTAATTAATGAATGCTTCCAAAACTTCTCATGGTTGAATATTTTCAGGTTAGATGAGAAGCAGCTTGGATATCAAGGAGGAAGGAATTTCGAAGATGACCACACTGAGAAATCTGTAAGTTGATGTGGAGTAACATTGAAATTGTTTCGTAGTCCATTAAACATCTTTGTGATGATATTTCATCGATGAGATACTCATGCATGTATTTTTCATGGTTCCATTTACTGTCTTTGTGACTCAGGCTTCTCAGGATGCAGAATCATCGAAGTTTGAGGGTAAGTTTTATCTCTGTTCTGGTTTTTGCTTAGCTCGATAAATTGCACTGTGGTTCTTTTTTAGTGCGTTTAAAGTTTACAAAATTTTCTCCAACTTTTGAAGTTTTTTTTTAATTTAATACTCTCTTCAGGATGACAGAAAGAAACTCTTATAAATACTTTTCTCCGCCTGAAGTTTGCTTTAAAATCAAAATATGATGGTGGCCGTTAGCTCATCTTCAATAAGAGGATAATAGAAATGTAGTGTTCTGAATTGATCATCTCATTTTAGTGTCACTAGATGGTAAGAAACACTTCTTATCATTGTTGTCATTAGAAGCATTATCTGGTCAGTCTACTTTAGCATTATCTGAACACCAATAGGGGTTCTGATAATTGGGCGAAGAGCTTGTTCTTGGTTATGTGCCCTGATTTGAACCGTCTACAATGTGGTGTCACATTAAACTAGTTATTACAATATCTAGTCAGTTGTGCCGGATTTTTTTCCTCTGGAAAGCATCATCTGGGCAAGGTCTTGATAAGAAGGGAAGAAGATGAATTTACTGTAAGGATTCATGTATCTTTCCCAGAGTATTTATAAACTGGTGCAAATTTCTCACAAAAACATCTACCACCTTTTAAGAGTCATTGTTATATTGCTCCGTTTTATGGACCTCCTACAGTCATTGTTGCCACCACTTTTGAGCCTTTTTGTATTCACCTTTACTTCACGAACGTACTTATATCATGGATAATTACATATTCTGATCTGATTTTTAAGAGTTACTTATGAATAAGACTGCCCATTAAAATAAGTTCTAGGACGTATCATTCTTTGTTGGGAGTGTCTGCTGCATGATCTGGAATGGAATTGGTGTTTTATTTACCAATTTAATGTGGGGTTTCATTCTCACACTTTTTTTTCAATTTTTTTCGAAAAGCGTGTCTGCTACAGTGGAATGCCTTTCCTAGAAAATGTTGTTATCAGAAATTAGTTAAGTTAATTATAGACCTTGCCTTGGGTAGCATAATGCGGAGCAGCCTGTAGTAGAGGCCTGTCATGTTTTTCCCTTTTATTCCCCTGTTGCTTTTGATGGTATGATATATAATGTTTTGCTTATTTTTCTTCTCTTTTATTCTTTTCTGGAGATGTTCATGTAGTATCAACTTTCTAATCTGGAAAATTATTTCTTTTGTAGATACACTTCCATCGTTAGATACGGGGAAGTGCTCCATCGATAAAGGGGCTTTATCTGCCAGTGCCACTGCTTATTCTCCATCTTCAGTTCAAGAAACGAAAGACTCTAAGAGTTCATTTTCGGCCACTAACCAGCTTGCAAATCCTCAATTAAGACCCAGCAGTTCGACATCATCCTCTTCTGAAAAATTAGTTGAAATTTCAACGTCAAGTGGTCTGAACTTGCCTCCAAGCCCTTCAGCGGGATTCTCAACTTCAGAAAAGTCTATGTTGAATCCTCACGCAAAGGTCTGGCTGAACTTAAATCCATAGTATTTGAGTTTGCTTCAATCAGTTTCTCGGACGATTGCTGATATTTTTCCTTTTTGGGTGGTATGAATTCAGGAGTTTAAGCTCAATCCCAACGCAAAGAGCTTTGTTCCATCATCTTCTATTCGGCCCAATTCACCAGTAACCGACAGTAGCTTCTATTATCCTCAAAATCCCACTCTTTCACAGATGCATGGCCTACCTCTGGGCGTCAGTGTGAGATTATATATGCTTACTTATTTATGTTTCCTACGTCTCCTGCGACCCTTGTGATCACATTCCTGAAGTTCTATTCCCAGTTTATTTCTCTCTTAGAAATTTGTATGCCTTCATGTTTATTGATCTCAATTATTACCAACGTCTTAACTTTGTTGATTATATAGCTTAAGCCTATCAGGTTATCTTAATACCTGTAAGTCAGCTTTTATGGACATCATCCATATTTATGTTCTCGCAAAAAAAAAAATGGTTGGGGGTGGGGTAAGTAATGTGTAAAACGCTTCAAATAAAATTTATGCTATTTCATTCTTATCCGGACCAGAACTTTACCCAACTGATAGGGGGGATTCAAACGCCATTTCTGTACTTCATCATGAGGCTTGGATGCTGGCAAGCTAAAACATTCACCCAACATATCACATGCGCAATTGGACACCTTTTAACATATCACCTGCTTTCAGAATGTTCGTTGAAACATGAGGTGGATATTTATTGGGTCGTATCATTGTGGACTCCCAATCCTGGTTGTTTTTTTTTTTTTACTGTATGTGGTCATTTGGTTTGTTTGTGACGAGCGATTGATCATGTGTTCTATCCCGTATTTTTGTCCACTGTGGATGGACAAAGTTTCAGGCTGAATGTGGAAAACTGGCTTTTAGTTTTTACCACATATTTCGCTGCACTTGAAAAAAAATGCAAGTGATGGTATTTGGTAGAAAGTCACGGAATCATTGTTTAGTCTTGAAATTAAATGGTCTGTTGTCCGCATGACAGAGAAGAGCGTAACCCAGTTTTTGCTCGTTCATGGGGATACGATATTGCAGTGAAAGAAGGATAGGTCCAAGCAGACGTGCAACTTTGACCCTTAAGTGGTTAATGTAAAAGCACCTGATTTTTGTGATCTTTTGTCTTTCTTAGTTTTGACTTAAGCAATGGTTGTTCTTGTTGATCTTATGCTAATGGTAACATTGGTCTGTTTAACCAACCAAAAACTTTCAGTCAGCCTTAAAAATTGCTTGAAGTGCATTTAAATAAATGTTAATGAGGGAGTATCATGTTCTTTATATTTCTAGATAAAAGGGGTTGTACACCTTCAGAGCACTGAAAAATTTCACGTGCGATTTTTTTTCCCCTGCATGAAGATGGTGGATACCATCTTCGTCTGAGTAAATCTACCTTGAATCCGACGTTTGGAAGTGCTTTGTATTTCTAACCACTTTACACTTATTGTATATCTGGCTCCACGACTAGTATCTCTCATTTAGTGGTATCTCTTTCCTTTCTACTTCTAGGCATCAGATTATTTGTCATAGCCACCGAATTTCTCCATGGTGACTAGTCTGTCAAATCACTATATACGTTTTATATAGTGATCTAAGCAGCCTTCAACATTCTGTTTATCGATTGCCTGGTATCTTATTCTTCCTGAGGACATCTTAGTGAATTGTTTTGTATTTTTGGCTTCCTTCATTCGTTGTCATGCCTCTTAGTTTCTAGTGCTAGTTTTATTTTTCCCCGAGTACCACCTCTCTGTGCTGCGTGTCTTCCGCATCAGACATACTGACGTTTCCCTCTATTTACACAATTATTTTTTATTTTTTATTCCAGAGTTTCTCTACTAGTTCCCATCTATTTTTTAGGTCTTTTCAGCTTTAGTGCTATCTCCCCAATCAGCCTGGCTGAATTGATATTGGGTTTGTCAAAATCTTTGTAACTTTTGAGATCTCCCATTCAGTACCTCTCTAATCTGGAAACTTTGCTGTGTCTATTCCTTTTCTTCTAAAAAGGGTAGATTTAAAACACCTCTTATGACGTTAACCAGTAAAAAAATAAGGAAGTTGTTCGGTCCGGACTGAGAGGGGTGACAAAGCGAACTTGTTCTGAAGACTGTGGCAACAATCAAAGTCACCATTCCAATCAGATCGTGTTTCTTATCCCGTCTTCTGCTAAAAATAGTCGCAACATCAAAGTCTCTCCTTAAGCTCCATGTTTTCCAAGGTCTTTCGTTGTGTTCAAGCAGTTTCTCTCTAAGAGACTTCTACCATTCTCTGGTTAAATTGCCATACATATCAGATAGGTCTTGCATAAACTAGTGTTCAAGTTCCCAAAGGAGAAATACACAACATGCCAGGCTACATGTCAAAACTCGATCACCTTCTCGATTACATCTTTTATATCGTTACAACCATTGCAGGCTTGACTTTAGTTTGCCCAATTCTTCTTACCATCTTCCCTGTCTATGTATTTTGCCTCTTATGGACGATAGGCGAGTGAAGCAATGCCCCTGGAATTGTGTATCTAGGAGAAGATAATATCCTCTGAAGAACGATTGCAATGGAAATAATTTAGTACCTTTTCCTGGATGCCGAGTATAATATGTAACAAGACGATCGGCCCAGACAACTCAGCAGAAACCCGTGCTATTTCATGAAGAAGAGAAAGAATGAAACATGAATCGGCTGCAGTCTTCAATTATCTGATTTTAAATGTGAATTGCCCTCGAAGAAAGGAATTCTTGTGTGATGGGAATCAACGCTTCGATAATGCTCATATTATGGAATGCAACAGGAGAGTACAATGAGCCCATTTTCGTCATCGTTATTTATGAAGCACCTATATGCTTGAGCTTACTAACCTGGCTGTTTTCGCGGGCCTAATCACATGCTTTTTGTTCGAGTCTGCTGGCTTTGTAGAGGGTAGGCATGAGAGAGATTGCTGAAAATAGTTGTTATCTAGGACCCACGTCTCTTTAGTACCTAAATACCCTATGCGATAGAGACTTGTCTTATGGTCCATTCAATGCTTTCTGCAGATGGGGTCGACATTTCCTGGGCAACAACCGGTTGTTTACAATCCACAGGGTTTACAGATGCAAACACCTCAGGGGTACATCAGTCCTACTGGACCTCTGGTACTCTATTTTTTTCTTATTATGTTTAGTCCTACTGTTCTTTCTACTGTTTATGGATTGAAATGTGCTTTTACATAATAAGTGGTTTTGAAAAGAAATTTCTTTTTTGGTAGTATGGGCAACAGATGATTATGGGTCAGCCTCGGCCAGTTTTCTACATGCCAGGATACCCACAAGTAAGTCTACCAAAACAATTCTCTATTCACTCGATTAATCATCTTAATGCCATATGAAAAACTGGATTCCCGATTCCTCATTATATATGCATTCATTATACACATGTACTAGAAATATATGTTTTATTTATGAAATGATGTCGATGCCTGGCCCATGTGGACCCATCATTTCATGGTATCTGGGTTTGTTCCCCTATGGACCCTGGCTATGCGCAGAAATATATGTTTTTTCTGGAGTTGGCCTGAAAACCAGGCAGTCTCTGGGGTCACCAGACCCAAACAATCTCCGAAACTCTAAACAATTATTTTATTTTATTTTTTTGCATCATCTTTCATGGGCTAAAACCAGGAAAAAAAAAAAAAGAAGAGGAGAATTTACGTCTCTGTTTCTACCACACTTCTATTTGATGATCTAATCTTCCTTGTGTATCCAGGATATGCCTTACAAAGGACGGGAATTTTAACTCTTTGACGCAATTGGCATCGGTTTCCGACTCGGTGGAACCCCGCCCTCGCCAATGCCATAGCCGTATGCTTGTGTTGCATAATGGTCATCGGCCTGATGTGGGGCCGATGGCCTTGACTTAGTTTTATGGTATATTTGGGTAGTGAAACCTTGGAAAGGAAGAACTGACTCGAAGTCTGGGTATGGAGTTTTTATTATATCCTCTACTTTACTGCTTTGCTGTAAATTGATTGAATGGAGTTGCCACTAGAACCCACCGGACCCCTCCCTCTTGTGCAAGCCGACGCCGCATTTGTGCTTTCCTCATTCATGTCTTAGATGGATGGAGTTCCTTGGGTTTTTATCCGGTAAATATTTTATGGAGATCCATGAAGAATTGGCAGGTCAGAACTTCAGGAGGATCTTCATCTTGCCATTCAATCAGGGGCATTAAAAGAGTATTCTGGCTGTTGGTAGATGCATTTCTCAGGGTTTTGTGGGTTCTCATCGGTATAAAAAAGTGCAGATCCAATTCGATTAGGGTTCCGAAATTGTTGATTTTACCCGATTTCACTTGATGGGTTCAGTTGATCTAATGGGAGCAGTGTTCTGATTTTTGGTTGATCTTACCAGGTTGCTGCTTGGTGAGTTCTTCACCATGTCAATAAAGAATGATTAGGGTTGACTGATGATTCAGCTAATTTTGCCCTGATTAGGTTTCCTATCCTCAACCATCTGGGCTTGCATCACTTTTAGGCCTCAATCTTACAGGCGTTCCAATTATTTTGGCAGTCAGTAGTCATCAACTTGGGTTCCTCAATCTATCTGATCGAATCAGATTAGGGTTCTAGCTTTGTCCGAATTCTATGAATCAACTTGGGGGTTATTTCTCAATTCATCTGATAATAGTTTTGTATGATAATGGGTTCCAGTTTTTGGTCCCTCTGACTAGGGTTTCTCACATCAGATTAGGGTTCTAGCTTTGTCCGAATTCTATGAATCTACTCGGGGGTTATTTCTCAATTCATCTGATAATAGTTTTGTATGATAATGGGTTCCAGTTTTCGGTCCCTCTGATTAGGGTTTCTCACATCAGATTAGGGTTCTAGCTTTGTTCGAATTCTTTAAATCTACTTGGGGGTTATTTCTCAATTCATCTGATAGTAGTTTTGTATGATAATGGGTTTCAGTTTTTGGTCCCTCTGATTAGGGTTTCTCACATCAGATTAGGGTTCTAGCTTTGTCCGAATTCTATGAATCTACTCTGGGGTTGTTTCTCAATTCATCTGATAATAGTTTTGTATGATCATGGGTTCCAGTTTTTGGTCCCTCTGATTAGGGTTTCTCACATCATCCGATATAAATCTGGTTAGGGTTTCACCAAATACGATAGGGTTTCTTAGGGTTTGGAACGGTTCCTGCTCCAAGATGCATCGTAGTTTTTGCCCGATTAGGGTTCCGATTAAAATCGCCTTTTATGATTAAAAAAAAAGGGAGGAAGAAGACGATGGAATCCCGAGGCATCGTATTCAGCCATTTACTGGTTCTTTGATCGATTGGCCGGGTGGGGGCGCATGCCACGTTCGATCGTGACGACCCCCTTTATGCGTTGCCACTCGGTGCTTTGCCGGTGGGGCCCCCACGGTGGCCGCACGCGGGAGCAATCCAGCTGCCACCTGGGCCCGGGTATTGCCTCTCCACGCCGTCCGATCAAGGGATCCCCGTGGACCAAAGGACGGCGAGGATCGTTTTGAAATCGTGGAAGCTTCTCGTCGGTCGGTTCCGCCGCTCGTTTCGCCGGCTGTGGAAGAAAATGAAACGAGCGATAGACACGTGGCAAGACGGGTAATTCGTTCTCGACTGTCTAATTAAAAGAATATTCTTTGCAAGGGGAGGTATTTCCGGATCGGCCTGAGGAACCCTGTCGAGATAGAATTCTCTCTCTCTCTCTACTCCTCCCTGTCTGTGCGCCGCAGGCCACCGTCGCGCTCTCCACAGCTAATCCGAGTCGAACACGCGCTCCCCCGTTTCTCGAGGACCGGTGGGATCTGTAGATTCAGGTAATGGGAAACCATTAGCTCTCTGCGCCCTGCTGGGACGTTACCGCGTTGCCTGCTTGGCTCCCTGGTTCTGTGATACCTTCGTGTTGGTTGGTCGATTTGTCTTGAATTATGTCAGTTGCGACGGCTTCCCAATCGCGTGGGGCGAGTGTATTGGAATATACCTGGTTGGCGGATGGCGCTTTCCTTTCTGTTCCGGGTCCTCTTCTTTTTCGCTCTTTTTCTGATCCGTTTATTAACTGCGATTCAGGGTTTTGGTGGTCTTCGAGGAGGGGTTCTTTTATTTTGGGAGGATTGCGGATAGATAAAAAATGTTGAAATTTTTGCTTCTTATACGACGCTTCCCTGTCTACCCTTTAGCAATGCAGAAAAAGGCTCCGTTGATGTGGTTTTAGCTCCTCGTCTCAACTTCGCCTGATGAAACGACGAAAATGGCTCTTTGTGTCTCGTATTCTGGATTTATGCGTGATGCTCTCAGATACAGACGTGAGGATGAAACCTGCAAACCATTAGTTTATTTGCATCTGTTAATAATTGGTGAAGACCGTCGGATGGGTAAATGAAGTGTTCATCTTATGAAATGCATTCAATATCCTTGGCCGAATAATAATGCTCACATAACTGATTTGAGTATCTACTTGATTAGTGTAAGTTGATGTAAGAAGATTAATTACAGCGTTTTGGAAACTATTTTCATGAATACAGCTATCGGAGAGAAGCATTGCATGAATTAAATCATGATAGGAGGCCGACGAATCTTCTTGGATTGATGTGTTTGTGTTTTGTCCTTGTAGTAACTTTTACAACAGTTTGATCTCCGTCATTGATCCTCACAAATCTTCTTAGCATAGAGTAACTTGAACGAATTCATAATCTTATTGAAGGCTCTGTGCTTGCATTGATCAGGCTACAGCTATTCTAAGAAACAAGTCGACTATTTCTCCCCATCTCCATGTGCCCTGGAAGAGGAAACGAGATCCCATGCTGAATTAGGAAGTTATGATGACATAAGAGGTGATCCATTTGAAAGAGTTGGGATTGTTTAGTAATTTTCTCTTGCCTGGCTTGGTTCATTGGAAGGTACTCGATGGTGATCGCATCATGTGATATCAAATTAATTTTCCTTTCACTACACATAGGAAATGAGGCTTTAGTTCCCTGCCAATTCCTGGGGCCCACCGTCTGAAACAAGAAAAAAAACGTGTGCTTTAGGATCACACGTTGAAATCACTAGAGTCTAATATGTATCTTTGGCATGTGGTTACAGATAATGATTACGGCTTGTGGGCATTGAAAGGTATACAAAAAGGTTGCAAATTCTGGTATCCTATGAAAATATCAGCCCTCATATGTTACGAGATGTGAGAAATATAAACAAACTTATAAGAAATCCCTAGAATCATCTGCCGTGTTTTTTTTCCACTCCCTGGAAATGCAGCCTCTTGGGAATTTTCAATGTTTTAATGAGTTCCCAATTCACGAATGATCATATGATCTTAAACATGAATAATTTTCTGTCATATAGTATGCAAAATTTCAAGTTGAGGCACCACATATCATGCAAAAAAAAAAACCCACCTAAGAAAAATCTCTTGCCTGAAAAACAAGATGCCAATGGAATGTGGTGAAGATATGCCAAACGATGGAATTGGAGGCTCTTTCATTACGGAAGAAATTGAGGAGATTCCCATTATGTCGATTATGGAATACATTCTCGAAGCAATATTTCCTATCCTTAATTGTTAAGGATAAAATTGGGATGTATTCCCTTAACGATGGAATACATTGTTAAGTTTCTGGGGATGTATAAAATGGGAATTGTCACGCTGCCATTGCCCCTTCTGTTGATTCATTTTATTTGGGGTAGAAGAAAAAAAAAAAAAACTCCGTTCATTCATACTGAAAAGCTATGAACATTACTAGCTGGTCTGGTTTTCTTTTCTCCCGGCGTCCTTTCTCTTTTGAGCTTCTTGCACATTCATCTGACGACTACGTTCTGTCAAAGGCTTGTACAGGACAACGCTGTCAAGATTCTGTGTTTGAGGGAGGAGAGGAGAAGAAAAAATTCCTTTTTTGTAGCATAAGTGGCATTCTTATAATAATTTTCCTATTCATTTGTACTTGCACGAGAAAACCCAGACTATGATGAACTTAATTTTCATGGCATTCTTCTCTCATTTTCATTCTGAAAATTGCAGAATCATTTGAAAACCCTTGACGAGAGCGGGTAATTACTTTATGTTATATGGAAGACAAAAGGCTATGGATAAATGCTCAGGAGAGATCGATTCCGTGATCCTCTAGGTGCCGCTCGTCCGTGAAGATCTGTTATTCTTCTCAAGTTAGAGCAGTTCATGCATGATGACATCTTCCGTGCAGAATTTGCCCAGTAAGTTATGACAATTTTCTCTTTTAGATCGATTTAGCAGCCAAAACAGAGATTCATCTCAAGGAATATCAGACCCAGTTTTGAAGTGGTTCAGAGAAGGAAGAAAACTCTGCTCTGACATTTTTTTTTCTGATCTTTTCCGCGGTATTGCATGAGCTGCTAGCTTTTGTCTCATAATTCTGGCTGATCTTCCTGCTTCCTTTCCCGGATTAAACTGTTCTTCTCTTGCTTCCCCGCTCTGGTTCTCCTACACATCTCCTCGCCATGATCATTTTATAGGGGCAGCCATGCCCTAGCATCATCGTTGGGGTTCTAATGGTCTTGAAGCAGGTGACAGTGGATCGGAAGAAACGCAGAAGCAGGACCAATCCAACCCCCAGCATCTCCCTATCAGTGGACACTTTTCATCAGGAATAGCTCCACATCCTGCCGATTATATGATGTCTCAGGCTCACTTTGAAGCGGGGCAATCTATGGTATGGCGACGCCCTTTTATTCTGTTGACATGATGGAATTTCATATGATTCATTGCAAACTTTAGTAATATCAATGTTCTAATTGCACCCCAAGATGGTTGTTGAGTGTGAAGACATGGAACATGAAATAAATATTTGGACAAGATTAGGAAAGAACAGATTAATCTGGGTTCGCCGGGAATCAATTTCATTCTGTGCATATTGTGTAGTGAGGATATGGAACATGAACAGACTGATAGAAATAAGTATTTTCTACCCTGTTCCAGATGCCGAAAAACAGAATCTAGGTTAGCCTCTGATGATGATTTTTTTTTTCAATTTCTCTGATAATTGCATCGGAATGAAGGCATCTCATCAGTTATAATGGATAGCAGTGGAATGTGGTGAATTGATTTCCCTTTAGGTCGTCTTCTCCCTTCCCTCCTCCTCCTGTCGGATTCTGCCACTGATTTCCATCTCTGCTTCCTCTCCTCTTGCAAGGCTCACGCTGCCTACCCTTACCCAGATCCCTATTATGGAACTGTGATCGCCGCTTACGGGGGACAAGCTGTGGTATGATCGATTCTTGAAGCCAGATTTCTCCCAGTCTGGTCTCTTTCTCGGTGAATTAACCAGTTTCTTGTGATGGGTGGGGGGACGATCGCCGCCTCGCAGATGCTTCCTCAGCTGATCGGCATTCATCCCGCGGGGGCGGCGGCGCAGTCTCCGGGGGACGCCATGGAAGGGCTGATCTACGTCAACGCCAAGCAGTACCACGGCATCCTGCGGCGCCGGCAGTCGCGGGCGAAGGCGGAGTCCGAGAACAAGCTCGTCAAGTCCCGCAAGGTCTCCTTCCTCCTCCCAATCAGGGTTTCTCAATCCCCTCCACCAGTTATGGTTTCTGTTTCTCGTCGTGTTGAACCAACTGACCTAATCCTCCTCTTGCAGCCCTATCTCCATGAATCCCGCCACCTGCACGCCACAAAGAGGGCCAGGGGAACTGGTGGTCGGTTCCTGACTTCCAAGGGGGAGAAGACCAAGCCGGATGAAGATGTCTCGGACGACAGCTCCCAGCTCAGGGCCGGGGATGGCGCCGGTTCCGACCAGTTGGCCGCCGTGGAGAAGGGGGCGAGCTCGGCGGCGCCGCCAGACGAGGTCCCCCGAGGCTCGGGAGGTCGCCGTTCTTGAGGCCCGATGAAGCCGGAGCGGTCCTTGTACATGAACTCGCGCAAGGCTGGAAGACGACGATCCATGGGGGCCGGATGCTCGGAGCAAGAGGCTACCAGAAGGTTTGTTTGATCTTTGGCCGTAGACGTCGCGGAAGGTTTCGAGCTCAAATCTGGAGCAGAAACCTCCCGCCGTCGTGGCCGCCAGTTGTTCCCGGTTTGGGGAGCTTTCTTCTCTTCTTGAAGAACTTGGGCGATGGGTGTGTGATTCAGCTCTCCTTCTCTTCCCTTTTCACGATGGGTGATGATTTTCCTAGTTGGTTGCAACTTCCGTTCTCGATCATCAATTAGAACGAATTAAACTCACCCCGCGCGTCCACCCCTTGCTAAATCTGTCCCGTCAGAACCAGTTCGTATCTCTCTCTCTCTCTCTCTCTCTCTCTCTCTCTCTCAATTAAGGGGGGGAGTGTCAATGGCCCAGGTGGACCACCATAGACAAGGTGCAGGAAGCTGGTACTGGGCCGGATCATCCCTCCAGGGAAGCTCCCGGCTTGCGTCCCCTCGCTCTTGCCGGAACTTGATTACCGCTCTTCGCGGAATCTCTCTCCCTTTTTTTTTTGATGATTGATCGAATCGACTCCCAATTATGCTCGAGATCGTTCATCGCAAGATACGAAACGATCAAACTTATTCAAGGGGACCATGGATTCGTTTGAGCACTGGGTTTTCGTGGAATTTTGAAGGCGCGACAGAGCAGTGTGGGTTTAAATCGAGGGATTTGACTGATGCGAACGAGGTGTGAACTTGATTCTGGAAATCATTGATCCATCGAGATCCTCCGCCAAAGCAAGGGGACGACAGAGCCTAGGTTTTCTAATCCAGAAACTGATTTGATCATCTGGTGGTCGATCAACTAACTTGCGGAGTTTCTTCATCAGCTTAGTGTTTGAGGATTTATATTTCCATCTTCTCCGAATTTCCATTTTGGGGATTTCTACAGATCTGTAGGGTTCCTGGTGTTCTGATCCTCTACTCCAGGATCGTTCTAGGGACTCCGAATCAACGTTTTTTTTTCCAGAATTTTCTCCTACATTTCCCCAGGCCTGCCTTCCATTCGCTCCTCCGATTTTCCCGCTTAACCGACTCATGGATCAATAAATTCCTTCCTTCCTGTCGATTAACTTGATTCGTCGCTGTCCTCCACCACCTTCATCTTCATCAATAGATCACGAAACGTCTCCCTGTCTCTCTTCCCTGGGAGCATTTCAATTCATTGTCATCTTCGACTCCCGGAATTGCGGTCGGTGAGTTACTCTTCTGAATCAAAAGATGCACGAAGGCTATAATAAGGAATCATTTGCGGCTACTCAGTAGAATCAGCGGATCTTCTGTGATTGGGCTCAGATCGTTCGTGAAGGGAATCCTGGAGGTCGGAGGCGTGTGGTCTTCACGATAATGAAAAGGCTTCTGCAGGTGAGATTTCAAAGGATCGATCTCGTCGGCCTCCTTGCTGATTCCATGGTTCACATGTTGGTATAATAAATCATGCTTAATTTTTTAAATATAATGTTGACAAAAAAATTAAGGCGCAAGCATTCTTCGTGACCAAATCGTTACTTATTCTTTGCGGCCATCTTTATCAATTTTTACCAAGCTTAGTGAGATTAATTTTCCATGGTAAACCTCGATATGAACGTCAATGCTGAAGATCATTCTCTATATTAATGGCTAGAAATTTTACAACTTGGCTTATACCTTACTTCTCTGTGATAGTGTCCAAGGAAGGGTGCATCCTCTGACAGAAAGCCTCATCATTGTCTAACCCCTAATAAAGCTCTATACTCTTAGGGTTTAGGGTTCGCCCAGAATGAATCACCACTGGTTTTATCCTCAAAGATAATCTTGTTCTTTTAATAGAAGATCGATAACTTTGTTTCCTTTCTCAATGATAATTTTCCGCGAAGTCCTAGTTCTAATTAATTTCAATTTTCTTATGAAATGGTCTTGTTTTAAAATTAATCACCACTAATTTTATCCTTAAAGACAACAAGAACAGTTTTTCTTTTATAAGATCACGCATTTGTTTCCTTTCCTAGTACTGAATTCTTACTTTATTTATGCATTGAATAGGAGGTTAAAAGATTTGATGTAAAGAAGTGTAAAGACTGTGGTGCTCCCGATCCAAAATGGGTGTGAGTTCTACGGATGCTATGTTGCTTACAGTCGAGCTTCATCATTTTCAATATTTATCTCGCTTGCTTACCCTCCTTTGCCATTTTATTCCGAAGTTGACTGCTTTATTACCCTTTTTATCACCTATCATTGATTTACCACTAGATTTACCTCCCTAAATGCTTTGTTTGGATGTCTTTCAATCTCAAAGCCAACCTTGAAGTTCATTCTTATATAGTTCCTATAGAGTTTTTGGTGCTTTCTATTATTGGATGAGCTTGTACTAACTCTCCTTGAGGAGGGTTTGCACTCATGGGGTCAATATGTGTCTCCAATGTGACACCAAGATGTTCATTTGACATTTAAGAGAAATTATTTAAACACCTGCATGCAGTCTTGCAATAAACTTTTGTTCAATATGTAAGATATCATGTGGTGAACATAGTTACTTTTCCATTTTTATCTAATGGCTGGTAATGCAACTATTTTTAATTATTGATGATGTAAATTTATGATTGTACTATAGAAACTTTGATAAATTAATGACAATTTCTTGTTATCTTGCCAAATTCCAAATGTCTCCTCGGCAACTTTATTTTAGTCTTTAATATGTGACATTGACATTCTACATCATTGCATTGGCTTCTTCTCTGATTGTTTTAGGTAAAGATATTGTAAATGGTCAAAGGGCTTAAGGTGGAGAAAGATATGTGAGACTTCATAGAAATGTGTGGACTACCTAAGAGGAGACTGAAGGAGAGATGGCCCACAGCCAAATCATCAAAACCCAATGAAAGCAAGAACTGTCTTAATTTAATACCACCATCTGTCTAGCCAGTTGAGCTGGGAAACTGATAGAACATCGGTTGTGTGACCTTTGACCTTTTGTCTTTTTCAGATCAGCAAATATTGATGTATTCATTTGCTTAAAATGTTGTGACGTACACAAGAGTCTTGGCACACATATTTCAAAGGTAATTTGGATGAGTTTATTTATTCTTTATTATTTTTCAGCTTCCATTGCCATAAATGATCCCTTTAAGTTGGTCTATTGTTCTAAGATTATCATCATTTTCTGTGGCCTAAAATATATTTCCTAGACAATATATTTGACGTTGAATGGAGGTGTTTCAATGGCACTGAATAGGGTAACCTTTTCAAGAGACAGATTTCATGTGGGTCACATCAAATGGTAAGAAAGATCAATGGGTCATTCCATGGATCTCCCATGAAGATGGTTAGATTGAGAATTGACAGAGGGCATGGTTTTGACCAAGATGGTGGAAGGTAGAACAAACCAAAGAGTTTTCTCACATTTCCATATGGTTCCTTGAAAAAAATACTTTTGCCAAGTGTCTTAAGATTTCTGGACTTTTGTTTTTTGTATGATGTGTGTTCCATGTATTTCTGGGCCAGTGTACAACAACGTAACTAGATGAATGTATATTGGTTATCTACTAGCTAGGGTAAATTTGCTTCTAGTTTTTTTCTATCAATCACTTAGGGCTTGAGCATCAAACATAGTAGGAAAGGAAAGTGGCATAAGGGATACATAGACATGAATGTTGCATGCTCTCAGACAACTTAATTAGATATTTTATTTTTTCTTAATTTTTTATAGCTATATAAATAATTAACATAATTTTCATGAGATCAATTAAAGTGTTTCTTGATTCAATTCAGTGTTCAAACTCAAATAATTCAATTCAGTTTAAAGCACAGTTGGGAACTCTTTGAGAAAGGTTTGATTGTAATATTGAATCGTAGCCTAAATCATCTAGAATCGAGAAATGATTGATTTCGATAGCTTATAATTACTTGTCTCCCTATGTTGGCTCAAGTTTTATCTGTGACATTGGATGAATGGTCTGAGGAGGAGGTTGACTCAATGGTCAAAATTAGAGAAAATTTCCTTGCCAATGCAATCTACGAGGCTTTTATTCCTGTAGGATTCTCTAAACTTGAGCCTAGTGCATGTTACGACGAGAGGGCCCAATTCGTCAGGTAGAATCCCATGGCACTATGCATGAGCAATCATAAATTGACTAATGATGTGAAAATCCTTCTTATGGTAGGTCTAAATATGAACTACAAGAGTTCTTGAAGCCTAGTTTGTGCATTATCTCATCCTCTTCAAGAAACTCTTTTTAATATTCTGATTCTAGAAAGGATCTTGACGACACTATAGAGTCAGATATTTGCAAATCAATAGTACGTATCATCTTTTAGCATGGTCTATCATTCATATGGGAAGTACTTGATGCAATTTGTTTTCCCTTCACCTACCACAGCCAAAGGGATTTATGCACAGTTTACAATTTTGTGCTCATCTTTGCAAGAGGATAGTCTTCAAATTGCTACGAGGACCCCTTATGGGTTTAAGAATTGTTTCATCCATTTGAAAAACTATTGATCATCAGTTGGCCATGCTTTAAAATTCTAGAAACAGGTTTCCATTTCGGGACAAAGTTAGTCATTTAATCGCTCTCATTCCATCAAATGACAGGCGGGGATGGTGGAGTACATTGGAGTTCTCAAGGTGAAGGTCATAAAAGGCACAGATCTAGCCATTAGAGACATCCGTACGAGCGACTCATATGTTGTTTTAGCTCTTGGGCATCAAGTGAAGATCATCTATAATTTTTTTGCATCCTTTCCTACAGTTTTCTGTCAGCATGGCAATAGGCATATCAAAATATTTGTGGGCGATATTTATCTTCCTCAGATGGTATTTTTTTTCTTTTATTGATGATGACTTCTTAGGCTTTGGTTGCTGCAAAGTGTGCAAACTAGTGTTGTGAAGAGCAATTTAAACCCAAATTGGAATGAGGAGCTTCAATTGTCAGTCCCTCAAGGTTATGGAACCCTGAAACTAGTGTGACTTAGGGTTCGAGAGATTTTTGTGGCCGAGTTTATCTCCATTATTTCTGTCTTTACTTCAATTCACCAAGAGAATTAACATATTATGAAATATTTTTTCTTCATTCTACGTTTGAGGATTCACCTGTCTTAGTCTAGAGACTTTCTAGTGCATTAAAATCCAAGTATCACCCATCATCCAGATGATGTTGAGCTAGACATGATATAGTGAGAGGAAGTTCGCATTGGGGATTGAAGATCTTTATCGCTATTATTATTAAAATTATCTGATATAGGCTTTGTTGATCACATCTTTAATCTGTAAATCACCATCCTTCCATCTTTAAGTTGAGCCAAGAATCCAATTATGAGAATAAAGCAGCCACGTAACATTTATTTCATCTGATGTGATGTATTTTTTCTATGCAGCGAGTGTTTGACTATGATACTTTCTCAACCGATGGCATAATAGGTGAAGTAGAGGTGGACCTTCAGCCAATGATAACATCTGTCATGGCATTTGGGGATGCTGAACTACTTGTTGACATGCAGATTGAAAAATTGTTGAAGTCTGAGGACAATGCTCTTGTTGATGACAACACCATCAACATAATCAACGGCAAGGTGAGGCAGGATGTCTCTCTTAAGCTTCAGAATGTGGAGTCATGAGAAATTAAACTGGAGATGGAATGAATTCCTCTAGATTAGTAGGTGCTCAGCCACCATTGTTAGATTTTACTAAGATACATATGCTGGTTCATCGTGTTAGTAATTTTATTGTAAAATTTAATTAGAAATGTGCCATGACAAGATTGAGAATTCTAAATTTATTGGTTTTTATTGAGGTGGGGCTGCTGGTTTGCCTTAGTAATCTTGTTGTATGCACTATTGGATGGAAATTTATGACCTCAAGGTAGAGATGAACTGGATTACCTTTGGTAGGCTATCCTGGTTCTTCTTGTTAGTAATCTTTGTCAAAGCCAATCCAGGTTGTTGGTTGCCAAAGGAGGCGCCACTAGCCGAGAGAGAAAAAAGGGTTAAAAATTAAAATATATTATTAAAATGAGAAAGTAGATACAATGTTTCATAGTGGTCTTAACAAAGTGGATTAGATCCAAATAATTAGACTTCATATATGTCAAACTAGATTTGAAACATATAAACAAAGATGGGTAAAAATACAATAAGACGAAGGGACACAATCATCTATACTCTATTATTCTCCATCAAGCTAGTGAGTGAATGTTGTCAAATCCCATCATGGATACAAGTCTCTAAAAGGTTGGTCCGCTTAGTTCTTTGGTGAGAATAATTGCCAATTGCTCATGAGTACAAATGATTGTATATTTATCAAGATCTTTTTGTATATTATTCCTCAATTTCTCCTCTTGTTCACTATTTGAGACATCATCTAATAGTATGGGCTTCTTGCCCATATCCTTTACATTCCTAGTGGATGGGTCAACTAATACTTTTCCACTTCATAAATTAGATATGACTTTTAAGTCCCCAAATTTTTACTTTTTTTTGGGCCTTTGTACTTTGGCCAAACTTCTCAGAGATCACTTCTCTCAGCACTTAACACAACTACTACATCAGCTTGATAATTGTCTTAGGCTGAACTTCTCAAAAAGTTACCTACTTGGTACTTCACACACCCAATCACTTAGATATCACATTTTGGGATGAGGTGCCTGATGACACTTAGTTGGATAGAGTAGTGTCTTGTGACACATTCTTCAAAGTGGGGTGCCTCATGGTATTTTGTCAGTGCAATGCCTCACGGCATGTTGGTGAGGGGGTGCTATGCAGCACATTGGGGTAGAGATGCCTCACAACATGTACAAATGAAGTGGGTGTCTCACGGCACACGTGCACTTTACGTCTTCAAATTGGGTAGGTGGATAGAGAAGTTGTGTACTAACATTAATTGTGTGTGATGGTTGAGGTTGGAAGCCAAGTGGGTGGTGCCTAGGGTTGGCGACTAGTTAACTCAGCAATTGACCTACATATAATAAAAATGTTGCTCTACTTGTGAGATTCCTTGCATAGGTGGTCTTTGGCAGATTTGATGTATGAGTTGGTTGTATTGAGCTATTTGTTCTATCATTTGTTGTTATTACGTGAGTTGTTTTTAAAACATTTTTTACTACTATAACAACAGTTGTTGGAAGGTGTTAATCACTTCATCCACATTCTAGTTTTTGTGCACTTACTAGTGTCTATATGCTACAATTGACAAGGAATGACAAGTGGTTTTTGTTGACTTTATACTTGTGATAGTGATTAATAAGTATACTGAGTGGATTTAGGTTGTATCAAAAGATGACTAGATAGAGTTTGTTCTACATGTGAGCCTTAGTTTTTCCATGTGAAATTTAGATGATTCTTCCTTTTAGGTTTATAACAAGGATGTTTGTTACTGCACATACAATCCTTGTCGGGCACTAGGAGAATTAGTTTCCAGCCAACCCGAGATGATGACCTATGGGGGCAATTAATCTCACTTCTAGTGTGAGATTAAATGTTTAATCACTAGATGATGTCATGCTCGTGATGTCAACCACTTCCCTGACCTAAGTCATCATATCAAACTTTCCTACATTGTACCCCATTGTTGTCTGCCCATATTGTGACGTTGAGTGCTGTTGTAGTGGTCCCATGCATGTGCCATCTTGCCACATGCACATGCTGTGTCTTTGGCCCAATAAATAGTGTTGCCACATGTTTGCTTTGTGTCGTCAAGTGCAAGTGCTATGTCGTCATATACATGTAATAAGTCTTCATTATCATGAGTTAATAATTAGTAAATAATATAGTTTTAGCCTTAACTCATGGCAAATAGACTTATATTTGTGTTAAAGTATGAAAAATGGTTTTGAGTCGATTAATATGAAATTTTAGCTAATTATGTGATTTTTTATAAATTTAAATGATTTTTATAGTCTTATTTTTGAGATAAATAAAGAAAAAAAATTAAAAAAAAATATAACAAAAGAGGGGGACCTGCCGGGCCCCCAAGCGGGTCGGAAGCACAGTCAAAGGGAGCTACGAGTAGGGGCTCGAATGACTAAGATCAATGAGGCATATGTGCGTCACTCTCATTTCATCTCACTAGTGGTCAACTAGTTGTGGGGCAAGGAGTGGTAATACACACAGGAGAAAGGGCTCATTTCTTGTAAATATGATATTATTATATATTCGCCCAAAACTTTGGTGTACAAGTGATGTGAGACTAAACTCGCATCATATTTTCCTTCGAAAGGCTTCGAAGATTTTAATACCTAAACTATCCTTTACTTATAACAGATATATACCATGATGCCATCACTTGATAAAAGCATTAGAATACTTATTTCAATCTCTCTCATGTAGGTGGACAACTGACCTGGGTTCGAATCCTTCTAGAGTTAAAACTCGTATTTTTATCTAATTACTACGGCTTTCCTATAGATCGTTAGTGAAGGATTAAGCCGTCAAAATCGTTGAATCATCGGCGAAAATCTCGTCAACGTGATTCGTTGAGCATGGTTACTAAAATTGCCAAACGATTCACGATAAAAGAATCGCCAATTCATCAAGTAAATCATCTCCGATTGATCAACGAACAAACTATCGTCAAGAAAAAGATAATCTACAAGAAAATGAGTTGCCACCTCTTGAGAGCATATTAGATACAATGAAGAGTCTCTTCTTGCTGCACAGATCTAAGGATAAAGCGCTTAGACATGCACCCCACCTCCATCTAGCTCCTTTCCGTCAGGTGACAACCGTCAAAGAACAGCAAAGTCGTAGTTTTTCCACTTCACCAGGTGACAGCTGCTGAAGATGATTCGATGGCTCATTTCATTGATCTCTAGACTTCGCAAGAAGATCTAGAAATTGCCCATATCTTCCTTGTCCAAAGAAAGCTTTTGAGGCCGTAGACATTATATGACGATCTTTTTGAATACTTAGGATTCTGGTGCATCACCAACACATCGCCACCACGATGTTAGAACTCTATTTTCCTACTTTCAACTTAATTTTTATTTCATTTAGTGATAATTTGTGTGATTTAAATTTACCAAGATATACTTCATTCAATTATGATTCTTTTAGATTTTACATATCTTAATTTGATCAATTAAATCTTTTGTAATCACTTATGTAAGAATCATCGAGTGGAACTCTATTTCCACCTGATTTGCGTTCGTCATCCTGACGTCCGCACCCTTATTTCTCTTTTTTGTGAATTTTAAATATATCTCTTTTTTATTTCTTAATATAAAATTTATAAAAAATTGTATTCTTTGAAGAAAATTTTGAAAAATTACCTGATATTATATTACACCCCTATGATCAACGTAGAAAATTACCACTATTTTTGGAAGTTTTATTGAATTATAATTGATATATTTATTAAAAAATATTTCTAAATATCTAAAAATTAATATTTTCTAATTTTATTAAATTTGCATGATTACTATATAATGACTAAGTCACATCAACATGTGATGTGCTACCGCATACACACCCAATAGTATGATACACGTGCATTACATGGTTATGTGTGGGTGTTGTGTCACTACACGCATGTGCCATTTTGTCATGTGCTCACATTGCATCACCCTACATGCACGTCATGCCATTGTACACTCCTACTACACCATGTCTATCTATTGTACGTGGTGTGCTATTGCTAGGGTCTGTCCCTATGGGATGACACTAATAGGATCCAATGTCATCATTTGATAGTGCCAAACAAGGTAATAATTAATCAATTCTTCAAATTGTCATAGATCCACTTCCATCTCTTAGGTGGCTACCTCATGTAATTGACCTGCCCACTTGATGAAATATAATGTGTTGCAGCAGGTGTCATTCTATTCACCACACTAGTGTTCCAAGATGTCTTCTACTTAGGTGGAGTAATGCACTTGTACCATGGGTGACGGCTAGTACAGTGGGTTCTTTTTTTCATCTTCTTCATCGGCATGATATGTTTTAAGTAGTGAGATGTGGAAGACTGGGTGTATTAGAAGGTGTTGTGAGAGTTGTAACTAGCAAGTTAAACATCCATGTATGCCACAATTTAAAATGACATGTCATATTAGGGCACCAATCTATTATGGTATTTCTATTGTAGGAGATTCTTGCACTCTGTGTACATGCATAACAATACTTAGTTACCAATGTCATATTCAACATGTCATTAGTGACGATCTCTATTCTTTTTCATTCATCATGTTACTTGTGGTAGGGCATCGTGGGCTTCCTTAATAACATCTTGTTGTTGTTTGGCAAAGTAGTAAGTGGCTAGTAGGTATCTCGGTCCCCACTACTTGATGACCTCTAGTGGTGTCAAGGGTTGGCAGCCCATGGCTAACTCGAATGGTGAGTGTCATGTAGATATATATTGTTGGATGTTGGGGACGAATTAGACAATGTCTAGTAATTACACTCAATTGTCTTGACGTGTTGTCACATTGTTGCATGTATTCTTCGAGCATGTCATGATGTGTTCCATCTATTTATCTATATCAAGGTATAAAGTGGTAGAAAAATTGAGTTGATTACCAAGTAAGGTGAAGAGGGTTAACGAGAAACATTCAATGAAATGTGGGTCCCAATTTAAGATGATGCCTCATGGTATGTCTCAAAACTTGATGACATGTGTCAAGAATAATCATGCCACTTGTTCTAGTTGAACTTTATTAGGATGAACATGACATACTTGAAGAAGTGGTCAACTACTTCTATGATTGTATTGTGGTTGTCAAAAATAGTTACATGTAAGAAAGGCAAAGATATATTGTTATTTTGGGTGACCCACATGCGGTGCATCATGGGTCTTCTATAGAAGTTGTTGCCTCAATTGTTCCCTTTGTGACACATAGGGACATCAATCCTCTAAGTAGAGGATATCATCTTCCATCCAAAATTGACAGGTCTCACCTATCTTGGTCTACTATATAAGATGCATGGTTGTTGAGTATATAGAGTAAATTTCATCTATATTGTCTAGTAGGTCGTCGGTGCTTGTTGAGAAGGTAGTTGGGCTATTAGTGAGCTCTCTATGACTTAATATATCTATAATTATTAGAGTGAGAAATCATAATCAGTCAAGAAGTCATATCACTATGTTAGTTTGGTGATCAACTTCTTTTGAGAATTAAAGTAACTAGTGACAACATTGTTGATGTTGGCAATAAAAGTATTGCCTAATACATAGTGGTGCCACACTTTTAAGTAGTGTACAATTGTCATAATTTCTTTCTCTTAGACTAAGTATCATTGTTCTATGTCACTTAATTTCCTTCTTTTAAAAGTGATGAATTAATAATTATATATGACAATTCCATCAATAGCCACCTTTAAAGCATCTGTGTATCTCAAATGTTTAGGTAAAGTTAGTTAGTTGAAGAATTGACTAATTAGTGATGGTCATCGTAATTGTCAAATATATGTTGACACTCTTTCGTCCAAGCTCATCTTCAGTCCTTTTTGATAAGCTACATTAGTGGCACAGCCAACTGTGAGAAATTCTTGATCAATTTTTTATAGTAATTAATAAATCTCAATAATAATTTCAATTTAAATACCCCCTTAGGCATCAACCATTCGTCAATTACAACAACCTTCTTTGACTCCATACATACCTACTCACAGCCCACCACATGGCCAAAGAATTTGATCTAGTTAAGGACAAAGACATACTTCACTAGATTGAGATATAATTAGTTGGCTTCTAATGTCTTGAACACCTATCTTAGGTGCATCAAATACTTTTATATGGAGCAATTATATATTAGAATATCATCTATAAATAGATTATCATAAATTTATCAAAAAAATAGTTAGAATATGTGATTTATCAATAAATAAAAGATAGTTGAAGCATTTGTAAGTTCAAAAGACATAATAGTAAATTCATAAGACCCATAACATGTGACACATAGTCTTCTACTTGTCCTCCTCCTTAATTCAAACTTGATGATACTTGTTAGTTTAACTTAGAGAAAACTCATGCTGTCTCTAATTAGTTGAATAAATATTTCACATTAGTCACCAGATATATGTTCTTTATCATTATCTTGTTCAATACCTTGTAATTTACACATAAACTTAGTGATTTATCCTTCTTCCACTAGAAACAAACATGTAAAAGGGGTGAATGTGTCTCACTTCCAATAGTTATTCTAGTTGTTTCTTCAATTCTTCTATGTAGGTCGAAAGCATTTTGTATAGGGCTTTAGCTTGAGGTCATTTTCTAAAGAATAATTCAATGGCGTGCTTAATCTGGCATCTAGGAGAGAGTTTGATAAATAGTTTTTCGAGTATAATATCTTTGAAGGTTTCAAGTAAATATAATATTATTGGGTAGCATACTAAGCTCTCTTGCTTGCCTTCCTCCACATCTTGTAGCGTAGTGTATTGAGGTAGGTATCTATGTCTCATTGGCAATCCACCTATATAAAGCAAGACTATTCACCATCACTAATGATTAATTTGATACAATAGGAAAAGGTCATTACTTTGACTTTGACTACAAAAGCAAAACTCAATGCATCTAATTGTTTATCAATGCATTTGTCATGGCCATTGTCACACTAACATCCTGCACCCCTTGGCAGCAAAATCCATCCTAGGCCTATGTTTGCAGGCCCTTGGTGAAATAGTGGAGTTTGTCATCCTTGTCTATCCTTGGTACCTCTAATAGGATCATCAAAAATTTATCTAGGGGTTCACATATAGATTTGGCATTCTTCGATTACCTCATTATTGTTCTCGTTGTCTAACACAAGTCACAATTGATTTAAACAAGTCCTTAGACCTTCATTGTGACCACATCTTGAAATGTTTCATTAAATAAAAACTCTCAATAAAAACTTTTTCTTTTTCTGTAGAGCTGTTGACATTTAAGTATTATTAGAAATCCCATACAAAAATTTTGACCAACATTTCATCCTACTCCTTGAAATAAAATCTGGACTCTAGTGCATGAGCCCTCGTGGGTCTTGTGGATAGAGCTTGCTCTTGCTATTTTTGAAGGTTCATAATCTTGCTTTAAAGGCCAATCACAACCTTCTCTAGTTGTCTCAACAATTTGGCAAGCTCTTTGGCGAGTTCCTTCCACAACAACAACATATCTCCCTTCTAAGTTACGAATGACATAACTATCTCCCTAGCTTGCTCATATAAGAATCTTAACCTGTTTCTCATCTAACTAAATAGGGTCTCGACTACTGTCATAGTCCCTTGGGTTGTTCCTTAGTATGCACTTATTGCCTTGGGCTCCATCTCTTTATCAATGATAAAAAAAATCGAGATGGGAAGAAGGGCTTGACTTTTTATGAAGCTCTTATACCATTGTAACAAGGATTTTTGTTGCTCCGCACGCAATCCTTATTAGGTGTCGAGCAAACCGGTCTCCAGCCAACCCCACGTGACCCAAAGAGGTTAACTTAACTCTCAAAGGTCATTCTTACATGAGTCTTAGGTCCCTCTATATAGACAAGATCCATATTGTTAGTTAGTCCCACTTCCAATGTAGGGTTAGTTGTCTAATCACTAAATGACGATATACTTGTCACATCATATGCTTTCTTGATTTTAGGTTTCCATATCATATCTTCTTATGCTCATATCTCACCATCGTGTGCCCCTGTTGTGATGCTAAGTACTATTATAGTGTTATCCTGCACATGAATTGTGCCACCATGCATATGCATTGTGTTTTTGGCCTCGTGAACAATGTTGTCGCATGACTATTTTGTGACATTAGGTGTGCATGCTTGGCGGCATAATACATGTGCACTACATTACCATGTGTGTGCGCCATATCACCACATACATGTGCCATACTGTCGTGCACTCACAATGTGTCGCCCTACATGTGCATCATGCCATCATGCGTTCCGACCATGCCACACCTACTTGTAGTGTGTAGTGTGTTGTTTGGGGTCTATACCTATAGGATGACCCTAGTAATAGGAAATGTATGTGGTTGAGTAAGAGTTGTAGCTAGGCTTTGCCAACCCTTGAGTTACTTGTACTTATTCCGATGTATATGACAAAGAGAAAGTTATATAAGCTCTTATCTCTACAAGATAAGACTAAGACCACTTCACCTCCTAAGAGAGAACTATGTGCTATAGCGAGAATGAGTGTCCTACATTTGTTCACATATGTTTCACCCACTTCAAACTTCAGTACATTGTCTTCTTACCTTCAACTTTCATACATTTTGCCTTCATTGAGATAGTTAATATTTCTATCATAAATGAAAGATGAGACATAATTTTTAAAAAAATGTTAAATTCCTCAAGGTGGCTATAAGTTTCCTCCTCACTCTTGTTCATAAAAGTGCCTCAACATGAAGTCTTATCATTTGTTTATTTTATTCTTGTATTCCATCATAAAATTTAAACTATTTGTCATTTAAGAATCTCTTGATGAGGGCACTTCCTCATCATTCCTTTGAATCTCTTCTGTGCTTCATGTTTAGAGGTTCATTTGGGCTTTGTACAAAACCTATAATGATCTTTCTCATCATAATGGTTTTGCCCCTATGATAAAATTTCTTAAGAAATTCTTGAACCATCTTCACCCAAGTATTGATCTCTCTAAGGTTGAAATCTAATAACTAAATTCACCCTTTAAGAAAAATGAAAACAAAATTAATTTCAGATCATCATCAGCTTCTTTTATTGTACCACATACTCTTAAGAATTCTTGAAGATGCTTATATGACACTTTATTAGAACTCCTATAAAAGGTTGGTAGCATCTAAAAGATATGTCATTTAATATCATGTTTACATATAGGGTGTTCAAGAAATTTAAAATTGATGAGATGATTAAACTTGAAGCTACCCAGGAGGAATCATTTATGTAGTGTTTTCTATGGTCTCACTTAGATTAGTTTTATGATGATTTTTAATATTACCAAGGGTTTCATCTAATTCAAGATATAGAGATTTTATTTGTAGCATACATGAGAAGAATAAAATAGAATTTTCTTTTTCACTTATTTCTTTTAAAAAAATATTTTTAAGATAGATTATTATTAGGAGAAAGGATTAGACTATAATTAGTTGCTACACCTAATAACAATATCAAAAGTTGATGTATTCCTAATCATTGGAAGAAGAAAACTCAATTTCGGCATATATATATATTATTTTAGAACTACTTTCACCTCTAATTATAGTTAAGTATAGTTGGTGAATTAGATCGTCTCCTCACAAATGGTGCTATTAGGGTAAGGTTTTCTCCTATTCTCCTAAGAATATTAAGAGTTATTTAAATATTTTAGGTGATGCTTTTTTTAATTCCTAGATATAAAAATATTAAAACTCTAAAATAAAAGTCATCTAAATTTGAGAGGTATCTATTGTCACATTCAACAATCATAAATCTAAGAGATTAATGTTTAAAAGAAGTTATTAAAATTCTAAAATAAAATTGACCTAAAAAGTAAATTCAAATAATGAATGTTGGTTTTCCTCTCCTTGTGTTGCAGCAAGGAGGAAAAAAATAAAAAATTTAAGAAATACAATTACTCAATAATTTAACTACATCAATAAGATTATAAAGCAAGGCTAAGACAACACAAGTAAATAATTTAAGTCTAACAATAGAAAAACTAATCACAAAAAAGAAATAATGTGAGAAATTAATGAATTAAACTCAACAATGCTTTAACCAAATTCAAAATTGAAGTCAAAATCAAGCATAAAATTGAAAGTAGACACATGAAATCTAGGGTGATCACCTTTGCATTTCATCCATGTCATGTGGAGGAGAAGGATTTGAATCAGTTTGAATGAATATATGACAAATTACTTCTAATTAATATGTATTGGATCTTAAATCTAGTTGATAACATTACATCTTTTCCATATCACATGGGAAAGGTTCACATTCTTGATTCAAACATAAATTTCAAAATGATAAGAAAATCATTTGTAATAATCTGAATATAGTAAAAATTGATGAAAACTCAAATTCAAATATGAATTAATTGTGAATGGGAAAAGAATTACAATAAAGAGATCTAGCATGCACTCTCGAGGGGGGTTTAGAACCAAAATTTAGTGGAGAATCCGTCCTTGAGGAGTGAGAGGTTAGAACCATTGTAACTTCTAAAAAGGCTGTTCTTGATTAGTTATGGAAGGCTCTAAAGAAGATGAATAGGTTGTGGGATGTTCTAGAAAAGATGGATGAATTGTGAGAGGATCTTGAGTAGATAGAGTGACCATAAGAGAGTACACAAGAGAGTAGAGAGAAAACAAGGTCAATGCCCCTAAGAAGGAAGGAAGAGTGGAAGGGTCTAGAGAGGAAAGAAGGTGGGCAACTTCTCATTGGTTGGAAGAGGGGGACATCCCTTCTTCTCTGACTATCCCTCCTGTGGGCTTGATCGTCGTCCTAAATTGGGCCTTTCTTTGGGGTAAAATCATGGCCAATTTCTTTGTGCCCTTTATTACACCCTTGTTTGACATTTGGTTGGGTTCTAAATATTGTAGAAAAATCCACAAAAATTCATCTTCACTCCCAAAACATAATTTCATAATATATTAATTTAATAAAAAAAATATCAAGACTTTTGACCTTAGAAACATGTTAAAGTCCATGAGAATATTGAAATACATGTATAAGATTCATTTTATCTCTCTTGGATAAAAGAATCAAGAAATATTCAATATTCAACCAAATTATATTTGATTTTATATCATTTGAAAATATGTAATTAGACTTTTAATCATGTAATGATTACATAGATTTAACATTTCTAAGCACATAAAATTTGACATTATCAACCCACATAATACATTATTTAGCTTATAGACTACGTGACCATTTGAACTTGTCTCATATCTTTTGAGAGCATCCATAAAAAAATAATCATTGAGTTATTTATGTAAAAATGTATTTTTATCATCAAATTTATTATATATCCCATTATAATTAGCACTAAGGAAAGTAAGATTATAATTTAATTTTATTTTACAACTAAGGTAATCTTTTTCAGATAATCCATCTCATAGGTTTGAGTGTAGCCTTTATCTATTAATCTAGATTTATATCTTTCTTTTGTTCCATCAGTCTTATGTTTAATGGTTTATACCCATTTATATTTAATAATTTTCTTTCACAATGGCAACTTGATTAATTCTCATGTTTCCTTCTATTAGGACCCATATTCAGAATATGACTTAGAGAACATTAAATCAAGAGAAGAATAATAATATAATTTTGAGATATGAAAAAAAAATGTTAGATAGATTGGAGTGGGTGATGACTAATCAGATTCAGAAAAACCCCAAGCCTTTGATAGGGGTTTTCAAGAGGTCATCTCTCTCCCACAACTCACGCCTTTGGATATTCTCTCTCCTTCAAAATCCCCCCCCCTCTTCAAGGACTTTAGATCACAATTCACTTACAACAAAATGACTCGTTTTCCTTTTACTTTGGTTATATTGTCTTCTCATGTAGTTGGGTCTTTCAGTCTTTTATTGTTGTGGTTGTGTGGGCTAGATGGGCCCTTTTTCTTGCACTAATAGTAAATTAAGCTCATTTGGGCCCTAACTGATTTTTCTCTAATGTTGTCATTTCTTCATTCAGAGTTGTTTTCAATCTTCATGAGTCAATCCCTTAGAAACATTACATATAATTAATATAATATTAAGAAGAGTGATGAATGTTTTATATCAAGATAATAGAAAATGAGAAATTAGATATGTTAGATTCCTAAAGTGATTTCTCTTTTCTTTCCTAATAAACATAGGTAAATCTTCATTAATTTATTTTTTATATAAAGGATTGAATATGATTTTCTTGGATGTTCTAGATATTGTAAGGAGAATCTTTAAGTTGAGATTCCTCTAAGCTCACTTTCAGAGGCATAGATTCCTTCAAAGGTTGGATTACGTGCAAGAATTTCTAAACTTACTCTCCACCATTGTTCTTGAACAAATTTTTCATCCTCAAAGAAAATATGATTACAAAAAAGGATTCATGTTCACTAAAAGTTACATCAATTGAAATTAAGTATTTTTTTGTATAAGAGATGATATCACTTATACCCTTCTTTAGTTTTCAAATATCCAATGAAGACACATCTTAATGCCCATATATTAACCTTTCCTTTGGCTTGATCCTAAGTATAAACAAAGTCCACACACAAAAATTATACAAACTAAATTAGTCTTTAATTGAACTTGGGGGTAATTAAATGATAAAACTTTTAATGGATTTTAAATTCTAGAATCTCAATTAATAAGTGATTTATGACGTGAAGAGTTGTTAAGGTAGTCTCTCCCTAAATAATTTTAGGTGCATGATTTTGAAATAAAATAACTCTTGCTACTTCTATTGTGTATACATGTTTCCTCTCTACCACCCCATTATGTTGTGATTTGTTGACATATGAAGATTCATAAATAATATATTTAAAGAAATACTATATTATTGTATGATTAAAATAATCTCTAGTATTGTCAAAATTGGATTTCTTAGTTGTTGTCTCAAATTAATTTTTTATTAGTAAAGAAAATTATAGAAATCTATTATTGATAAAAATAAATCTGAATGGTTCATGAGGAATCATTGATAAAAGTCACAAATTATCTTGCTTCCAACATATGGAGAATAGATGAAGGCCCCGCACATCATTATGAAAAGATGAAAGCAAAGTAGTTCTCAATTCACTATTTCTAGGAAGTGAGGTACATTCATGCTTCATCAATTTACAAATATCATATTTTAAATTCTCAATATTCACTTAAAAAAATAATCTTAGAAACATAGTTTTCATTATCTTGAAAGAAGGATGACCATAATTACGATGGTAGATCTAAAATCATTAGATATTGTTGAAATAGTAATTCTAAGGCTAAACAAAAGTTTTAGAATGTAGTGTGAACTCATGTCCCAAGATGATAAAGTCTTCCAAACTCTTCTGAATGTTCAGTCTTTATTTCTATTACCTTATCATAAACATCATTAATATCACTTTCAATAATCACCTTATAGTTTATGTCATCAATTAATTTCTAAACATAAATTAAGAGAGAGAGCTGTTGCCTTTGATGGGAAGAGAGAGAAAAAGGGCAAAAGACTATAATATATATTAATAAATGAGAAGACGGATACATGATTTTATGCAAGTCCTGGTTAAGTGGATATGATCCAATTAATTGGGCTTAGGTCAAATCGGATATGATATGTACCAAAAGAGGGAAGCATAGACTGATAATAAAATTAGGGGATATAATTACAATTAAAGTAACCTAGTAATAATTCGATAATTATCCATACGCCCATGATCTTATCATAAATTTCATACCAGGATCTCCCTTCGCTTTGAAGATGTCTAAATCTTTATTTATTGATATTTGTTCATATGGGTCTAGTGGCCTGTTTTGTGAATCTTATGAAACTAAATCAGATGGAAATGTATAGCAATAGAAGCAATTCCACCACCATTTTCATTGGCATAAGAGATTATTAAATCTTTCTCAATTGGTTTTCATTCAAATGGGTTTGGTAGTTCATCCTATCAAAAATGTTGTTATATATAATTTGATGCAAATATATCACATCGAAGTATCAGACGGATCATTAAATCGATATAAGTTGCTCGTTCAACCTTTAAGTGATCGAACATTATTTAATATTGGATGAATTCGTTCCACACGAGGGAGAATCAAGGAGTTGGGTATAATTATGAGCTGAGATCATCTTTATCTGCTTCCTCAGTCCTTTTTGTTCGCCGCTTGGATTCGTGGCGGCGGGAACTGGTGAACCCTGTGAATTCAACCGTTTCTTGTTGTCCAACCGCGTAACACGTGTTTCTCCCTCTCTCTCTCTCTCTCTCTTTGTCGTGGAGCATCGTATTCTTTAGTAACCCAATAAGACTTTCATGCCCATTCACCCCCCCCCCCCCCCTCGCTCTCTCTCTCTCTCTCTCTCTCTCTCTCTCTCTCTCTCTCTCTATCTGTCTCTGTCTCTATCTCATTTGGTGGATTTCATCCACGGGCGGCCCACAGCATGAAGTGTGGACCTAAGAGTCACCTTGTGCCTCCACATCCAACCAGCATCGATAGTAATTAGGCCACAAATAATTAGTCAGAAATGTACATTAAAAAAATAAAAATCACTCGAACGGTCACATCGGTGGAACGTTTTCCCTCCAGCCTTTTTTTTTTATGAAAAATAAAGTTTTTGAAGTCAACGGAATCGAGTTTGATCGATTGGTGCAAATAGGAAAATTTATTTAAATAAAATTCATAAAAATACATTAAATAGGTAGAAAGACTCTGCCCTCTCTCTCTCTCTCGGGTCCGTTCTTGATGAATGCCCAAAGTCTTTTTGTCTGAGAGTTCGAACACGATGTAATAATTGACTCTGGGTTCTGTGATCAGACATGCGAACAAAGCAAGGCAATTATTTTTATACCAAAAATCCTTGATTAATAGCCGACCTCTGATCAAAGAACCGTGCTTTTTGGCACGACCTCTCCGCCATCTCCACTTGCAGATACGGGGACTTCCTCGGTCTATTGACTATAGACTCTGGCCGTCTCTTCTCCCCCTTTTCGCTCCCACAGAGCTTTAAAATTTCCGCCGCCCCCGCCCTCCCCACCTCCCTCTCACGGAATCTCTCACAAGAAGCATCTGGGCGAGGGGAGGTGGGCCTGCCCTCCGTCAAGTTGTTCCCGTGCTCTGCTCTTTGTGGGTTTCCGAGGGAGGGTGGCGCAGGAGGGTTCTTCTACTTCGGACCCATGGGGAGGGCCCCCCCATCTCCCTCGTTGCGGAATAGGTAGCGAGGGTTATCTCACCGTGCTTCTGTCACCGTAGATAGTGACCATTATTGTACAGATGGGGTGGTCGGAGAATCTCATCGGCAACTGGGCGCCGGAGAGGGAGGGAGGGGTGGTCTCGTCGTCGAGTTTGCTTTCCTTGCTCGAGTTCCGGTGAGCCGGGTGGCTTCTGGCTGATCACTGTTCAATGTCTGTAAGCAGCTACGGCGTTCGACGGGAGCTTCCTTTTTGCCTGAATCTGGCGGTGAGACTTCTTGAGAGACTGGTTTCGGACTGGGTTTTGTATTGGCTTTGTGCCCCATGAGGAATATAACGCGTGTGAAGCAGGGATGGAGATGGTTGCAGACTCCGAAGCTGGCCGCCATGGGTGCCCAGCTGACAGAAAGCTGCAACAAGCTCGTATTTATCCTGGGTCACCTCTGGCCGTCGATTTGTCATTGTTGCCTGCGGCTCTGGGGGTTGCTGTTGACGCTTCTGAGGCTGTGGAGTGATTGCGTTGCCAGGGGGATCTGGTCATTGATTGCTTTGGGCATCACAACCTTGTTCGTCATCTTATGGAGCTTATTTCTTTGTCTCACTTCAACATTTTGCCTGGTCTACGCGCTTCTGATTCTGGTTAGTGATTTCTAAGACTTACCTACAATGTAAAAATAAAAAATATATAATTGTAATTGAAGGAGATTTATGATTATTCACATTTCCAGGATTGACCTGAGAAACCGTTTGACCCTCAAAAAATGGACACATTAGTCTGGCATGTAATTCGGAGTTATATGCTTTCTATTGAACAATAATTGCTCGCCAGAGGCCCCATTATCCTGCTGATCGCTAGAACTGTCCAGCTTTAGATTCCTTTCAATTTTCCTTCATCCATTACAGGTTGGGGATGCATTTTATAGTATTGTGAAGAGAAAATCATCTTGAGAGAGATCTGAATCTTGTCTTTGTTCTAAGCTTTTCACAAAATTACTCATATGCTTCGTTGTTATATGGTGATTTCAGGGAGCTGCTTGTGCTACGATTCGCCACCTGGGTTATACCCCTGGACTCTTCCTTGTTGGGCTTCTTGGAATTTTGACCAACTGGATCTATGGAAACCTTTGGGTGATAGCTGCGCTACTAATAATAGCAGGTATACTTCAACTCGTGTTATATCTGTTGATACCCATCACCAAGGAAAGGAATGTTTTTTGTTGATTTCTGGACATAAGTTTGGTACAGTTTTCCAGTGCTCCTACTGTTCATGGCTGATTGAATCCGTAATCTTCTATATGATTTTCCATGCCATTTCAGGATATATGTTCTCCCGGAGCAATGCCCGCTTCCTGATCATCGTTTCAACTGCGTACTCTGTTTACTCTGTGTATGTTCGTGTTGGATGGGGTGGGATCCTTCTATTGACAAACTTGTCCTTTCTTTCAAACGATCTGTTGACCACCTTCCTTCAAGGATATGATGAAGCACATGAAGCTGGTCAACGGGAGGAGCCCAGAAAGTCAGAGCCCATTGCAGAGGACTTTGTTGGGTATGGTGATTTTTCGTCTCCTGGTAGCAAATCTGGAGAGGACGACACACCCAAGTCCCATAAGGAATCCGATGCGGGAGACGTCAAAAATAGTAAAAAGGACTCTTCACTAAGCGAGGTGGTAAAGCCTGATTCAAGTTCTCTGGATGAGATGAAGAGAATCATGGACAGCTCAAACCATTATGAAGCTCTTGGTCTTCCAAGAAATAAGAGCATAGATGTAGCACTACTGAAACGGGAGTACAAGAAAAAGGTGGACGCTTTTTCTACTCGTCTTTATCAGAGTTGACTGCTGTATATATACTATTTTGATTTAGATTCCACCCTTTTCTGACTTTCGTTGACATTTATATCATAGGCTGTGCTCGTTCATCCTGATAAAAATAATGGTAATCCCTTGGCGAGTGATTCATTCAAGAGGCTGCAGAGTGCATACGAGGTTAGTCTCTTTCTCAAGAACATTCATGAAATGAAAAAAATATGATATTTCTGCACTTATTCGCTTGTGTTTGGATCATATTTCTGTGCTCGATCCTTAACTCATCTCAGAGATCAATTCCAGGTTCTTTCAGATATTACAAGAAAGAGAGCCTATGATGAGAAACTGAGGAAGGAAGAACTGAGCATTGTTCCTCATAAACACCATGCTTCCTCTAACCAGGTACTTAACTGTGGGTTGCCAGATTAGGATATTGCTGCATCATAAATAGTTAGATAAAATTCTAGGATGGGCCTTTTTTGGGCATTGCCAATACACTCTGTTCTTCATGGATCATCGGTTGCTTCGTTTTAATGATCATTTATATGACAGGATGGAATGGGCAACCGATATGAAAAATCTCGGCATATCAGCTGCATCTTGTGCGGCAAAATCCATATATGGACATTTACGAATAGAAGCACGAGCAAGGCCAGGTGGTGCCAGGTCAGACCCTTTCTCCCCAAGGAACTAGACCTTAAGTGCTCTTGAGATCATCACCATCTATACAAGATCTCATGAATCCTTCCATTCTGGGATCATTCTCTCTGTTCCCAGGATTGCTGCCAGTATCACCAAGCCAAAGATGGAGAAGGGTGGATTGAGATGGGGCCCACAAGATTCACCTCAGGCGCCAAAAAGGTACCTCCACTAAACTAGCTATGGCGGCTGTCAGAATTATTCATTGGTTCAGCTTCAGAGAGTCACCATGGAAAGAGGAAGATCATGCCCTTTGGATGAAGGCGAGCTATATGATTTCTCAGTAGTCTCCTGGAAGAATTCTGAAGAAATGATGGTTCAGATTAGTGCGTGGAAAAAGATAATAGATCAATTTTTATTTTTATTTTTTCTTGTTTGCTGATTAAAGCTATTACTGATGGGTTTGGTTCAAGAGCAACTGAGGAGAATGAATTGAGGACCTCCACAGAAAAAAAATCAATCATGTCCTTCTGCTTTAATTGGTCTTCAAGAAATATGGTTTAAATTAATGCAGGGAATAATAAAATTATGAATTTTTTTCCTGGTTTAATGGAAATCATGTGATTTCCTTTTATGGGTCTTTAAAGGGTTTTCATTCTTTTTTTTCTTTTTTTCTTTTTTTTTGTTTCTTGTTTTTCAGGTAGAGATTCGACGAGCGTTTGTCTGTGCCGAGGGGAAGGTCTTCGATGTGACTGAGTGGGCCACTTGCCAGGTTTGTCCCCCCCCCCATTCCACATTCTTCCTCGGATTTGTTTGGCAAAATTATTTTCGGATCCAGTTTGAAAATCCCTCGTAATTGTCATTAAGTATCTCTCACCCAGCTAATTTTTCTACATTTGGTACTCAAAGTCAAAATTTAGAAATAGAAAATGCCATAATCTCTCTCTCTCTCTCTCTCTCTCTCTCTCTCTCTCCCTCTCACCCAGCTAATTTTTCTACATTTGGTACTCAAAATCAAAATTTGGAAATAAAAAATGCCATAATCTCTCTCTCTCTCTCTCTCTCTCTCTCTCTCTAGAATAAGTGCATGAGATCAAAGTTTCTGCATTTAGCTGAATCAATTCTTTCTATTCCCACTCCCTCTTGAAGATGCAGGGCGTGCCTTGCCAAGCCAACACCCATCAAGCAACCTTCCAGGCGAAGATCGTCGGGCCTGATCGGAGACCACCAAGGCCCAACGCCTCCCGCACCCCTCGCCAGCCAGAGCCACCACCGCCGCCGCCCCCGCCGATGACGACCAGAACGGTGGTGATGATGGCAGCACCAGCAGCAGAAAACAAGAGCGAGCTCTGGTTGAAGCAAGCCTTCGCCTCTGGGCGGCTCTCAGAGAGCCACCACCACCAGAAGACCTGGAGCCCCTTCAAGATCGCCCCGAGGAATGGGTTCATGAGGCAGCTCCGCAGGTACTCCCTGGGTTAGCTGAAAATCATCTCTCTCTCTCTCTAGAAGTTGTAGAGAGAAGTTCGATGGGAATTATGCGCATGTAATTAAGTTGTGTGAGACCTTGCAATTGTAAATATTCTGCCTTTTGAGGCACCATTGTTGGTGGGCATCGGCCCAACAGGCGAGTTTCTTCTCGTAAATAGGCCGGTTTTGACCCAGTCTTCTCCGGGCCAGGCCCAGGCTTTGTTGGGCCACAGCCCAACAGTACACGGCGTGTCTCCTTTCCACTTGGCATTGGTGGGCCTGTTCCTGGGCCATATTGGGCGGCCCATTTTGTCAAATTGAGTGGGAGAAGGGGGGATTGTTTTCTTTAAACCCTCGTGAAACAATGCATTGACAAAAAACTTATTTTCTCCGGTAATCTTCTATAATTGGACAACTCGAGGCCGTCAAAATTTTAAATAAAAAAATGACGAGGACAGAAGCGTTCTCAGTACAGCTAGTGGTTCCCACGGAGGAGCCCCGTTGGGGGCGGAGAGATCCTGACCGTCAGATCTGTAGGAATCCCAGAGGGGACGCGTCATGGCCGTCCGATTCAGTCGGCGGCAGCGCCCCCATCCCGCCGCCGCGAGTGGACCACGAAGGCGGTGGCGACGCCGGCGAACAGCGCCACCCCGACGGTGGCGCAGACTACGCCGGCGGTCAACAGGACTGTCCGAACCCTGTCCCGCCCGTCGAGGACGACCATCGGGGTGGCGCCGCCGTCCACCGGCGCCGCTTTGCCCGCCACCGGCCAGATGCCCGCCGTCGTATTCCGGACCGGTGGAAGCGCCGGCGCGGCGGCGCCGGCGCCGGAGAAGAAGGCAGCCATCGCCGGAGTGAAAAGGGTGGCATTTTTCTGGGAAGCCAGGCCGTGGTCTGAGGGCCGGAGGTCCCTGGCGGAGGAGGGGAGGACGCAGAGGGAAAGAAGGAAGATGACGGCGGCGGAGGCGGGCACGCGGCGGCGATCCCGCCGGAGGAAACCTAGCGGCGGCATCTCCGATCGTCCTTCTCTCTCCTCTTCTTCTCTCTAAAACCTCCGTCCGGGGGGCGTGGTTCAGCGGCGGAGGCCTCTGCAGGAAGTTGGAAGAAAATAAATAGAGGAAGAAGACGACCCAAATTAGAATAATTTCTAGAGAGAGAGAGAGAGACCTCGAATGGAAGGCTATAGCATCCCCCGGAAAATTTCCTTTGTGCCGCTGCAGGGACATTCAACCGCTAGACCTGTTCCCAGAGAGCGAGAGGGAGACAGAGAGAGGAGGGAGACGATGAATGGGGCTCTTAGCTTCCACTGGAAATTCCCTTCTCCATGTAGGAGAAACTTTTCTGGTATCCCAGATAGATAGAGATAGAGAGAGAGACAGACAGACAGAGAGAGAGGAAGACCCTTCTCTTTGTCGGATACATTTCTCCACCCACTGTCCTCTTCACTGCAGAGAGAGAGAGAGAGAGAGAGAGAAGATAATGGTTCTGAAGAAGAAAAAGAAGCAGAGCTGGCAGCGGTCTTCACCGTTCCCTCTTAGCTCACTTGATAGGAAATGCACGTGCTGTGTTCTTTGTTTTTACATAAACCCTCCTCCATTATCTCTATAATTAAATAAATACACTCTTCAAATATATAATTCCATTATATCCTCACCACTGACCTCTCTCTCTCTCTCTCTCTCTCTCTCTCTCTTCGTCTCTGTTCCTCTCTCTTGGATTTTATTCTTCAAACTAGATGGCGACCATTAGTTGAGTCCAGCTGTCTCCACGTTGTCCGGCTGGTTACATTTATTTTCCTATAACACACTCAATAGTAGGAAAATTTCTAACCTAGTCCAATGGTTTTTTCATATCAACATATTTCTACTTATATATTTTTTATTATATTCCTATACAATAATAATACGTAAAAAATATATTATAAAAAATAGAAATGCATTACAAAACTACCTCCATGTGTTTTTTATAATTTTGTTGATGTCTATATTCTCTCTGATATATAAATTGTCGATGAGTTAGATCAAGACCGATGACCTCGATCTGGACCGTCCGATCCCTACACTGATAAAAATTTGGGACCCGGGCTACCGGCCTTTTTATTTTTTACCGGCCCAAATAGAGGCCCATAAAGCCCATTATTGGGTTCTCTTTCAGCCATTCTCTCTTTCCTTCCTCGCAGGCCAGTAAGGTGGGCCCCGGGAAGGGCATTACCGGGTTTTCCACCAAACACAATTAATGGCGCGGAGGGCGATTGGCCCACGAAGCCCGTTAGTAGTTTGGGCCGTATGTCATACAGTCCCACTGTCACAGAGGATTTTTATCTAATTTTCATTTATCAAAGCTCCATTTAATGATTATTTATACTGTAATAAATTACGTTTTTAACCCCCATGTACTTGCGCCCCTCTCTCTCTCTCTCTCTCTCTCGCTCTCTCTCTCTGTGTTTATTATCTTATCAGCCGGAATCTGAAATTGATGTTTTCACGTGCGCAGTTCGGAATTGCGCGGGAAGACGGTGGGAGAAGAACCCTAGCAAAGGGAGCAAGGGAGGCGGGAAAGACGGAGGCCCCACGGATTCCGTCCAGCGAGATCGGTTATCCTCCGAAGACAGTGAAATCCGCCGGGGAAGGTGTCGCCGAGGGGGAGACCGAACAGTGAGTCGTCTCTCAGTTCCCGCAATCACAACTGGAGTGAGGCCCGGAGGGGGCAGGGGAGGGTGGGAGGTTTTAATCTGCTTCTTGTTTTCTCCATTTTTTTTTGCGTTCAAATTGTGCGAGTTTTTTTTTTGCCATTTGTGCGTTTCATTTTCAGCTCCTGTCCACGTTTTTCTTATTTCGGGTGATAGTGTGTTGTGATTTTCGGGTGATAGCGTGTTTCATTTTCATATCACGACATCACCGGAGAAAGCTCGGTGACTGCGTTGGTTTTCCTGTGTGTTTCTTCGTTTTCTCCCGTTTGGTCGAACCACAGGGAAGCAAGGATTCTTCTCTGAAGGATTTCGGGTTGAGTCATCTGGTTACATCTCCGCAGGTTGGGACCGACTTTTGCATTTTTTTTATAAATTTATTTCCTTGTCTCGATTAGTTTTCATTATTTTGAGGAAAATAAACTACGCGGCCACTCCACCAGCTCATGTCATATTTCTCCCCGACAAATGAGTGTGTTTGGGCTCTAATATCATGTATTTCCCGGTTAAAACTTTCTGCTTGATCATCAATCATTCCCATGATGTTTCTCTGACTCATGTTTATGCCGACGGATTATATTTCTTTTATCCCGAGTTTTCTAAATAATTGTTCCAATTATTCTTTGCTAGTTTTTCCAATCGGATCTTTTGATTCACTATTCATGTGGAGCTGAAATCATCAATAACTAACCTTGGTTGTAGTTTTGAAATAAATCTAATTTTTTAGAATTTCCCCAAGAGTTTCAATTATATATTCCTTTTTGTGCTCTACGTGATCTCTGAACCCATTATTTCTGTAGTTGTTGACAGATATCTGGTTATGATGGAGTTGAGTCCTCTGATGGCTGAGGGTAAAACGCTACAAGATGTCAGTTCAGATGAGAATCTTCTCCTTGAAGACCTGGAGTCATATTGGGATGAACTCAGTGCCCGGTTGACTGTCTCAAGGATGGTGAGTGATTCCATCATCAGAGGCATGGTGAATGCCATATCTCAGGAGGCTGCGGAGAGCATCTCCTCAAAGGAAGAAGAGATCGCAAGATTAATGGCGAGGTTGCAGGTTTATGAATCGGGTAGACTTACAGACGGCAAACCAGAGCTTAAGTCAAGCCCAGTGTCTCAATTTAGATCTGGCTGTCTGCTGTCGGGCTGCCTGCAGATTGATGCAGAGACCCACCTTCAGATTCTGAAGATTGGAATTAAAGCCATGAGATGCTCGAATTCTTGTGGAACAACAAGCTTGAGCTCCGATGAATTCAACGTTTTGGATCAAGGAGTCAACCCAAAAGTGTTGATGAAGATGGATGAGGCTGTTGATGCTCTTAGAGTACTTCTGCCCCGTCTGTGCGAGCACCCTGGTGGAAAGATTTCTTTGTTGGAGGATGCACTGCTCGAACAGCAGTCGCAGTGGGACTTTGAGAGGGAGCTTGGTAGCATAGTCCTTGGAAATTTCCTGAGAGACCTGCAGGAAGAACGGAGGATCAGATTGTGCAGGCAGACCAGCATTTCTGATATTCAGAATGAGCACCGGTTAGAGAACATCATCTTGCTCATGGGTTCCATCCAGGAGCTGGACTCGATCTCCAAGTCAATCCTGAGTGCCAAACCAGAGCGCTCACACGCTCGTGGAGCCCACAAAGCGTTTCAAAAAGGGGATATTTCCAAGAGGAAAGGTAATTTATCATGGAATAATCATGGCATAAGTAGTTCCCACAGAGAGGGAGATGGTCTCACCTCGACAATGGATTCTGAGAATGGCATTGCAGAGATTGCAGGCTCCCCTCTAGCGCCGCAGATAACTAAGGACGAACTTGTGAGCTACTACAGAAACGAAATCAATAGAATCAAAAGGCAATTGGAGTCGTCTCTCCACGAGAAGACTGAGGAGTTGTTCAGGTTGAAGCGAGAATTCCTCAGAGAGAAGGGTTCTTTCTATCGTAAGAGAGATGAGGATGTCAATACCCTGAAGAACAAATTTCCGGATATAATCTTGAAGTTGGACAAGATACCCTTGGAGATTGAGGAACATTTTACTGATCAAGCTGGTCGTGATGAGCATAGGTTAGGCCGAGTTTCACCAACGGCGGCATTGATGCATGAGGAGGAAATCACTACATCCTCGGAGGTCAGAAACTTAGAAAAGCTGAAACAGGAGATTTTATCGTTGTTAGAATCACTAGAAAAGAAGAGCAAGTTCTTCTCCGAAGTGGAATCCAGATTGGATGAGCAGAAGGGACGTCTGGATAGAGTCCTGGATGAATTTAATTTGCTGATGAACCGAGCATGTGAACAAGAGAAATTAATGTCGTTGGGGGCTAGATTAGATGAAGCTTTGCATCAAATTCATGAACATGATGCAAAACTACGTGAACTTAATCAGAAACTTGTGGGTGTATCGAATGACTTGAAGGAGGCTGAGAAAGAGAAAGCAAACCTTCGCGAGATTATTCGAAATAATGAGAGAAAAATGGTTTCAGCTGCAGAAAGAGCAGATGCGCAAGGGGGGCAGATGGAATCCATCATAAAATTTGTTCAGGAATCATCAGAATCTGTTGCAGAATTTCAGAGCAGTGTCTTGGCGAATATCCAAATAACAAATTCCAGGTTCGGATTTCATTAATTTTAATTGGGATGAGTAAATCCTCACCCATGAATGACTGCTGCAATGCCACTATTAGCATATTTTTAAAAATTATTCTATGGCCAATGTTGCTAGATAGATCATTTCGATTTGAGATACCTTCCTCAGATTTATTTATTTATTTATTTATTTATTTTCGGAGGCTTGTAGTTCCAATGAGCAGATGTCTAAATATTAAGACCATTTTACAGATATCTTAATATCGAAATCAACTATACCATCGATTGTGTTTCAGGTTAGAAGGATTACATCATGAATTGGATGATCTGGTGAAGGAAGTTGATGAACTGAAGAGAAGGGAATCGTGGTACAGAAGGAAACTCGAGATCAGATCCTTCGACCTCCAAAAGGCCGAAACTGAGGTCAATATCTCTGCAGAATTTTGCCTATTCAAATGCTTATTATTTAGACACTCCAATGAGGACCATTTTCTTGTTGCCTGAATTAGGTTGACGTTCTTGGTGATGAGGTGGATACTCTTCTGGACATCCTCGAGAAGATCTACGTGGCACTTGACTACTATTCTCCGGTTCTCCTACACTACCCCGGGGTAAGTACGGCCTATTTTCTTTTATATCTCGGACCATTTTTTCTGCTAGTATTTTTTATTATAAAAAAAAATCAGAATTAGAATGATGTCATTCTGTGACCAGAACAACCCTCTGAAACCCAGACCCTGCAAAAATAGGCCCTGCCTAGCCCTGCCCAATTCTATGTGAGCGAGCGAGAAAGAGAGAGAGAGAGAGCGAGAGAGAGAGAGTGCTGGGCTCTAGGCATACCTGGCCTATTGCATAGTCTATGTACAGGATTGAAATCACAAGCGTCATTATATATATATACATGTTTTTTTTTCCGATTGCTATTTTTGTGAAATTTGTACATACATGTATTATTATTTTGTTTTTTCCGATTGCTATTTCTGTAAAATAATATATATATATATATATTATTTTTCCGATTGCTATTTTTGTGAAATTTATAAATATATATATATATATGTATTATTTTGTTTTTTTTCCGATTGCTATTTTTGTATAATTTCTCAGAGAATGATTCCTGATGCAGGTTGTGGAGACTTTAAAATTGGTGAGGAGGAAACTGAAAGAAACCCCATCGCGCGATCGTCACAACAATCTCACATAAATCTTCTCTTGCCATCGAGCACAGGCCCTTTGGGGTTGAGGGGGAAGATGAAGCGAGGCAGCAGCCCTCAAGCATCCTGGTGGGTCAACATTTTATTTTTTTCTAGCTTGATTTTTGGGTCTAATTTTAGAAAAAAATCAGATTAGATTTAAGCATGCCCCCTGAATATATGTACATTGAAGTGCATCATTTCTGTATCGAATGTAGATACTTGGAAGAATACAAAGATTTTTTTTCTTCTATTTTTTTCTATTTTGATGGGTATATTTTGATGCCATTCAATATGCCTTTATACTCCGATTATGGAATCTATACAAAGATTCCATATGCATTTCTTCGGTTGACTTCTGGGTATTTTTAGCTTTTAATCCCCGCATGAAAAAATCTCCGATTATTGGCGGATTTTCATTCTTGATTTATACTCGATTAATTATTATTTCCTAGATTATCCGAATTAATCGTATTATTATGTTGACGAATAACCTTCCTTAGTGAGTAAGCGAAGACCAGTCCGAATGGGCAGACGTTTGTCGATATTTATAAGTTATTTTTCTTATAAATATTCGTCAATATTTATTATCTTCTGATCATCAAAGGCCAAATAACCGAAAACAAATGTGTTGGAAAATTATATTTCCTACTTGTAGGGGGTGGGAGATATTAATATTAAAACTTTAATTAAAATGAATATTACATTATTATTATTTATTAATTGTGGGTCCCACAAGATAGCCAATCCAACATAGCGGTGGGGCAACGGTAATAGCCGTTGCTAGGGCATCTCCCCTAGGATTCCTGAGAAGGTTCCGGATTCTCCCGCGTCAAGCGATCCGATCCCACCCTGAGAGGATTCAGTTCCCCGAAATGGCGGCTACGCTTCCCCCCCTCCCCCGGCGGCGGAATCGACAGAGCTCCGGGAGGAGAAGCCCCTGGTGCTGCGATGGAGCCTCAGATCTTCCGGTCCATCCCGTTCCCTCAACCTCCATCTCACAGTGGTAAGAACAACTTCGCCTCTCTCTCTCTCTCTCTCTCTCTCTCTCTTTCCTATCATTCTAAGGTTTGCCTCCTCGGATTTCTTCGTCGGATCGTAGATTAGAGACGACTTATTTCATCATGTGCTGTGATTGATTCCGTGAGTTACATCCCCGTTTTCTCCTTGGACAGAATGATGAGAAATCATTGATCTGCTGCTCGTTCCGTTTCTCCTGGATTGATCTCAGAAACCCTACGGAGGGCATCACCGGAGGCAGGGAATGGGAGATGGCGGGTTCAGAAGTACGTGTCGGAGGATTTCAGGTGATGTTTAGATCTCTGAGGTTCTTGAGGAATTCTTCTCCCACGGGAGATCCGTGCCTGACAAAAACTGCAGGGAAGCCGAGGGGAGCCTCGACCCGGGCCTCGAATCCGCGCCGGGGATTCAAGCAGCAGCCGGAGGGGTCTTCGAATAATCTCCCCGACCAGATGTGCCGCCATGGCCGGCCGTCTCCCCGGGGGAAGTAGGCGTCCACTTCCCTCTTGTCCCGGTCCATCACAGGAACCACCATGATCTCCGTCCCCACCATGAACTGCTGGTAGGTCAGGCTGTGGACGCGCTCGTCCTCGGGGTAGTGGAGGAAGAGGTGCCTCAGCACCGGCAGACCCCTCTCCGAGGCCTCCTGCTCGATCCACCAAGAGGGAAGGAGGAAAGGAAGGAAGACCTTGAGATGCGGACGCTCAAAGCAGAATCACGCCATGTCTGGAGGGGACTTGCTGGTCACATTACCTTCACGAGGTGAACTCTGTAGAACCTCCACGCCCTGTAGACCTTGGCGAAGCGGGCGAAGTGGGCCAGCGTTCTGTGGTTGGAGTAGAACTGGCAGTTGGAGGACGGCTTGTTTCCCTGTTGGGATTAGGGTTTTTCAGGGCCCCCCCGGTGATCTTGGACAGGTTGCAGAGGAAGTTTAATGGAAGATGGGAAGAGGGGAAGAGAGCTGCAGGCTTGCCTCGTGGGTGCGGAAGACGGTGTTGAAGGCGTTCAGCTCCATCCAGCGGAGGAGGAGCTCCTCGCTCCGGCGGTATCTGACGACGGGGATGTTCACCGAACAGTAGCCGCCGATGTCGCTGTGGTTGAAGGCGAAACCAGAGAGGCCGCCGCTGAGCAAGCCGACGACGCTGCTCTTTATCCCGTCGTTGCTCTGCCAGCTTACCATCTGATCGCCTTCCCAGAACAGCATGGCCCACCTGGGGCTGTCCCTGAAGCCGGCTCGCATGAAGAAGACCAGACCATCTTCATCTTCCTCTTCCTCCGCCGCCACCCCCGCCTCCTCCCTCCGGCGAGTGGAGCTCCAAGAGTCTACAAACTCCCTGTTCACCTTGGCCCACATCTCCGGATATCTGTTATGTGCAGAGATCGGGTCCTCCCCTGGCGGCGGAAGAAGAAGAAGAAGAAGATTTGAGCTTGGCGGCCGAGATGAGGAGCAGGAGGAGGAGGATCTCCAGCTTACCGGAGAAGAGCTTGGCGTCTAGCGGCAGACCCTCGCCGAAGTCCGCCATCCATCCCCTGACGCCGCAGTCCACCATTTCCTGCAGGATTTTCTTGAACCAGTCGCCGGCGGCGGGGTGCGTGAAGTCGATCATCCCCACGTCGAAGGACGTGTTGGGGACCATGTAGGTCGACCCGGCCCCGTCCTTGACCAGAATGTCCAGATGGTCGGCCTCCTTGAACAGATTCCTCTTCCTGTTGGGCTTCCCGTCGGTCTGCAAGATGATGACCAGTTCTCTTCCAAATGGATAAAAACAAGTTTCTTTGTTTTCTTGAATTATTCAATAGTTTGTGATTTGTGATCTTGATCTTACCGGGGCGAGGCAGGGATTGCAGTAGGCCATCACCCGGATGCCGTGAGCTCGGAGATCATCCACCAGCTGCGGCCAGCGGGGGTACCGATCGGCGTCGAGCTCCCAGTTCCACCATAGCTGGGAGCCGATGATCGTCTCCCTCTGGCCGACCCAGTCCTGGAAATCCATCGTCAACCTCAGAGCTCAGCTCAGATCTCTCTCTCTCTCTCTCTCTCTCTCTCTCTCTCTCTCTCTCTCTCTCTCTCTCTGTTCATAGCCCGCCGCAGAGAACCAGACGTGCAGGCACCTGCAACCAGAAGGCGCCGATGGGGACGTCCAGGGCCCGCAGCGTCTCCCATGTCCGGCGGACGGCTTCCGTTCCCCCCTGCATCCCCACGACGGCGCCGGAGATGATCCAGCTGGGCAGCGCCGGCGGCCTTCCGACGGTCTCGGTGAGCCGCTCCACCAGCTCCACAGGGGTCTTCCCCTCCAAGATCCTCCCCCTCGCAGAATCTCTGTATATCTGCAAGAACTCCCTTTCAGTAAACCAAAAAAGGGAAAACTCTGATTCCTCCATCGTATTTCTGCAGGAAGATGATTTTTAGGGCAACCAGGGGAGGAGACGAGGAGCTCTCGCCTGGATCTGGACTCGGTCGGGCTTCGTCAGGTCGAAGACGGAGTAGCTGTGGTCCTCCAGGTACGCCGCCCTCATCTTGGAGGTCATGTAGAACGGGGAAGGGGCGTATGTGGTGCTCGAGTCCCCTCCCGACCTGAGGGGAGAGAGAGAGAGAGAGAGAGAGCAATCTCCTTATCAGTCCCCGCGCAGGAGGAAGAAGAAGAAGGACAAAGGTTAAGGTTTCCCGTGGTGGTACCTGTGGCTGACCAGGTTGGCGGCGAAGGTGATGGGCTGGTCGCCCCTTCCGATGCCCTGCTCCTGGACCAGGATGGGGACCCGCCGCCCCTTGAATTCCATGTGGGAGAACTGCTCACCAAATCCGTAGATCCTCTCCTCTGGATCGCTGGAGAAGGTGATCACCACCCTGTTGAATTCTCGGGGCGGCGGCGGCGAGCGGCGGCCGTCGTCCTGTTCCTCCTCGTCGGAGGAAATGGGGGCGAATTCCCTCCGCCGGAACCGGGGGAAGCAGGGGACCCCCCGCCGGTGCCGCCCCCACCGGAGCCGCACCGCGCGCCACCTGCGGGCGGCGGCGGAGCGGGCGGCGCCGCCGTGGAGCACCTCCCCGAACTTCACCTGGAAGCCCACCTGATGGGCTGTCTTCTGCTCGAGGAGGACCCAGTATCTCCCAGCGGCGGCGACTTTCTCTCTCCTGCGCCTCTCGCTGTAGACCCACCCGGAGATCACACAGACCGGGGAGGAGGAAGAAGAGGAGTCTTTCTCGCTCATCTGGATGTGGTCAAGGGTCTGGTGGGGGCAGAGGGCGAGGAGCTGGCCGTCGGCGACGGAGAGGGAGCCCCTGCTCTCCTCCGCCACCGTGCGGGCGGCGGCGGCGGAGACGAAAGCCTCCCCGGCGACGGTGGACCAGATGGCCCGGCGGGGCTCCGACCGGGGGGCCACGGAGAGGACTCCGCCGCCGTGGGTGCTCCAGTTTAGGAGGAAGTCCTCTCCGATGGGGAAGACCCGTTGCGGCGGCAGGGTAGCGGCGTCGTAGGAGAGATTACCCCGGAGGAAGGGGAGCCCCCGCGGCGCCGCCGGTACGGGGTTGTTCACGCGGCGGTGGTGCTTCTTAGATACCTCCAGGAGCAGCGGCGCCGCCATCTATTGATTCCCCGAGGCCTTCCTTCCTTCAGGTGGCGGAAGCGAGACCGAGGAGCAGAGCCTCCTCTACCCCCCCCTGTTTTAGACTGAGAAGAGAGAAGAGAGAGAGAGAGAGAGAGATTCCGAGGAGAGTGACGGGACGGGCCATGGAATCGGGCCTGACGTGGAGACCGAGAGGATTGGCTCTGGGGGAAGAGTCAAACGCCTGACGTTGACGATTAGGCTTCGTTCTGACCGGCGGTGGCGGCGGTCAGAGAAGGCCCGGTCTGGGCCTCCGAGAACCCGCTTCTCTCTCTCTCTCTCTTCACGCGGGTTCAGCGCCTGATCTTCTTCGTCTTCTTTTGTTTTCTGGGTGTTAAACGAGCAGGCGACAAAGTCAACTTTTGATCTCCGCTCTCCTCCTGGGGGATTACAAGGATTCGCCGCTTGCGCTCCTCGATGTGTTAGAGGCTTTTACTTACGTGGGAAATCCGCTTTGTTATCTGATTCCTAAAATCGCATCTTTATAGAATTCAGTTAACATATGCCTCCTCGTATTCACACATTCGCAGTTAAGGTTGTTGATCATACATCCTCTCTCTCTCTCTCTCTCTCTCTCTCTCTCTCTCTCTCTATCTAATCGATCGATCGTTCTCACTCTCTATTTCTTCTCTCTCTCTCTCTCTCACTCTTTCTTTCTTCCTTGTCTCTCTCTCTCTGAGCTCACAAATTTGGGAACCCTGTGTATCTGGACGTTATCACGAGCGCGATTCGTCGCGTCTCAAGGCTCATTTGTCTTCCTTTAGATCCCCCCCACGCCGCCCAAAACGTGCACAGATTCTTGGGGACGATGAATCTGTCCGCCAATGCGGCGGGGTTCACTGATAAGAACGGTCGGCCTCCATCGGCAGCAGCTCTGCTGCAATGTATCCGGCCGTAATTGCCGAAAGGATTCACCCCAACTCCGCGCTTTTTGGCACGGATGGAAACCCTGACCAAGAGATCCCCATAATCAAGCTAAAAAAAAAAAACTCTTCTTTTTTTTAGAGTACAGAAGCAGCTTCTTGCTCATCTTCGGATCTTGTGGAATATGGGGTGCGCCAGAGGGGAGAGACAGACAGAGAGAGAGAGAGAGAGAAGAGAGAGAGAGTGAGAAAGACAAATAGTAGATAGAGAGAGAGAGAGAGAGAGAGAGAGAGAGAGAGAGAAGAAGGAGAGAGAGAAAGACAGATAGATAGAGAGAGATGAGATATAATGTATTTCATCGTTGGGCGTCCCATAAGGTTTATTGACCTTTCAACTCCCCTCTCATTGACTTCTGGATTCCCCATTATACAAGCTAGCGATGGTAGGAAGTTTCTATTAGACTCCCCCAGGTGGCGAGATCGTCATGAGAATTTCTCCTCTTAGTGACCGATTGACTCCCCCATCCTCTCTCTCATCCCCACACATGCGTCAACGCCCCAGTCAACGATGACTTAAAAACGACATATTGCTTGAACTAGACCATTCGCTCAAGCCCGTCTTAGCCCATCCATTCGCAACAAAAGAAGACCTTCAACCAGCCACCCCCCCTCAATGGTTGACTTCCACTTGGGGAAAAATGGGCCAGGGCTACTTCTAACGGGCTCAAGGCCCGGGCCGGCCCGGAAAGACAAACTCATCTCTACCAAAAATGGGGATCAGATTCCCTCTGTTGAGAAGGGAGAAGAAGACCCAGCATCTGAAAAGCGCCTAATGAATGCCATAAGAGGAAAAGGGGTGTTACAAAGACTAGCCGTCGTCGCTGACAGAGACCCATTGAACCCACCAGCCTCACTGGTCGCAGGCACAGGTCACACAAGCAGCTCGTCTCCTGAGCCGTCCCTGAGCGATCTTCACACTCCGGGGGTTGACCCACTGCGAGCGAGCGACCCACCAGCCTCACTGGTCGCAGGCACAGGTCACACAAGCAGCTCATCTCCTGAGCCGTCCCTGAGCGATCTTCACACTCCGGGGGTTGACCCACTGCGAGCGAGCCACCAGCCCCTTTTTGGCCACCAATCACCTCATGACGCCCCCCGACTTGGACGCAGTCACTAGTTCCAGGAGCCGATACATCCACCGGTCAAGCATCCCTGCAGCAAGACGAGAAGCGCCCATGCTAAAATTAGACCTAAATTGGAGAGGGATGAGTGGGAATCCTAGTGAGAGAAAGTAGATAATCATTTACCCGTCAGAGCAAATGTGCCCCCGAGGACGGCGCAGAGGCGGGTGATGAAGTGCAGGAAGCTGCGCCGCTGCTCCTTGATCAACACCGTGATCGGCGAGAGGTCGTAGATGAAGAACACGGCTGCCTCACGCGGGGGGGAAGGGGCTCTGGTTAGCGCCGCCGCGGGGTGAAGGATGGTCAAGAGATCCTGAGAGTTCGGAGGGGGGGGCAAGCGGCTAACCTGGCCAATCCCGAGTGCCATTTTTCATGGGGACAAAGTATTCTGTCACGGAGAACTGGTTCGTGGGCAGCACCTCCTTGGAAAGATATCTGTACTCGGTTGGAACAACCTGCATAAAAACAAAGAGGAAAGTGCTTGAGATATCATATATAGATGACCAGAAAGTCAGTAATCATATCTGGGTTCTGCCGCTGGTTTAAGATTTTCATTCAAGTCTCTATTGAACCACATAGAGAAATCAGAAGATCGCACCCTGTATATGGTAAGAACGAACTTACCCATGTTGAATGGATGATCCTTTGGGCTTACAAATCGTTGACCAGTTCTGGAAATGAGAAGGGTACCTGGAACCTGATTGGGTTCAGCATTGTGCAACAGACTTGCATAGGAATTACCACTAATAACCTCATCTAAGAGAGAGGTGATGGGTGCAACAGTCATTTTGGTTTTCCTCCTGGAGCTTTTAGGACCAACTCGCTCCATATAGTCATTGAATTTTCATTTACTCCGATCATCAACTAAAAAAGGAAAATATTTCACCCACCCACCGGTTTTGTCCTGACAAGCAGGAGATCTACTCCAAATCCTCAGGAAGATGATGACCACTATCCCCCAATGAAATTATATATTTCTCATGCACTTCCACAGCCTCGGTGCTTCACCTCAAGCGTATGATTTACATCAGATAATCTGAATATGAGAGGTTACTATGAGAAGATTTATTGATGAAAAATGAAAAGAGAGGATCGGCACAGCTTTTTGGTCTTCCTTTCATCATCCACGAACCCTACACCAAGCCCGATCCGCTGACTGAAAGCACTGACTTGACCACCCCCAAGTCATTTGACTTGTCCATGTGAAGGGAATGTGATGGGCTTCCAGCACCACTTAGCAAGATGAAGAGGTTCTAATCAAAAGATGTTTTTGTAGGATACCGTCGGCTGGAAGTGGAGCTTTAGCTAGCCATCAGCAGGGATTGATCGTATTGGGTATGATAAATATTCTACTAGAAATATGCCTAGCTCTAATGAATGTTCAACGGGTCAGATCACCAGAATGTGGCAACCCAACTCAATAGATATATACCTCCTTGGTGATGGGATTTGCAGAAAATATAAGCAAGTACATGCAATATAGAGTTCAGATAGAAATACAGGACATACCTTGATGTAATATTTGAATACTCCACTTGTATCATGCAGGATCCTCGCGGTCCCATCAAGTGGGTTGTGGATTCCTGGATACTTTGGACCAAATGACAAGTCGTGAATTATGTGGCTCACATTCACGTGAGATGATCCTCCAAACATCTGTGCAGTGAAGAGAGTAGCAGCAGGTGATATAATCGTAGGAACTTATTTTGCCCAAGAACATAGACTATTCACATGATAGGTCAAAAGAAAGACAAAGATATTCTCAGTTAACAACATGCCAAAAATTATACAGTAGACAAAGATTTGCATCGCAAACAAACCACTTTCGTAGGTTCGGAGGGAAGCAGAAGATGGAACGGTGAAAGTACCTGTTCTGCAACAAAAATGTTCAATCCATGAACCGAGATGTGGAAGTTCCCAGCAACCCTCTGAACATCTAATATTCCATAAACCTGTGAAGTCAAGTACTCACAATGTAAGCAGCTAAAATAGGGTTTTTGCTTTTACAAGAAGTAAGTCACATCGAAGGAGATGAGATGTAGTGAATATAAACTACCCGGCATCCTTCACCATTTTCCAAGGAATGTTTCACATTCTTAATCATTTTCTCAGTATCCTTGCTGAACCCCAATACTTGATCTTTTGAAGTATCATTATGGTTGGTCTTGTCCCCATCTGCAGAAATAATGATTATTCAGAGTCTCAAATGGTAGGCTAGAAAGTCATAGAAGGCAAGCGCTGATTATGACGATACTACGACCAAAAAGGCCCGAACACTAACTTGACTAGCTGCAATCCTAGTGAGCATCGAAGGAAAACACATGTATGTAACCAAAATCTGAGGTCAATGCCATATACCCTTCACATTAAGGGATTATGCTCAAATCTTTGAGATTCATCTGCCAAATCTTAAATGCGCACAGGATTGATGAGAAAAAGGTCTATGATGATGATGAAGAAGCGGACAAAAATAAACCCCCTTTAAATGTCAATACACATTGGCTACTAGTGTTCAGGGAAAATTCAAGCTTTGAGTAAAGAATTTCTGATGTTGTACCATGATGTGTGCAACACTATCCAGTTCATCTAGTGAACTTCACGCCCACGTCGTGCATTTTTATGCATACGCATATTATGCATGGAGAACACTATGACCTAACTTGTACAAGATGTAATTTTAACAGTTCAAGGGGTAATCCTATCAATCGCACAACTTTAATACTGCCTACTTTTAAGCTGAGAGTAAAAAACATTATTTTGATGCCAAAACAAAAAGGTAGTTCGTGCAATGACCAATGACTTAACAGAGTATGCGCCCTGGATTCTCTCAAGTTGAGGCAAGTTTTCGTAAACCAGTACCTTGTGCGACTTTATATCAGCTCTATAAAATCCTTGAAGGTAAACTAGGTAAGAGATCGCTATAAAGAATAAATCCTTAGCAAGCTAGTGGTAAGAACTAAAGTAAATTCCAGCCGCCGAAGCAACCTCATACAACAATTTAAATGCCTAACAGAATCTTAGTTCAAAAATAAAATAGAAATAAAATGCATAAAAAATATTACCTTGAGTCTGTGATTTCTCTTTCTCAACAAGATCGGAGATGTATTGCGTGTTAAAAATATGCCCTTCTTTATTCAGATGAAGCTGTTTCATTTATAAGTAACATAAACGTTCAATTTCACTCAGTTGTGCGATAAGATAAATCATGTGTCATAGATAGAAAAGATAAAAAAAGACCAGTAAAAATATCCATTTGGTGGCACATAAGAACATCTCCAAAAAAATTCGCACCTGCGTAGTTGCAATGTAACGCAAGAACATGGACATTTTCCATACCGATGACAAATTATTGATCCTTTTCTGATGCTAAATAAAACTATCTTAGTTATTTTCTGCAATTAGTTCTGTGCAAAGCCAGTCGAACAAAAAAAATTGTTTGTGGCTATTGTGTGACTGCACCCTTATTGTTTGAAAAAATGTTACGATATAAAACGAAAGATCAAGAACGAGTCTCAGCATCATAACCATAATTACTTTAAAAAATATGACCCACAGGCAGAATTCGGAATTTATCATGCATACTAAAACAAACCCTTTTGACGGACTGAGGCAAAAATAAGTACTGAACTAACAAGCAAACATGAACAGAACTATCAATCAACAAGCACTAGAGGAAAGTTCATAGAAAGACAGCTCCAAGACATTACCTACTGTAAAATGAGATAATCATACAGTTATTAACGTTTTATTTGACTGATTGTAGAAAATTTGAACTTGAATAATACAGAAGAGATCGCATTTGCACCATTAGTCACATAAGCCACGCAATTATTTACAGAGATCTGGAACAAAAATTTCCAAAAGGCGTTCCCTCGAAAACAATTGTAGATTCATATCAATTTTAAAGATTACTGATTTTGACATTGATGTCATAAAGAATACGGTGTCTTTCAAGAATTTGTTTGACGAAACGTTGAATCTCCCAGGATGCTCCTCAGTGATGTTTAAACTAGGTCTTCCCCCAGTACCATGGGGATCTAACCCTGATCCCACAACAAGCTTTTCCAGGTCCAGTGCCAAGGGAATCTGCACCAGGACCAAATCCTTTCTTGCCTGCATCAATTGGAGACACCTAGGAAAACGTGGTATCGATATACATGGCGGACTGCTCTATTTTTATCCACTTGTGACACTTTAATCAGGTTTCACGTGGGTCGTCATATCGTGGGTTTTGTAAAATTTGCAAGAGTGAGTTTGTTCTAACAAAGTGTCGTCCCTTATTCTCAAAGAATGATTGCTCAAAAGGAACATCTACCACCAGGCTAGCAAATGTTAGCTCATGCAGGTTGGAAGATAAATTCTTGTTGGAGACGTGTTATACAAACTTCTTGGGAGAGAATAACCAAATGATCAAAAGGTCCTAGATGGGGCTGGGCCTGATGAATAGACTCATTTAGTTGCAAACCATTTGATCGTTGAAAACCAAAAAGGTTGCTTCAATAGTTCTACATAGTGTTTTGAAGGATGGGATTTGTGAGGCTTTTTCCAGGAAAAAGGCAGACAAGGAAAAATATTGATCTTAGACTACTGTCACACGACTCTGTAAGAATCATGCTTGTTTCACTCTAACGGTGAAAAGAAACTAAGCTGGTTCCAGGATGTTACGTTCAGCCAGATGGAACACTTTCAACTAGCATAAAAGGCATTGCAACTGGAACAGGTTGGATATATGCCCAAGAATTTCATAAATCCTTCTGCAAATCTGTGAATGAATGGGTCGTATGGTGGTTAATAATTTGGATAATGCTCTGTTTATTGCTGATAAATCACATACTCTATCTTATTTATTTATTCTCTCCTAAGTCCAATACTGGCCATGGAAACTATCTTACAACAGATTACCTGCAGATTTATCAAGTTCTCTTTCTTTTGAATTAAATCAGAAATCTAGTCCGCTTAAAAGTCTATGACATTCACGTGAATTGATTCCAAAAATTCCTCCGAAAGAGGGACTACAATATTTGCTAAGATATGTTGAAAACTAAGACAATATCATGTGCCATCGGCATTTCAGAGTTCAACAAAACATAATGATCACTAGGAATAAGTCATGAAAGCATATAAGCACCCTTTTGGTAGGTCACGATTATAAAGTGATCATAGATAGAATGGTAAAATGTATATGAAAATGCTTTACAAGATCAATGTTCTTACTTTCCATATGTTTGTATCCAAGTCCACCTCATGTTTGCCTGATATGTCGACGGCATCCACACTTAGAACTACAAAGATAGGTCCAGATAGTCAGTAACATACGCTATCCAAGTCGTGGGATAATACAGCATCGAGAGAAAAGTTGCGGGAACCATATTTATGAAACAAGCAGACAAAGATATGATGGGAACTAACCTTCACAAGGTAAAGAAGGGAAAGTGACGTTGATATGAATCGGAAGGATTTCTCCCCGTTTCAAATCTACAGACATCTGCCAGTATAAAGCCAAATCCATAGATTGAATACACAGAATATCCTTTGTTTTGGAGATGCAAAATTAGCAAGACAATTATTTGCATTTCAAATTCAAGAAAGAGGTTGACCGATCTCCTAAACAAGGAAATAAAAAGAAAAGAAAAGAACGGTCTATGTTAATTACACGTGCTCTCACTTCCAAACTGATGAATGTGCTTTAGGGATCTGTTACACTTCCTTGAACAGCATGCTGATGACTGGTCCTTGAACCTCATTAATGACACAAATGTCTGAAACTTTCTATTTAAAGCTGTTTTATTTTAATACTTTTATGATTTTTCTTGCATCTTAAAACCGGACGATATAAATGCAATTGCAGCAACATAGATATTACTTTCAAAAGCCCATCATCCACATCTCTCCCCTTTTCCCAAAATGCTACACATGTGGTTATAAACCTTAAAAAAGTGAAAAAAAACAATTACAAGGTGGAAAATTACATTGAATGATATTGTTACGTTTGTTTTAATGATACGACTTCCACAACACATCCACAAAAATGGAACAGGTAACATGTAGGGCATAAACACAAGAAAAATCCCACACCACACTACCATATGCATGCTGCAAACCATGCATACCAAGAAAGTTATCCAGTTTATCATGGTCTGCACCATATGGAAGTTGACAGCGTCTCCCAGAAAAAAAACAGCTAACAAAAGAGTTGCGCTCCTGTACTCTCCACAATATTTTAATGAATAACCTTGAATGGAGCCCTAAAGTTATCTAATACAAATCTACTGGACACAAAAGCAGATTCTTGCTTGTCAACCATTTTCTACATTTCTCCTTTCAATTGATTAACCATCGCCTTAGTGATAATTTTATACCATTCATTCAAAAAAAGTTTGTCTGAAGTTTCATAACTGATTAGTCCCTTCTTTTGTTTGGTATTAAAATAATAAAAGTGGCATTTAAATGATGATTCACAGCATACGAACTGGTGGTTTATTTAGAGGAGTTCAGAAAATAATTAGAAACGATTCATTAATTCTAGACTGATAATAAGATAAATGGAAGAGGCATGCAAGTGAACCTGATGTGTAGTATATGTTGTGAGATAATACTTCAGTTCATGCACGAACAAGGTCGCCATGACAGCTAAGCCAACGATAGAAACTGCAGAAGAAGAAGAAACGTTTATTACATAGGTATTTGGCAATGAAGCACACTTTTGATTCCAGAGGCATTAAATCTCTGCAAAACATAATCATGTATTACAAATGAAGGGTCATCATACCAACTGCTCCAGTTGAAGTCTTCTTTAACAAGTGCTCTTCCGCACGTGGGAATGCATCAAGGTTCCTCAATGCTTGTAGCCTCATATTTGTCCCAACGTCTACACTAATGGAGGTAAATAAGCTGAAAAGGATCACGTCACAAAAATGTGAAATCTCCCTTGGCAAACAGATTTGAATTGACAAATTCATTCACAGCGTACTACCACCGGATTTTTTACCTCATGCTGTCCTCTGCATTGGGAGACAAGTTCAAGGGGCTCGTGAAAGGGAATAAAGCTAAAGACTCTATCGATCATTATCACGGCTTTTCTCCATATAACATCTCAAAGGCCCTCGGAATGCATGAACGGAGAAGAAACAGGCCCGAAACACACGTCATTAAAATAAGAAGCCCATATCTGAAGGTTTCCAGCTTTTATGACATCGAGAACGCGTTGAGATCATGACGAATGGAGCATCCACACGGTGAAAAACCTCGATGCTGTAAGTTATATTAGAATTTGATTTTTCCCCGGACTAAACGAACATATATTACAAATGATTTCCCCGTCGTTAGCTTGCATCCCAACGAAAGCTTCAAAATTAAAGAACCAACGAGAAAATACTGCCAGAATAGAAAAACCTAAATCACCGAATCAGACGCGACATCGCACGGCAAAAGCACACGCACTGCATCCGGTAGAATAAGGATCAACACAAATTCATCACTGTTTTCCTTACCAGAGCGTTCGGAGCACTGCGACGATGCCCGGCGGCGAGCTAGCGAGCGAGCGAGCGAGAGAGAGAGAGAGAGAGAGAGAGAGGGAGAGGGGTGAGGTACCATCTTACTAAACATGGTCTTCGGTTAACGGTGATTGGTGATACTCAAATCTCTACCGCCCAATTCAGACTCCCCACCCCCATGGGTCTATGAATCCAATGGACTATATTAACATTCTCAGATCAGACGGTCTCGATCTCTAATGTAACGGCTTTTGGACCCAGAATACTCCAGAAAGGAAAAATTAGCAGCATATATTTAAATCATAATAATCCACAATTTATTGCTCTATGAGTTGGCCCAGGCCCAAATAAAATCCCATAAATGGGCTTTGTGCAGGACCATAATATACGCAACTCACGACCCATTAATATGGGCCTTACTTTGCAGGCCCAAAACGCTTCGGATACCGTACACACTAACTAACAGGGTGCTTAATGGTTCTGTCCTTGCTCACCAACCTCCCCGGACACGTGGCGCCCCCACAGGCCGTCTACTTTACGCTCAGAGTTTCTTTAAAGAGAACACAGAGGACGAGATGATGGATTCGGGCTGGATTTATAGAAGCCGGGGCCCGGCCTGCCTTGTCGATATCTCTGGCGACGATGGTATCTCGTGGCGAGGTGACTCTCAAATTCGGGCCGAAGCTTGGAAGGTTCCTGACCGGGCCGGGCCTGGCTGGACCCGTCCCGCCCCGTCTTGGTCATCCTCGGTTAGATCTGTAACCGACGGCGGCAACTTCAGGGAAGGTGACACGTCGACATCAAATGGGGACCACTCGGGCATTTTTTGGGGACGGCTCCAACTAGGACAGGAAGAAAATCGTAATTTGAGAATTTACGAGGGGCTAGGCGTTAAAAAAAGAGCATAAGACGGCGGTAAATCGGTTGGACTCGGTCTGGATTCAGGAGGAAGCGGGTCCATCCTTGGGGCCCACCGCTCACAGGTCAACTGATACCCAGCTCCCGACCCCCCGCCAGCTCGCCGATCTAGCACTGCCGGCGACACAACGGGCTCTACTCCGAGCAAGACCTCACCTTTTTGGTTTTCCCCTCCCGCCCTTCTCTCTACTTATCTCTCTATCTGTATCCTTCCGGGGAAATCTCTCTCTCTCTAGTTCACTCCTCTCTCACACTCTCTCTCACATGCCCATTCCAGTTTGATGGCATTCTAGATCTCCCATGTCCGAGTCCACCTTCTCGCTGGGTCTGCTTCCCAGTTTGCACTGGAGGTACGAATCTATATCCTCCTCTTCTGGTCCTGCCAAGGCGAGCCCGTCTGTTTGAAAGCTCATGCCTCCCCGTTCTGGAGCTAACCGGGTCTCTTTTCTCCTTTCCTTTTCTGGATTATGCGACGAAGAATCAGAGTTCTGCCCAGGATTTGAAATAGTAGCAGCAATAACCGGGCATGTAAGTTTCTCTTCTCATTTATTTACTGCTGAAACTACGTCTTATGATGAAACGATGCTTTCTAGCCTGCCAATTACGCACCATTATGCTGGTTGAAAATATAGAATAATTCATTGGGCTCGCTGATCTGCCTTCAAGCTGCAGATCTACGGTTTCCGTTTACGTGATTCATAATCCACGTCTGAAAGGCTGTGCAATGTTTGATGTTGAGCGAGGAGATCCCGCAATGATTTCTATCCCTGAAGCAGCGGGCCTTCTCGGTTTTAAGATACTCCTTCTGGTGTTACTCAAATCGAGAAATGCTCTCTCGAATTGTGATATATATGTGGTTAATTTCTCGAGAAAATTAAGTTCTGAGGTCACTTTTTTGGTAAAAATCTTTTCTTTTGGCTGAGAGAAGGTTTCTATGTTTTTGGGTCGATATAATTTGAGTAATAGAAAAAAAAAATTGAAAATGGTGTTAATTAGAATGCTGAAAACTTCGATGGAACACATTCCGTGAGTAAGAAATCTGATTGCTCGAATATACCCACAATTGCATCTTGAATCTTCATGTTTGAAATAAAAATAAATGAAATTTCCCTCCTAACTCATCAGAAATATAAAAAAGGAGCAGTCCGCGTTGTGTGGAGAGTGCTGAAAAATTCAACCACAACAGCATGTTCAATTAGAACAAGTATATGTAAGTCCGCTTACTCATCAGATATGATTGGATTGGTGTGCCACTCGTATGACCCCCCTTGGAATCCCTAAAAGGTAGAATTTTATTTCTCTTGATTTGCATGGTTTTCATTGCTTAGTGTTTGAAAATTTGGCCGGCGTTTACATTTTATCTCAACCCATTGAGTGTCATCTCCTTTTCTAAGTACCCACCTCAAAATCCAAGATTTTCTTCAGCTGTTCTTCCGGGATCCTTTTGCATGGGATTACCATCCTTCAGTAGCAGCCTCATGACTAGATAGATGAACCCATCCTCTAGAAGCTACTTTGTTGGTGATTTCCAAGAATGATACCCTCATGTGCAAGTTGACTATATGAACCATCTGGCATACATTATTCTTGACTTGCGCTGGTACATATGATCCCTGCTTCCTATTGAAGTCAACAGGTTTGTCCGTGGAGGGAAAAGAAGAAGAGCTCTTACTAGTAGGCAAAACCTGAAGTGGTCACCAAGGAGTGAGCCTCATCTGAGTACATGTGAATTAGGGAACCCTAGACTAAACAGAAATTTAGTCGTATAGGCTACCACCCACTAGATGGAATATGAACAAGATGCTATGTTGTGGCCAGAATATATATGCGTAAAGCTTGAGCCGGGGCTTGGATAGACATAGCTTGAGCATATGGCAAGGATCCCTGTGCTGGTTCTCTCTCTCTCTCTCTCTCTCTCTCTCTCTCTCTCTCTCACCCGGATCTTATGCTTTGCTGTGATGCCTCATCCTTTGTAACATTTATAGAAGTTAATCGCAGTTTTTTTTAATGCATGCCCACCTTCACTTACTTCTTTCTTCTTCATTATTCTTATGAATAAAATTGTGGCTGTCTGACAGAGTAATCGTATATTTCTGCAGTCTTGGATATGCTCTGCACTAAGTAAAAATGATGCAAAGATCCAGTATCAAGTTAGCTGCGATTGTTGGAATTAGCTTTTCTGTAGCATCGTTAATTGTCCACCTGTACCTCGCCAACTTCTCAAGCAGCGAATATTTAGATGATGGACGACCTTTTGACGGTTTCTATGGATCGGTAATATATATCAGTCTAATATTTAGCTTTAATCGACTTGGACTGAAATATTCATAAGAATTTTTAATCTCCATATATGCATTTTATTATTAAATGGGTGATTTGGAAAGTGCTTCTTATTTTGGTTATGTCATGTTGTTGCAGAGATTCAAGTTTGCAAGGTTATGGGGCCCCATTGGTTCATTGGAGTTTCTGCAACCATATGCAAACCCAAGAGAAGAGTACCCTGGTATGACTTCTTCAGTTTGTCGTGGATTTTATTTTTTTTATACCTTTTTTTTTTCTTCATGGTGGCAGAGATCTTAAGAATTATTAACTATCTTAGTGAATTTTTTCCTTCTGTATGCTATCCCGGAGAGATTTTATCAATTGATGGTTTTCTCATGATCATGGTTGTATTTTGGTAGTCCTTAGTCGTTTTTTTATGTGAGAACTTAACCGAAATTTTTGGTTTCTTCTGGGTGCGATTTACTCCAGCATAGCCTTTCCCACTCCTGTAGAACCACCAACTTTCCACTAAAAGTTGGCAGAATAAATTGATAAATGGAAAAATAGAGATATAGGGAAAGATGGAGAGGGAAATGGATTGGCATCTTGAGTCGAAATATGAACACACACATGCAAGGGACCAGATCTTGGGAAGATTTGGCGATCCCGCGGTCACGACTGAGAGTGGAAGTGGTGTGCAAGATTTTTCAGAGATTAACAGGTGACCCATGATATTGACCGAGAGAGATATGTGAATTTTCATGCTTGCTTCTTCATCTGATAATCTATGTAACTCTCTATATGGCAGGGTCAAAGAGACCTGTTCTGTTTAAGGGCATTAATCTCTCATTATGGGTTACTAATATGGGCTCTACCATCTTGATATGGTGATATTAATGGATTTTTGAGAGATGAATTAACATGTATGTTTTACATCACTCACTTTCATTCTATAATTTAATCATCAGGAGGTCTTCCACTGACTTCATACAGACTAAAAATATATTTATGTTACAAAAGTTTTCTGCATATAAAAGTGAAAATCTTCCTTGAAATTTAGCAAATGGTGAAAATCGACTATGCATGATGGAAAAATTATGTATGGGGTATCATACAGTTCCTTTACCATGTCGCCAAGATGCATGGGTGAAAAATATATCCCAAATCTAAATATGCCAGCATCTGGTTTTTCGTCATCAAATCACTGCTCCTTAAAATTTGGGGATGTTGTCTAGAAAACAATGGATTTCAACTCTTTCCTTCTACATTTTCCCTAGTAAGGTCTTTTTAGTGAAAAATGTGAGAGGAATTTCTCACCTGATTGCTCCCATTTTCTTTATTTTTTTTATTGAGGATGCATTTGGGGCCTCTCTAGAGGGCCTAAACAACGGGAAAAGTTTCCATTGACGAATTTTTAATCATACATCCGGTGACTCCTCCACTGGATACCTTGTCCTGGAGTTATAGATTACATAGTAAGCTATTTCCTAGTACGACTGATGTATATATTCGTACAAATATTTATATAATATACGGATTTATATTCCGGAGTGCTGGTGTGCGTTTTATCTCAAGTTATTGGGAATTGTGCTTTCTGAATCTGATTTGCAGAGACCACAATCTTCTATCCTTTTGCCACTTGTTTGTTTTGTACCCTCTATAATTTTTTTTCCCGTTTATGTGCAGTTCCAGGTATGGAAAACAATGGCTACCTGTATGCCAAGATATATGGTGGGTTTGAAAATATTCAGTCTTCGGTAAGCTCATGCATCCTATGCAATGTTCCATTCAGATAACTTTCTCATAGTTGGTTATGTATAATAAGCTTTATTATTTGCTAGATCTGTGATCTTGTCGCTATTGCCCGTCTCCTCAATGCTACTCTAGTCATCCCTGAGATTCAAGAAAGCCTTCAGTCAAAAGGCGTCAGGTTTATGAGACTCAACATCTGGGGCTGATTTTTCGAGAATATGGTCTTTTACGGTCTGGCATTAATTTATTTATTTATTCTTGCCTTATTCTATGCAGTTCAAAATTCAAAAGCTTTTCATATATCTACGATGAGAAGCACTTCATGGCAGCACTTACCAAGGATGTAATTGTTGTTCGGAGCTTGCCTGCTGGTTTAAAGGAAGCTAAGAAAAAGAACGAACTTACTATGATTTCACCTAAATATTCAGCCTCACCTAGCTTCTACTTGGATCAAGTCTTACCAAAATTAAAATCTTCAAAGGCCATTGCGTTGATTATTACCGGTGGAGGTTGCCTTCAGGTGGGACATTTAATTATATACCGATATCCTTGTGGATTATTTAGTGATGTTGCATCTAAAATTGATGTGCTGAAAGGTCATTAGTCTTTTGCCTTGTGTGGCCAGAGGTTTTCAAATAGATTTATTATTTCATCTAGTAATTATGACAATAAGTATAAACTGTTATATTATCAGCATTGTCGGTGAGTCCAATAACCAATCAGATGAATCTATTATTTTCATGTAGTTTGTGTCTAAAATGTTGAAGTGCGTTTAATGATCCTGCTTTCATGGGCACTTAAATGGGTACTCGTACTCGTAGAATGAAAATGCATGCAAAATAGGAATCATTTGCCCATCATTGTTTGAAATGCACAAAACGCAATAAGGTTTGTGAATGTATATCTAAAAATTTTAAATTCTTATGCTTTTTAATGTAATAGTATGAAGGAGCGTATATTTGATGTTGACTGATTGCTTTATCTTCAGTCTGAAATTCCAGTTGAGGGATGCGGTTGACTTTGTGTCCTAATTGAGAGCATTGATGGTGATGACCAATTGTAATGGTAAATTATTTTTCCTAGATGTTAGGAACAAAATCCATAATGCAGCACATGGGAGGTGATAGGTGATGAAGAAACGAAAAGTACAAGTGGAAGAAGAGAAGAGAGACAAACACACAGGAATGCATCTTTTACATAATTTAGCTATGCATACATCCCTGTCCACACCAATCCTACTACCTAGAAAAAAATTGCATTTACAAGAGAGTTGGTGCCAAGTAGGATAATCTGATCTGGTTTTAAAACACACTAGTAACCCAAAAGTTTCCAAGGCAAGGGTTGGCTTACTGGATATAAATCAGGTTCCATGCTCCCGCACTAGATTAGTTCCATGAACCTGTCTGCCCATTATCTGTTTTGGATATACGTTACTTAATATCATCTTAAGTTCGTCTATTTTTAGGCTTTATCTTATTAATAGAAAATTTTATGGTACCTCAAATTTAACACGTCAATATGTTGGAGTAACAAGTTGAGAGGTGACAAGAGATGAAAAATCTTTAAAGGCCTAGATTGATGAGTTATTTTACTTATAAATTATTTTATCCCTGCATGTGTCATTCTTTAAGCAATCTTGCCACTTTCGGTTGTAGGACCTTATATCTTTACCATAATGCGCAATTTGTGATTCTCTTATGAAAGTTAATTTCCGTTCTTTCTCCAGTCCATCCTTCCACCAACAATGGCCGAGTATCAAAGACTTAGATGTAGAGTTGCTTTCCTTGCTCTTCAATTCCGCCCGGAAATCAAGGCTCTTGGGAAACAGATTATCAATAGGTATCATTTGGAATCACTTATTCGGGGTGCTTTTTCTAATTTTTTAAATTGATTGCCGTGTGCTATTGAAAATTTGCACCAACTCACCATTTTTTTTTGGATAAGTTATTTTTTTACCTGTTACGAGATGTTTTGTAGAAATTAGTATTTATTAATCCTTATCAGGAAAGCAAGGCTCTTGGAAAACAGATTATCAATTGGTATCATTTGGAATCACTTATGCGAGGTGCTTTTTCCAATTTTTTAAATAGATTGCCGTGTGCTATTGAAAATTTGCACCAACTTACCAAAAATTTTTTGGATAAGTTATTTTTTTACTTGTTACGAGATATTTTGTAGAAATTAGTATTTATTGATCCCTTATTTGTATTGAACATCCCATTTATTTTAGCATATCTCATTGCCTTATTCCAACAAGTTTTGTAGGAATTATGGTTTTCTGGCGAACTTAATCGAACTTATCTGTTGCAGATTTTCTGGATCTTGATCTGCGCAAGTTCTTCTGAGTTAGCAACGTCGTAGGGTGGGATTTAGTCGAAGGGGATACAATTCGGCATGAATTAATCTACGGATGAATGAATTGGAGACGTCGCAAAATAATTTCCTAACGTGATGTATAAAAAACGTAAAAGCATTTAACTTAGAACTCAAAACCTTTCCCTATGGGTAGACCATCTCCTTGAAAAATCCCTACATTGAACCACATTAAGCATCTTGTCAGATTCCAATCATGAGTCATTTAATTGGACTGGGTTCAGGGGGACCTAATGGAAGCCTGATCACAAACTGTCAAAAGAGAAGATGAGGAAAATAGTGAGCATAACTGGTTTGTAGGTTGACGTGGTCCTTGTGGAAGTGTGTGAGCTGACCAACGCTGATCAGATGGAAAGGGCATTCCTGGCCATCTGTACTCGTTTTCAGAAGTTGGGGTGGAGTCTTGGGCCAGCAACTTGCTTGCAAGTTGTTGGTTCCCACCATACATTTTATTCCTGTTATCTGAATAATGGCTTGTCTCAATTGTTATCACGGCGAAATGGTGTTGATTGGACTGGTGCAGTGGAATGCTTGAAAGGATCTGGTCTGACAGCTTACTAATTTTCGTCAAGAATTCAAAATTTGACATTGGGCTCCACATTTTCATCAGATCTGGTTGTTGGAATATTTGGGTTTTTAATCACCAGTATTCTTGCTCTCTTGTTCTCATTGATTGTGCCTGATAGATATATTTTTGGAGTTGACCAATATGTCAATGAAAATTTGTTTGGCAGGTTAAGAACCTTCGAACAGCCTTACATAGCCTATCATCCTGGGATAATAAGGGATACTCTGGCATTTCATGGCTGTGCTGAGCTTTTTCAGGTTAATTTCTCTATCACAAATAATGATGGAATATTTGATTCATTTTTCCAAAAAAATCATTCTTCATATATATTTTCTAATTTATGCAAAGGAAGCTGATTATTTTTTATACGCTTTTATGCAATCTAACTCTGGCTTGCAATGCGTATGGATTTAGGATGTTCACACAGAACTTATACAATACAGAAGGAAGCAAATGATCAAACGAGGAATTCTGAATGAAAAACTAGAGGTTGATTCTCGTCTTCGAAGAAGACATGGGTCATGCCCACTAATGCCTGAAGAGGTACAACCTTTCTCACTGAGTGCAAATCTGTGATGCAATCAGGCATATGATATGCGAGATGGCCCACACCATGCTCACCAGGAAGTAAATCGAGAGGTCAAAGTGTTGCTTTGACCCACTTCAAGAAATGCCCACTCCTCTAAGCAGAGGGATAAGCTGAATCATGGCATCATTCCATCATATTATATTTGGCATCATGTCTCCATATCCAGTTGATCATCCAAAAAGAGGCATTTATTCTTCTATACTGAGTGCGCCATTATCACATTCCTTGCAATCTGACTGTGTTTAAGTCGGTCCCTAAGTCTCCATCTCCGCCTCTGCAGGTCGGCCTCCTCCTCCGAGCCATCGGGTATCCTTCAAACACAGTAATATATTTGGCGGGTTCAGAGATATTTGGTGGGCCGCGGATTCTCATCCCTCTTCATGCCATGTACCCCAACGTGGTTGACCGCACATCTTTGTGCAGTCAGAAGGAATTATCCCACCTGGTTGGACCTGAATCTCCTCTCCCCGAAGAAATTATTCCCACCCCTCCAGCTCCAAGTGAAGAACAGCTCATTCTAGAGTGGAAGAAGGCGGGCCCAAGGCCTCGCCCTCTTCCTCCGCCTCCTGCTCGGCAATTTTATCCTCATGAACGGAGCGGTTGGTATGGCTGGGTGACCGCAGTTGACAGTGAGCCCAACCCATCACCCGGGAATCTCAGGGAGAAAGCACACAGGCTGCTGTGGGATGCCGTTGACTATCTGGTCTCCGTTGAAGCTGACGCATTCTTCCCCGGCTTCCACAATGATGGCCGTGAGTCATCAGACTTCTCAAGCCTGGTCATGGGACACCGTTTATTCCGAATGCCCACTGCTGTAACATATCGTCCAGACAGGTGATGATCATCTATCTACCTACATTCAATTCCCATCCTGCAAACGTAATCTGATGGAAATGAATATTTATACTTGTTAGTTCTTGGAATTCTTTGTCAAGATCCTTTCTTTTGAGGAACTCTTCAGCCTTTTTTTCAATAAAGTTGCCAACTTTTCCTCCAATTCAGCACATCATGGAGATTTTCAGCTGCCCAACTTGATAGATAACATGCATTCTGCACTTGGACTTCTGACACTGATGGGTTGACTTGCTGTTTCTTTCACCAGGAAAATTATTACTGAATTATTTGATACCATCCGCGATAATCTGTATCATCCAAGGCGCAATTGGACAGTCAATGCGCGGGGCCACCTCAACAAAGGCCTGGGATTGGAAGGTCTGATAACGGAGTCGCAGATGTCAAAGCCGACGTCATTCCTCTCACACCCGCTGCCCGAATGTTCTTGTAGAATCTCCGCAGCCGCCAACATCTCAGTGCAGGTTGAAGGAATTCGCAGTGAATTATCTTCTGAGAGTGAGGAGGAGTGCCCTGCTTGGATGCCGCAGGATCACAATCCTCCCCGCGATGTCCTGGGAAATGACCCTGGGGAAGAGGAAATGGACGCGGAGGCTGAGACGGTGCCCGAAGAAGCCAGCAGAGTGGATGAGGCCAACCCATCGCAGGAAGAGGAGATTGAGTCTGATGATTAAACACCACAAGAAGGAACACATGGCATGCTGGAGCTATTCTGCATGGATCCATTCCCTCCTCTGCCTCCCGTTGGATGGAAGATGCACCAAAAGTAGGAAGTTTTACGTCACCTGTGTGGGTCTAGAGAGAGAAAAACGTCCACCAGAGGTGATCTTGGCCCCACATGCATGTATCAGCAGTCTCAAGATGGAGCATGACATTAGTTACCTCCTCCTGAGAGTAACCCAAGGTTTGGGAATCTCTGCGATTATTTCCTTAGAGGTCAATTCCATGGGTCAAAATTCTCTGGGTACAGTTCAGATTCAAGTTCTGACCCATCAATGAGATTTATTACCTTCTTTAGTAATAAAATGTACCAAACTGGGCAGGTTGATTTCTTGGGCACTTACATGATGCCCGGCTATGAAAATTGTTATTTTTATCGTTCTTGTGATTGTTACAGCCTCCGAAAGCAGGACTGGAAGTCAAAACTGGTCATCTTCTTGTTTCCAACAGCTTAATCAGATTCCCGGTTTTTCTTCCAGGACATGGTTCAACAGTCTGAGCTCCTAGAACACTTTGATGATCATGGGATTCTCATTTTGTAAGAACTTTCTCGATGGAAATAGATTTATTCCATCCCCGCCAATGACCCAATTGCATATATATATATATATATATATATTTGCATCATTGTAGCCCGCTGTAAGCATGAATTACAGTGGCTTAGTGAGAGAGGACAAAGCTAGCTTTTAGAGAGAGAAAGGATGAAAATCTCTTGAGGACCCCAGAGGGCCAAACCAACATACTTTACACCGTGGCATAAGGTGACCAGCGGATGCTCCCCACGCTTGCTTTCATGGCACCCGCCGGCCTGTTCTCAGGGTCATCTTCTCCAGCTAATGGCAGGTGCCCACCAAGATCAGAAGAACTGGCTACCTGGGTACTCCCCCTTTTCATACACAGCAAACCGGGGAAAAAGGTTGAGGAAAATAATCAAGATAGATTCTTTTTTATCAATCAATAAGAGCACTGAACAAAGAAAATTGTTAAAAAAAGGGCACTGAATATCTGCTTTAATTTTTTATTAGGAGCAATAAAGGTCCAAGAATGGCATACTGGTTTTCCTCATAAAGTGCTCAATTTTAAACTGGTTACAGCTTTTTAGGCCAATTTTGGGGTAATATTTAGAGAACATTAAGAGGTTTCTACTAAGAATGAGCATAAAATTCAGCACTCTCGCATGAAATATTTGTAGCTTCCGTACCCTCAATAGCAAATAAAAGCTTCTTCACCATTTCCAGTATTTTTTCCGAAAGCTAATAAATATCTGAAGAAATAATGAAATAACTATCTCGCATTAAATATTTGAACCTTCCGTGTCCTCATTGGCAAATAAAAGTTTCTTCACCATTTACAGTATTTTTTTTCTGAAAACTAATAAATATCTGAAGAAAAAAAAGAATCAACTACCTCGTAAGCCTGGCCAGGGCGTAGAGGATCCGTGATCGTAACAGCAATGGTGATCTACAACGAAATCAGGAGGGCATTCAAACTTCCAACATTAAAACTTTTATAATTTCTAGGAGTTTGGGAGCATCAAATTTCCCCTGCAAAATAGTGGGTAGAGGCAAGAATAGTATTTTTTTTTCTTGTGAAATATTCACCCAAACATATTCCTCAGAATCCAGAAAGATTTCATTTTTTTTCTCCCCCTCATGAGCGTTGACCAAAATGTACCTCTATCTAATACCTGGAAGTAGAAGCGGAGAAGCATTCATCCCTGACCAGAAGAATGATCCTGCTGGCCATGATTTCCACGTTCTCGCAGGCCAGCGCCATCTGCAGCTTCAGCTCCCTCATTCGCCCCATGATTCTGTTGAATAGTCAACGGAGTTCTTCTCTCTTTCCATCTCAAGAATTCCACGGCTAAGGAATTTGCACAGATCGCAATGCCAAAGCCGGTCAGAGAAGAAAGTAGAATGGAGAGAACAGGGGTCATTTTCAGCTGCAACCATCACAAACATACGGCATCATCTTTCCTAACCATTCCAAGGTCAACGAAACATTCAGGTGAGGAGTTTGATTGATGCCAGCAGATTCATCCATACCATGTTGTAGTAGACGTAGGAGAACAAGATGACCAATGCAAACTGAAAGGAAGCATATGCCCACACATAACTCTTGATAACTGCATCAATAAAACACTGTCTTGAGACCGACACACAATCTATTCGAGATTAAACAAAAACAAAAAAAATCTCATACTTGTGGCGCCTAATTGGAGAAAAAACGAAGAAAAAAATTCGTTTTTTGTTTCTTCGTGAAATAAAAATTGAAGGAAAATAGCAGGGAAGTAACAAGAAGAGAGATATTCGCCTATCGCAAGAGCACCTCTCTCCGTGAAGAGTGGAGACATGTGGACAATTTCTCACCAGAAAAATGGATACTTTGCGCTCTCTCGTATACTTCTTAATTTGAGAATAACTGCCTACTTTTATTTACTTGGTGTATGGAACAACCCATCAAGAGATAGGGAGGGTAGGCCAACAGAGCAATATAGTCTGAAAGAAAGTCTGCAAAGAACCATTTGAGATGGTTCAAATGATTTGGAAACGATCTTGTCAAGAGGATGGAGAAAGCAAATGATGAGTATTGAATGGAATAATTCGTCTTCCACAACTAATAGCTGCAAATTGGTGGTGGATTATGAAATCATGATACCATGGAACTATATATAACTGTCTCGGATTAAACACATAGCTATATATAGATATAAGGAAAAACTAAACAAATAATTCACTGGCATTCCCTCACTGGCCAATGTTGTGAAGAAGAAACCCACTGGCATGATAGCTTACCTATCGTGGAAGCTATGGCGGATGATAGGAAGCCCAGCGCACAAGAAAAAGGCAAGGACACAGCAAGAGCACGCGAGCCCATATCCGTAACCTGCTTTCATTTTAGCGAGGCATCTACGTCACCGATAATTAGGCAGCAGTAACCACAAGAACGAAAAGCAGGGATATAAAACGATCAATTCTGCAAGAACCCATGTTAAATTTGTTACCAAAAGCTGCTCCAGGAAGCAGAAGTACGCCAGCATGCTAACCATGGCAAGAACTGGTACGTCCTGCCAAAACCTATCCAAAGATGGGCAAAAAAATGCGTAAAATAAAAGGAAAATCATGTTGCCTATGTGTGAACACGCATAAGAATAATTATGGTTCATGTTGTGATGATATTTCTCGTTGGATGGTGGTGTTCTTGAGCATGATTCAGTGAGATTATTTAAAAATAAATTCCGGAAGCGTGTCATCGCAGAGCTACACCATGGTCGATGAGGGCCATTCACCTTAGTTGGGCTCTCTCTCCTGGCTGGAGAGTAGCTGACTGCTGTCTGCTGGTGGTGGGGTTTTCAATTCTGAGCAGTGTTACAGGCAGGTTCTTGACCTCTTGCTTGCAGATGTCACATGTCTTGTTACCCTTGATGCTGAACCATTTCACTGCGCACTCCTGGTGAGCGAGCGCCAGCTCCCCTCGGCAGCTGCACTCCATCTTGAGAGTCTCCCCGCCCTCAGCCAGCTCAATAAAGCAGATTCTGCAGACTGCCTCCTCTTCGGGAATGTCTTCCCCATCATCTTCAGCTGCTGAGAACAGGGGGAAAAAAAAGAAAAAATAGTTTTTTGCTGAAATTGGCTAAAGCCGAGAGAAAGGCCCATCTTCAGCCATTGTAGGAGGGATGGAATGCCTAGAGAAAATTGAACACTAGACATAATGCTTCACTCAAGGAAGAACACATTAGATGAAATATGATGGCCCAGTAATAAGCACAATCACCAGCCGTTTTCGTTGTTGAGTCATCTGCAGAGGGAGCGTCAACAACAACTGGACTGGGAGTTGCTTGGACAATGCGGAAGCGCCCTCCCAGAGAGTTCATCCGATGCAAGCTTCCACCTTTGACATTACTGGGGACTGACATGGAACGAATGATAGGCTTCTGGGGTTCTTTCTGCAAAATAAGCCCATGTATTTTGCCCACAGGCGTTGTTCCAAGGGTTGTCAGGAAAGGTTCAACTGGAATCCACATAAACTAACATTAATTAATAAAAAAATGAAAGGATCATGAGCCCAAATTTCTCCATATTTTGGAAATGATCAGCTGTTCACTGGTCCATAGCTTTCATTCACCTATAATTATAATCATCTTAATAACGAATATGGGGCTAATCGTATTGATTAAACTGGAAGTCCTCAGAAAAACTCACCTCCAAACCAGAAAGATCAACCACGTGACTGCCCTGCACAGAAACCAGGCCGGAACCAGAAACTGGCGTCACGGGCATGGAGTGTGTTCCCTTTCCCATGGTGGATGAGAAGACCCGAGTAAGGGAAAAGGGCCGAGAAGTTGAAGGCTTGTCCTGAGAAAAATCCGACATGGGAGCTGCTGAACCGAGGAGACCGACTCTTTCACACTCTGCAGTTGGCGTTTTCGCCCTCAGGCTCCTCTGTGGAAGGAGGTTTCTCGTGGATGGCTTGGCCTTTGCTGAATTGGGCCTTGGCGGCAAGCCCGCTCTGAGGGAATTTGGCGTAGATGCAAGAGGATTGGAGACTCTTGAGGATACGGGCATCTGCCCTTCAAGGGACCTCGCTGGTATTTCCAATGTGGGCAATTTTGGCCGTCTTGAATGCAATATCGGCTGAATTTCCCTGCCACTTCCTCCATCCTGGCTTGCCGTCTGGGAAAGCCATTGTGGAAATCCAGTCAAGTAAAAAATCGAGAATAAATTGAAAAAAAAAAAAAACGAAAGAGTTGAGGGGATTTGCAGCCCACGAGGCCAAAGCTCGATTTTTAAAAAAAAAAATTACATCCTTGCTTCCCATTTAGGATAATTAAAAGAAAAATCACCAAAACCTCCACCGAGAACAGAAAGAAATCGTGAGATTTCCAAATCCGAGGCCCCAAACTCGGAGCCACAAGGCTTGGATCAATGAGAACCAGAAAACCGAAATTAATAACGCAACTTGCATGTGGTGGATCTCACAGAGGCAACCCATACAGCTTCATCAGTAGCTTCAATCCTCGACTCAACAAGGCAACAGGTCCAGCCAGTTCATCAAAACCCAAGAACAGAATCGCAGAAAAAGTTCGGAATTCCTGAACTGTCGTCTCCGCCACTGTTCAGTGGGATATACGAGTTACTCGAGGCACGCCAATAACCAGGAGTGCCTTCTTTTCAATAACAGCAACTCTCTCACATAAGGTGCCCCCACCACCATCCTGATGATACCCACCCAAACGAGCAACAGTTTGGAGGATCGAACAAGTGTTCGTCGCCAAAAATCATATGAGCGAAAGCAGTCATAAAGAGTTCGGCGGATCGAACAAGAAATTGAGCGAAAGCGGTAACAAAGAGTATCATCTCCAAGAAGAGACCCACCTCCCCGACGCCTGATCCGGCCTCCGCCACCCCGGCCGGCTCAGGGGCTCCTTCGGAGCGCTCCATGGGGAAGACACACAGAGAACTTCAGGACGGCCCCCCAAAATCCAGACAGATAAAATCAGGCCATCCGACCAAACATTACCAACAGTGGAGAACTGGGAGAAGGGGAACCGAATGTTGAGTAGAGAAGCGGCCCTTGGACCTTCAGCAGTGAAGAATTGGGAGGATGAGCTCAGCTCGTCCCCTCCTTTTTGGCATGGCTTGTTCTTCAGTGGAGGACCCGCCAACTTTCTCGAGGGATGGTGCAGGCCGGTGGGCTAGTGGAATGCCGAACTTAGACTGAAACCTCTATTGCCCGTGAGGGAGCTCGGCCGTTAAATGACCACGGAGCCCTTGATTCCCATGAAAGCCTTCTGCCAAGAAGAGGAAACACTTTTTCTCCCTCTGTACACAACCTCACGGTCTGCTTCTCAGCCTTTAAGCATTATTGAAGGCAAGTAGAGCAATAGTGCCTGATGAGGGGGAGCCAAGGTTTAGGATAACGATGATCATAGTGGGTTGCATTCCATTAGGGTTCTTGAGTTTAAAGCGCAACCACCACGCATTGACACGCTGTCTTCCAAAGGACTGAACAATGATTTTGCAGTGTGTCCAGGTTGGAAAGGAGGAGCACTAAACAAGTTCATTGTCATGGGTCTTAAAACGACCAAAAAAAGCAATGAACTTCTTTAGTCGGCGTTACACTGCCTTTAGAATTCGAGTCCTATTGGCAGAGTTTGACTTTGCTTCTCTGCCCACGTAACCCTATTGAGGCATAAGTTGACTACTCTTCGACCATGCTACGCTGCTTCCAGTTGACATCAGACGAAGTTGAGGAACAGAAAGAATGTAGATCTCTTGAATTCGTCTCATGGTTAATAAAAATATTTTGGGGTGAAATAAACGAGAGAAAACATGAAGCTAAGCGTAGCATGAACTAAATAATGGTATTCTTCTGGTTTCCTGCCTAAAAAACTCCACCCTTAGACGGATTGTTAGATTCAAATGGGTTGTCTTTGGGAAAACCGAGTTTAAAAAATTAAAAAAAAAAGATTTTAGGTTGAAATCAAAGGGTGCTGATATTTGGAGGTGCAAGTGGTTGTGTTAAGGTAACGGAGTTGACCGGTGTTCCTCTTGAAGACACAATAGTTGTGCTTAAAGAACACATCCAATGACTGCAGTGACACCTCTTTCAGCAGACGCTCTCTCTCTCTCTCTCTCTCTCTCCCCCCCCCCCGTCCCCCCAGCACTCATTCACACGCACGTGCATACGAACGGGAACGCATCTTTAGTCTTTGTTTTGGGGCTTAGAGAAGAGGTCTAGCTCGAGCTAGGCTTAGCAAGGCCCAAGCCCAACTCAGACCATTGAAATCTCTACTGTTCAAGAAACGTAAACAATTATCCATATACTCTCTCTCTCTCTCCCTCTCTCTCTCTCTCTCTCTCTCTCTCTCTCTCTCTCTCTCGCTCTCTCTCTCTCTGTGTGAAGATAGGAGTAATTGCAGAGATGGTGATAACTGGGGGCTGGTAAGTACGGGAGATCACACGGAAGGTTCCCTGCTGAAACCATTCTCAGTACAGTGGATGAAGAAGGCACCGGGAAGATGGGAATTCTAGACGAGAGAATATGGCCAGATGAGTACTGTTGCACCTCCCTCCCTCCCTCCCTCCCTCTCTCTCTCTCTCTCTCTCTATCTATCTATCTATCTATTTATCTATCAATCTATGTATCTATCTATCTGTCTGTCTATCATGTATTTTCTCTCTGTATCTATCTGTCTGTCTGTCTGTCTATCACGTATTTTTTCTCTCTCTCTCTATCTATCTATCTATCTATCTATCTATGTATCCATCTATCCATCTACCCATCTATCCATCTATCTATCCATCTGTCTGTCCATCTGTCTATCTGTCTGGCTCTCGATCTGTCTATCTACAAGCGGTGATTGACGACCTCCATCCAACAAGGGAGTAGTAGTAAATGCTGGCCCACCCGACCTGATGCAGCATTATGGTGTGCCATGGAGCATTCATGACGCGGTGTAATGAGATCAAAGCATGTGGCATAGATGAAAGAAGGGGGGATGGAGAGAGAGAGGAAGGAAGAGGGGCCATGAATCACGTCTACGTATTTATCCAAATGTCGTCACGCATGCATGCAAGACCATGCAGGAACAAATACCTTTTGAGAGAGGTACAATCTGACTTTGACTGCGTTCTCCGTTTACTCTCACCTTTCGAGATGCCGCGCCTGATCGCTCATCTCTCCTCTTTTCCCCGCGTTCTTGGAGGTTTGGCCCATTGCCCACTTTCAGGCTTTCCTCTCGTCCCACACAGACTCCGCCCCTTCTCACCAGACAGCCCGTTTCTCCCAAAAATTCCCTCTCTCTCTCTCAGTTACTCACTCACTGACTCAACCGGAGCCGGCCATGTTAGCTGTCACGATCAGGAAGAATACGTCGGCGATTTCTGGGCCACTGGGGGAAGTAAACGGAATAAAATTTTGAAGTCTGCGGGGAAGAAAGTCACCGATCGTCAGCTGTAAGTAACTTATTTTTATCCTTCCAAAAATAGTAATCACCCCCCAATTTGACCGGTCCTGAGAGGCTTATTATCACACCAGAGCGCGAACTGGGTCCCAGCCTCGATGAAGCACGGGCTTGCCCCACAAAAGCACCCGTTAGAGAGAGAGAGAGAGAGAGAGAGAGAGAGAGAGAGAGAGAGAGAGAGAGAGAGAGAGAGAGAGAGAGAGAGAGAGAGAGAGAGAGAGAGAGAGAGGAAGAGAGAGAGAGAGAGCGTATCTCAGTTAATTCGGGGCCCGACCCATCTACATCTCGCCTGTTTTTCGCGATTATTCAAATATATATGTAAATTGAATGTGACAACATTTCTATAAGTTTATAAGTTGATTTAATTTATGTGTAAATATTTTATATCTCCCCCCGTGAAGAGACAGGAAACCGAGGCGTCGGGCTGCCGTCTACGTCATGGCGTCCACGTCCAACCCATGCGCCACGCCTACCGACATCGCCGCCGCGGTGAGAAGGGCCCCGTCGGCGGTGGACCAACTGTGAACGCGCGTAGGAGGGAGAGAGAGAGAGAGGGGGGGTGGGGCGGCGCCGCCGCCGTCCGCAGCGGCGATCTTTCGGAACGGTCGGGGCAAGGAAACGCCCGCCGAAGATGGATGGATCCTCCACTCCTTTCTTCTTATTGCTTCAACTTTTCCTCCGCCTCTACCCCGTGGCGGCCTCTCGCAGTGGGGGGGGGGGGGGCGGGTCGCCGCCACCACGGAGCTCACGGCTTCCTCAGTTCAAACCTACGGGCCTCCTTTGGCGCCGAAAAAGGGGGACAGACAGGAAAGGGAAGATCCCACGGTCATGAAAGGAACAGGATGAATCACTGACAGTTCCTTAAAGCACACCTCTCTCTCTCTCTACAAGAACTCTGATGACTCTGATGGAGGTGGCGGTGATCTAGGTCGGCGTGGTTTGACCTCGGGGAAGTGGAGGAGGAGGAGGTCAACAGGGAGCAGGAGGAGCTGCGTGGGCTTCCCTGCTTCAAGAGGACGACGGGAATGGGGCACCTCTTCCGGGCCTCGTGCTCTCTCACCAGCTCCGCCGCTGCCCACTCCAACTTCTCCGCGTTGGTCTTCTCAGACACCCTCCTCCCTTCAAAGAGAACCGACTCCACGTTCTTCTGCTCCAGCAGCGCCGCCGCCGCCGCCAGGACCTCGCTGCCGTCGGATGACTCGAACTTCCCGGGCGCCGCCACGGTGGCCTGGATAAGACGAGGCAGATGGCGGCATTTACATAAATTAAATACACACGAGGTCAGAAGAGTGATATAATTCCCATTACCCACCTGGACTCTGATATAGCTCGTTGACCTGGCTTGCCCGAACGCCAGGGACACCGCTTGATCTACCTGTATGATGAGATCGGCCTTCGTCAGAGCCGTCCGATGGAGAAAGAAAGAGAGAGAGAAGGGGCAGATCTGAAATTCTATGAGACATGAAGGGCGAAGAAAAGGGGAAGAGGTGACCATATCCGACGCGCTTTCTCCGGCGATCCTGGCGACCTCCGACCGCGACGGCGGCGCCGCCGACTCTCCGTTCCCGAGGGAGACCACAAGAAGATTCTCCATTCTGGCGGCGAAGAACTCCTTCCGGTTATTGAGCACGTGGGTGATGGCGGCAGCGGCTGGATTACCCGCCGCCAGGCCGCCATCTAGGGCGGCGATCGCGGTCTTCCCGTTGACGGACCGCATTTCGGCGTTGCCGACCGTGGCGGCGCAGATTTGACGCATGAGGAAATTGTAGCCGTCGCTCTCGACGGCGTCGGCGCGAGAGAAGAGGAAGGGCGCCGCCGTCGCCATGTCGAAGCACGGGACCAGCAGCGGCTTCAGCGTGTCCCGCAGCGTTGACTCCCCGAAGACCTGGCGCAGGAGCTTGTCCGAGGATCTGACAGCCCCCTTCCTATTTGGGAAGATTCTGGAGAGGATCGGCCTCCGGGAACGGAGGAGGCGGTGGCGGTTGGCGGCGAGGAAGTCGAGGGCCTCAGCGGCGGAGAAGAGGGGGCGGCCGCCGGGCCCGCAGGTGAAGAGCAACGCCGCCAGGAGGCCCCCGGCGCCGGCGCCGGCCGCCACGTCGAAGAAGTCGGCAATGTGGGCCGACAGGTCGCCAGAGAGCTTCTTCAGCGTTGACTCGAGGCGGGCGAGGGAGGCGGCGGCCAGCAGGCCGTCGGTGCCACCGCCGGTGTCGATGGAGAGGACTCTGACCCTCCCGGCGGCGCGGGCCGGCGATGCGGCGGCGGCGGCGGCTGAAGGGCGGGGGAGGACTTTGCCGCCGCCGCCGTCGCCGCCGCCATCGTCGTACCCGAAGAGGAACTTGGACTCCAAGATGGAGAATATCTCGTAGCTCAGCCTGTCCATGTCCAAGCTCGGCTCCATCAGAGCCCCACTCCCCGTCATTTGCTCTTCGTCTAGAGAGAGAAAGTGACGAGAGAGAGAGAGAGAGAGAGAGAGCGGAAGGAAGACGACGGGGAAATGGTGGATGCGGATCGTATGTATATATCAAGCAAAGACTGGCGCACGTTAGTATCTGACACGTGCAGGTGGAAATCGCGGGAGGGCCGTTTAATCATCGCTCCCGCCGTCCCCCTACACCACCCGGCCGCTTGCAGTGTGCTCAGTGGGGCCCACATCATCTAGGGTGGGCCCCACCGCAAGGATGAACTTTACCTTGAATGGCATCGCGCCGGCGCCGGCGCCGAAAACGTTCCTTAACACCGTTGCCCCTGCCGACGGCTCTGCGGTGGAGAATGGGCGGCGCCATCTCCCACGTACGGACGTGGGGGAGATCTCGAGACGCGTGGCAGATGATCAGACGACAGAAGCCCGACAGGTAGATTCTCCCGGCTGTCGGTCAGACACGAGCCCAATCACCGACGCAGCGTCAACGGTCCACGATCGGTCCGATCATAAAACCACAACCGTTGGATTAATACGGTAGGACCATCGGCACAGGGTCTTATAAGCACGTGTCCGCATGTCCGGTCCGTCGCCTCCACGCAGAGTATTCTTCACGCTACCCCATTTGGGGAAAAAATGTTAATATGTCCCTAAAAACAATTTTAGTATTTTTATTTTGTCCTGTTTTAGTCGGGTTCTTTTGTTTTATTGGAATAAAATAAATTAAAATCCTGCCAGGCCATCGTGGAGGCATCCATGTCTCTTGTCTCAGTATCGATCGGCACGTGGGGCCCTCTCTCCGCACGTGACTAGGAGGAATTTAAGCCAATTTTTCAAGATAAAATACAGAAAAAATATACATTATCAGTGGGGGAAAAAAATTTGTTAAAACAGGTGCCCAAGGATTCACAGCGAGAGAGAGAGAGTCATTGGGGCAGCTTCCACACGTGAGAAGCGTACGTGCAAAGGAGACAGCTGTCACGATCCGGCAGGCTCTGCGTGTCCCCATCTGGTTCAGGATGGCTCGGGAGGAGGTATCCTAGGCTAGAATCTGGACGGTCTGGATTTCTCGTGATCTGTGCTCGGAAGCTTCCGAGGACTCCTCATGCTGTTGTCCACACGTGTGGGGACCCACCCGTTGTCCCTCTCTCTCTCTCTCTCTCTCTCTCTCTCTCTCTCGCTCGCTCGCTCGCTCGCTCTAGAGTGAGGCCGATAATATGTAAATGTATATATTAAGTAAAATAATGGGCGAGTATTATTAGACGGGTATTTCGAGAAAAATATTATTTCGATTAATCGAGGGAATTTTCGAGGAGAGCTCCCCGTTAGAGAGAACCGCCGAAAATAAGCAGTCCTCATCGCGGACGATCGATCAACATCTCACGTGCTAGAGTAGAGGAGAAAGCATCACAGGGCCCGGAGAAAGTTCCATCTCCGTCTTCTCGGAGGGACAGAGAGAGAGAGCCTGCTGGAGGGAGGTAATCAGTGGACAGGTAATACCCAGAGAGAGAGAGAGCGCTTGCAGGAGGGAACCAGACAATGTAGAGGTAAATACGAGAGAGAGAGAGAGAGAGAGGTGTAACATTACTCCTCTGGCTGCATGTTCTCGTGGGGAAATCCCATCTTCCGGGCGGCTTCTTCCGCTGTACTGCGGATGGTTGCAGCGAGGAAACTTCCAAGACTTTCTATATTCAACGGTCCCCATGCACCGTCATCGCCGCTTATAGTGCTATGGAGAGAGAGAGAGAGAGAGAGAGAGAGAGAGAGAGAGAGAGAGTTCTCGGGCAGCGTGCAGTCAAGCCCAATAGGGAAGAGACACAAGTGTCCGTCTGCGAATACAGGTTTTGAGACAGAATAACTCATAGTTAAAAAGACTACACAATCGTTCTCTAACTAGGAATTTGTCCGTCCTCTCTCTCTCTCTCCGCCTCTTAAAAGAGATGAAGTTGCAGAACTCCCTCTTCCTCTCTCAGTGCCACTTGGCATGATGGGTAGATTATCCATCCTCCGTCGCAATATATGCCGACCCATCATCACCTTTCTCTCTCTCTCTCTCTCTAAACACGCACACGGTGACGACGTCTCTTTGTGAGTCTCCAGTACGATAAGAAAGCCCAGGAGAGACGCAACGGGACTCCTTTGACGACGACCGAGAATGGGTGATCCAGTGATCGAGTTTGACCCGTCAAGGCCTTGCCAGCCCATAGCTTAAAATGGGCTTAATAAATCATGGGCCTCTATACGCTAATCCATCTCACCCAGACCACCCTAGTTGACATTTTTGTTGACTCTACGACTTCCATCATCTGTCTCTCTCTCTCTCTAAATATCTCATTTTCATGAAGAAGTGGGCCCCCACTCTCTCTCTCTCTCTCTCTCTGTGCCGTGTTTAATGGGAGGGGAAAGTCTTAGAAGAAAGAAGCTCCCTGACGTGCTGGAGTTGGTAAATGATGTCATCATTAGGTCACGCTTCGTCATCAATAGATAGAAGCTCTAAATAAAATAATAATAATAATAATAATAATAATAATTAATAGACATGAATGTCACCCGTTTGAAATGAGATCATATCCGCTGATGACGTGTCCTGGTGTTATCGGGCCAGCTAAGCCTCCCCCCCCCGACCAAGCTTCCAAACATCGGGCCTATAAATGCTGCCCGAATCTATAAAGACAGCGTGCGTCAGAGTTTTGCCGAGATCAATCCTACGTGTACTTAAAGACAAAAGTAAGAGAGAGAGTTAATGATAAATATTATAATTAAATACTGTTTATTTATAATGAATTTTAATTTAATATTTATAAAATATCGAATAAACAAGATAAGATAAATAAAATAAAGATTGAATATAATATTTATCGGGATAAGAATTTATATTTTAAAAAATAATATTATTTTAAAAAAAAATCCAAACCGGCACAAACGGAGGCAGATGCCGTTTCCCCCCCATGTGAATGGTCTAGCCACATGCGCGCGGGAGGTCAGCCGTCCCCCTGTGGAGATGGGAAACCGCGGCGCACGTGGCTCCCGTGCATTTGACCACAGCGTCCGGTCTTCCGACACGGTGGGAAAGGGTCAACTCTCGGAAAATCCACCAAATCTAAATAAAAAACCTGCGAATAAAGGAGAAAAATAAGAATTCATAGTTTCTCAAATTAATCCGAGGGGGAACCATTTCAATATTTTTTTCATGCAATAAAAAAAAAATTTGAATTTCGCGATCCGTTTTTATCAGTCGTAGAGTTGGGCGAAAAGGCCCCCAGACGTCAATGTCAAAGTTTGGTGGGCTCGCCGCGGCGGCATCCCCCCACTTGGACCTGTCGATCCCCGATGCGCCGAAGTCGCATGACCGGGCATGCGCTGGTCAAACTTCTGGGGGCTGTCTTATTGGAGGCGCCCGTGTCGGCGTAGCTCGTCTTGTGCGGGTGGTGGGTCTGTCTGATCAGCGTCTCCCTCCTTCCTTCCTTCCTTGCCAGAAATCCTCGAGGGATTCCACCTCCTGAAGCTTCTTCCCGGTGGAATGACTCGATAATATCGGCTCTGAATCAGATCTCCGTTCCTCGTTCCACGGATTTCCCGAGGGCTTGCTTCATCACCTGCGCCGGATCTCCGCCTCCACGGCTTGCGTGCGCCGATTTGGGTTTCTGCTCAGGTATCTTGCTCGTGATTTCTCTTCTCTGCGGTTAGTTTCTCGAACGTAGATCTGGTTCAGAGGAATCGGAGTCCTCGACATGGATTTTCTCTAGGGTTCCTCATGCTCTGGTAGGTTGAAGAACTCTCCCCCCATTTCGTCTCTCTGGTCGTAGCCTCCCAGAGGTGGAGATTTCCTCCGACCGAAAACCCTAATCGTTCTGGCTGTTCGCCGGCGATTCGAGAATTTAGACGAAATCTTCATCGATCCCGCCACCTCTCTCCTCTTCGTCGAATCATGTTCTCGCCCCCTTCTCAATTCTGCTTGTCTCAAGGAGTAATCTCCTCGTCATCTAAACCTAATTCAATTCTGCAGGGCTCCATCTGTTATACGCTCGCTGTCCCTCGGGAATCGTCGTCGATCGGGCGAGCCTGATGAAGATGTCCTATCGTTCTTTCGTTTGCTGCGGGTATCCGGAGGAAGAATCCATCTCTCTCGATACAGGTGAAGATCATTGGATTTTGGAATTAGTTTTGATGCAGACGAAGAACCAATCGATCGCTTATTTTCCATCCGATCTCATGAATTCTGTCTCGCCGCAGAGTTTCCGGGGATCGAGAATGTGAGGAGATACACTTACAGAGAACTGAAGCGAGCCACGGACGACTTCAGCTTCCCGAACAAGATCGGGGAAGGAGGGTTCGGATCCGTGTACAAGGTGAGCTCCATCGCCGGCGCCGGCGAGATCTCTGGCCGGAGGACGGATTACTGAAGATTTAACGGTGGTTGTGCTGGTCTCGCAGGGGAAGCTCAGGGATGGGACGGCGGTGGCGGTGAAGGTGCTGTCGCCGGAGTCGTCGCAGGGGTGGAGGGAGTTCCTGTCGGAGCTGTCGACGCTGGCGAAGATCCGCCATGAGAACCTGGTCCAGATCTACGGCTTCTGCTCGGAGAAGGATCACAGGATCCTCGTCTACAACTACCTCCCCAACAACAGCCTCTCCCAGACCCTCCTAGGTGAGGCCCCTCTTCTTCTTCTACTACTTTCTTCTCCATGCTTCTTCTTCTTCTTCTTCTCCTTGGTGCTGCTGCTGGTACTGAGAGTCGCCATTTCTGATCTGCTGAACTTCAGGGGGCGGGTACAGCGACCTCAAGTTCGACTGGAGAACGCGGGCGAAGATCGGCCTGGGCATCGCTCGAGGGATCGCCTTCCTCCACGAGGAGGTGAGGCCGCGGATCGTCCACAGGGACATCAAGGCCAGCAACATTCTCCTCGACGAGAACCTCAACCCCAAGATCTCCGACTTCGGCCTCGCCAAGCTCCTCCCCTCAAATGTCTCTCACGTCAGCACCCGCGTCGCCGGCACCATGTAAACCCCCTCTCTCTCTCTCTCTCTCTCTCTCTCTCTCTCTCTCTCTCTCTCTTGTCTGTGTGGGTTCTGAGAGTTGTGAGAGGACTGAGAGAGAACTGGGCTGGTTTTTGCAGAGGGTACCTGGCGCCGGAGTACGCGATCAGGGGGCAGCTGACGAGGAAGGCGGACATCTACAGCTTCGGGGTCCTCCTCCTGGAGATCGTCAGCGGGCGGTGCAACACCAACACGAGGCTCCCTCCCGGAGACCAGTTCCTCCTCGCCAGGGTCAGTCCTCTTTCTTCTTCTTCTTCCTTCTTCCTTCTTGCCCCTCCCGAACCCGGAACCGAGACCACCACCACCACGAGGATGATCATGTCATGAATTCTCTCTCTCTCTCACTCACTCTTTCTCTCTCTGTATCTTTCTATGCGCAGACGTGGGCGATGTATGAGAAGGGGGAGCTGGTATCCATCGTGGACTGCGAGCTGAAGGAGTTGGACGAGGAGGAAGCCTGCAGGTTCTTGAAGGTGGCATTGCTCTGCACGCAGGACAACCCGCGGCTGCGGCCGCCGATGCCGATCGTGGCGCAGATGCTCGCCGGCGAGAGGAACGTGGAGGTGGAGAAGATCACCAAGCCGGGGCTCATCTCCGAGTTCATGGACCTGAAGATCCGCAGCGAGAAGAAGGCGGAGAACGGCTACTCCATGAACACCGTCTCCTCCGGCATCTCCCCCCACGGGAACTCCCCGCCGTCCTCCTCCGAGAACACCACCACGACCGCCTCCTTCACCTTCACCGCCATCTGCGACAGGGATGACTGAGTCCGCCGGAGAGTAACAAGACTCGAATTTTCTTCTTCCTGTTCTTATTATATCATCCTCCCGGGGTTTGTGCAGCAGATTCCCTCGGCTTTCGTTGTATATGAAGCGTTTTTTTAGACAGCTTTTGGTCACTCTCTCTCTCTCTCTCTCTCTCTCTCTATATATATATATATATATATATATATATAAATAGAGGCTGGGTTTGGGGGTTTGACCTTGACTAAAATCGGACGTACCTTAGGGTTCATTCCATCAATAAAAGAGAGGGAGAGAGAGTGACAAATGGGCCCGTCCACCATAAAAAACCTAGATAATTAATGGTCAGCGCTTCTGAGCCCGTTCTTCTGCCTGGACTCTTCCCGTTGAAGGTCGACCCCCAGAAAAAGAAAATCAGGACGAGCTCTGGGCCGAGCTCACCCGTTGACTCGATCGGAATTTGAAGCGCAAGCCCAGAGCTTCATCATGAGAAACCGATTCACACCCACCCCCCCTTCAATAAGCCCAACAAAAAAGGGAGACCACATAACTCCAAAGGATCACATACCCAGGTTCCTCGATTTCCGGCGCTTGACGGCGGCGGCGGCGGGAGGGGTCGTCAGAAACATTTCCGGTGAACGATGGCGGGGCCGGTCTCGTCGTACTCCCCCTTGGTGATGTGCTGGTTTTGGGGGAAGACGACCTTCGCCAGTATGGCGCCCCCCATCCATGCCGAGTTCCTCGAGAGGTTCTCCGGCATGTACTCCGGAGGCTGCGCAGGATCCCATCCATTGGTCAACCACGCAAGATCTTGGTGAGATATTACAAAAGATCACTACTCGGATGGATCATCGAATCAGAGAAATTCTCAATCTTTCCACAGAAAAAATTACCTTCACGAGGCAAGGACGGATCGACGACGAACAGAGGACGGCTTCTCTCTGGAAGCGTTCTTCAAAGCCTGCATTCAGTCGATGCGGGAGGTCAAACTGGTCAAACCCATCGGCCAAAAATGGTAAACCATGCGGTCATACAGCCCAAGTCAACCCCAGATGGATGACGCAGCACTGACCCTGGCTCCCAAGAAAATAAAATTAAAAATAAAAATTGAAAGAGTAAAAAATAGAAGAAAATCATGTGGGCTCAAGAGAACAGAGACCAGTCATGGATGCGGTGCCACCGCAGAGCACAATGTTCTCCAGGAGCTGCCGGTGGTTCTCAGATGAGACGGTAGAGATGCTGCAGACCATCTGCTCAACGACTCCATATTCTTCTAGACCAAGAATAGAAGGTCTAAATAATGCTTCCCCAATGAGGGATCGTTCTCTTTGGATGGTTATCACCTGAGACGATGCTTGGAATCGAGCATTAGTTTCTAAAAAAAGGAAAAAAATGCGAGTATTTATGTTCTATTAAAAGTTATTGGAACGAAATTGATTGACATACTACGCGGTTTGTGTGAAATAATGAAGCTCAGACACAAGTATACATGTTCTACGGAGAATTATTTCAATGAATCGATTAATGTCTCGCGTGATTCATGCAAAAAAAGGCGATTTATATGAGAAAGACACGCAAAGTTATGCCTGACCAAGTGGGGATCTGTTCTTGAGTGAGCTTGAAAAGTGCATAGGTCCCAGGGTATCATCCATCTGATGATTGATGTGCAAACAGATAGAAACTATGGAGAATTGAAACAAAGAAAACACTAGTTCTTCGATAATAATCGCACATGAAGACAGATTTTTCCCACAGTTTGAGTATCTAAGAATGAAGATTGAACGGCCAGGTATCATCCATTTAAAAAAAAAAAAAAAAAAAAAACTAAGATGAACAATATCATGGCTACAACATCTGGGTAACTTCCTAGTTATATGCAAGTGCCTATTAGTAATTGGTAATGCTGAGTAATTCCACTTAAAGGAAGTTTTTATTCGTTGATATTTTTAATTTAATTACCCAAAACTCTGGTGGTGTCAGGTGAGAAGTTCCCTGCACCGAACATGCTAGAAGCAGGGCCTCTTCTTCATTGTCACCAGTAATCAACCTGACCAAAAATTCAGGATGCGAAAAATATTACCAGAGAGGGGGGAACACCCATAAATAGTAGTAATATGGACGGGGGATGTGCTACAAAGTACGACTTAAAACCATAGAAACATTTTTCAAAATGCATCTGAGGCAAATCTCAGTGGCCACAAAACAGCAGAGAAGCTAATCAGAAGAAGAGGTCAACACTGCCATGGAATCCAGACTAAAGCTTTCATGCGTCAGAGTCAAGCCCTCCACAGGAGAGAGAACCAACTAAATTAACAGAGGGTCACGTCGGGGAGTAGCCACAGACCTGACCGTCGGGAAGAGTGTGCCTCTCCGCCTGAGAAGATTTCTGTGCTTCTTCATAAGCAACTGAATCTTCTGCACATATGGCGTACTGTTCTTTCAATTTCTCAACCTCGGAGATGTCGATCTTAACCAGTGGGTTGGACTTGTGGAGTTCCTGAGCAAGTAACTTCGTCAAATCAATACCTCCAATCTCAAATCTTTTTGAGGCTATGTGTTGAACAGCACCTTCGAGGACGGGTGCGATATCTGGTTGTGTACGGGTGATGTAAGCTATTAGTATTTGTGCTCCTCAATTCACAGCAGATGTAAAATATACTTAAATGTCTCAAGAGGGATCTAAAGGTAAACAATAAATGTAAGAAAAAAAAAAACGTCAAATGAACGCAATTGAGAGTTTAAGCTAATATAAGAAATTAAGTTCGAGAAATCCAAAGAAGCTGGTAAGTCTGATTCCACCTGCAAACAGGAGTAAGTGTGCCGGATGCTGAGATCCAATGAAGACTAGTTTTCAGGAGAGGAGGTGAGTTGCTTGTTGATTTGATCACCCACGGTTTTTGTATTAGCGCTAATGGTAGGAAGCGTGGGAGACAGGGAAGTGACAAAATGTAAAAGAAATTGATATTAAAAAGCACACACACACACACACACACACACATATATATATATGAAGGATAGAATATGCTGTAAGCTCTAGATGTTTAATTTATGATATAAAAAATGTGAAAGTAAAGAAAGGAAGATGAAGCAAATCAGCCAACGTATGGACAGAATGTGCTGTAAACTATAAATTTTCTCATCAACATATTTTTTAACCCGACTCACCAATGAATCTGAAAGGGAGCTGATCATAAAATATCGAATTACACGGACATAAAAAAATAATAAAGACCCTAATGCCTAATGTTACAATGATGAATGCCTCTGAAATCTATAACTCATGCAAAAATTATAAAATTCATGTGCAATAAAAATATCTACGAGGTCAACAGTCAAAAGGACCGATCTTTACATAGTTTTCATCAGGTAGGGAACCACCAAGGAGAAAGGTAGACGTTGCCCTCAAAAGACCAATTAAATCTTTCATTTTAATATAAAAATATAACTACAGCTCGGCAGGATGCCCAAGAAATAAGTATTTAATTGAGTTCTCGATTTTTTTTAACAAACTGATTTTATTCATCATGTAGAGTTACCTAGACGGAGAGATTGTGACTCTGTCACCGGATTTCAAAGTGAATAGCGTTATTATACAATATCAAATATCATACTTTTCCCACCACTGAAAATCAATTTCATCAATATCAGATCAACATGATAAGTTTATAATTGCACATAAACTATCACGTGAAATCGTCATACCTATTTTCCCGTGTCCAATGTCAACAGTACACCCTGATATGCGCCCCACTGCATAAAGTGATAGTACTGCTTGTTCTGATGCGTAGAAACCTGATACATTAAAATTTTCAAACATCAACTGCACTAATTGTTCCCTTAGAGCCTGCATTTAAAGAAAAAAATAATGTCAATAAATCACTATATAATTATATTGCACAAATGAGATTGACTCTCTCTATAGTAAGAAATTATAAGTTAATATGAACTTGGCTATTTATGCCGTCAACAATTGCAGTCTGTCAAAACATGATGGAAGCAAGCACTGAAGCACCATATGGTTGGAGGATATAAACCTGGACAGAGAAAAAAGTGTCAATTCCACTACAGAAACTTTTTTCAGGAGCCAAGGGTACTCAAACGATATGTGCATTTACAGAAATAGAACACACATGCGGAAACAGCAGATAGAAATACAATACCAGGATGAATGACTTGACACATTCATAATATTAGTGTAGAACACCTAAGTAAACCAAAATTGCCTCTTGCGGAAGAGTCAAGGGTCAAATACAGCTAGAATAAAACTACTCTGCAACCTATGTTGTGATGATACTCTGGAAAACTCCCCTTAAGGCACAGGGTACTATGCCGATTCTAACCTAAGGACATGGCCGAGCATCATCAAATATACGATATACTAATAAAAGCTGAGGGAACCCAAGCCCTAAGCGAACTACTTAGAAAATATTTTTTGATTGCCTCGTGTTGATACTAAATTGAATTTGAAAGATATAAACGAGAAATGATGATACCAAGTAGAACCGGACTATTCGCATAAAATAATTTCTGAAAAAATCGGGCGTTTAAGTGCAAAAAATTGCTAGATTCTGAATGTTTGTCACATGATTCATAACAAGCTGAGGGCTCTGCTTCAACGATGATTTAATTGTACACATAATGCTTTTTCTTCCCTTATCAATATTTGGGTAAGCAGCAGACCTTGTTCCATATTCTTCAAGAATTTGTTTGCTTATCAATGGTACGTGCTATTATACATTTCAAAAAAAGGAACCAATGATAAAAGAATAGAGAGATAGAAAGAACTGCAGCTGGTATTATGATCCATCTTAACCCAGTTTATTCGTCATTTAAGGGGAGCATTGTCGGAGGAGTTAAATAGATTACGGAAGCAGAGAAATCTGTCGCATGTAAAAAAGAAAAACGTGGGCACTGGAATTCCATAGTGTTTATGTCATGCTACCGGTGAAGCTTTGAGTAACTAAGAGAAATGATTATCAGTCTAAAAACAAAAGAGAAGCAAGATAAAATGTTAGCCTCATATATCTTCCACAGGCAATAGTTAGCGTAGCAACAGTAGAAGAGAAAAATAAGTTTCGCAGTTTGACGATGGGGGAAGACGCCGCAAGGCTGTCTGCACTTGACCTTGGGGGTGCAGAGCGGTTCGGTGAACAGTATCTGTCCTTCGTTCCCTTCCTCCCACCCCAGGCCAGCGTACAGAACGTGATGAAGCAAGTCTTCCATGGCTTCCCAATCCCTGATGAAACCCCTCGTCACTGGATCGATGTTGGCTTCCTCAAACATAGTGCTGTCCACCATGTCCCCATCCTCCGGAACTCTTTTCATCTTCGTCGGGAGTATCTTCAATGACCACAAAAATGGAAGAAAAAAAAACACACAACATTAAAAGAACTCTTACTGTCGACAAAAATGCCGAGCAATTCGCGAACCAGATCAATGAAACCAAGCATAAATGAAATATGCCGATCTTAAACCACGAGAATCCCTAAATCGTACACACCAGGGCGGGGTCTTGATCAGGAATGGCAAACCCGGCCTTGAGGAGCTTCGATCCGGCGTCCACCACTACCGCTTCCATGGCGGAAAACGGCCGCGAACTGAACGCGGACGAGGTTAGGAAATGAGAGGATTTTCTCCGACAACCCCTCCCTCGCCGGAACTGCTGCCGGCGGCGCTTCTCCTCCGACGGAGATTATCGATCTCCGACAACAAGCGACGAGAGACCCTCGCTCCTTCTCCCCTCGCCGGAAGAACCCTTCGTCGACCAGGGTTTTTCTGCACGGCTTACCCTCGACAGGGTATCCAAATAAGTTGTGGACAAACTAAGGGTACTTGTACAAATTTCCACACTAACTCAAGCACACGATCGTAGGGAAGCCCATTGGGTCTAAATGGGCCAAACGGCTATCGGATCGTGTTAGCCCAGAAACTTGCTAGCCCAAAAAGAAGTAGAGGATTCCGCCACGTGGACGCATCCGATGGCCCCTTTGAGAAGATCAGATCGGCACCGTTGGTTTTCGAACGATCCGACGGCTCCTGCAGAGCGACGTGTACGCGCCAGGGACAAAAAGGGACTTTTTTAGATGGGACCCACTAGATAAGCCTCACGATGCCACGTCAACAGAACACGAACCGGCCTGGCCCATTCGGCCCTCACACTTCTTTGGCGATATATTCCTCCTGGCGGTCGCGCGGCTGCGACCTCCCAAAGTGCACCCGCGAATCTGGGCCGGGGGTTCGCCTAAACGGACGGTCAGGATGAGGCCAAGTGGCTCGAAGATAAGGGGCTAGCGTGGGAATAAACATGACAACGGGAATTTTAAAAAAATAAGCAGCCTTTATATTCCCATGCAGAATAGACGGGAAGCCCCATCACCGCTTCGAAACCCTGGAAGCTCCCCGGAGACGGGGGAGCGGCCTCTGCCCTGGAAACCAGTAGAGAGAGAAAGAGAGAGAAAGAGAGAGGGAGAGGGCTTCTTCGTGGCTTCTTGGTAAGCTCATAGCGGGGAGAGGTCTTTCTCTCTCTAGTTCTTTCGAGTTCTCTCTGATCTCCGGCGAGTGGTACCCAACGAGGAAGAAGGATCATTGGGTCCTGATCTTCCCGTCTCTGATCTCAGGTTTCTCTCAGTACCCGGGCTTCATTCCTCTCTCTCACACACTCTCTCTCACTCACTCCTGTCGTCTGTACTGACTGTTCATGTTTGAAGCAGGAGAGAGGTGGTAGAGAGAGGTAGAGAGAGAGAGAGGCATGGCGGCAATGGGACAGGAGGCCCAGTTCATATGGAGTAACAGGAACAGGAGCCATTCCTTTGGGGCCAACGCCCCGCTGATCGAGGATATCGAGGTGGGCCAGATATTAGTCCCCGAGGTCAGCTCTAATCCCTGACATCAGTTCCTCGGTTTGACCTACTCCTCCAGTCAACGCGACAGCCACACACGTCTGGTCAACCCTTCATACATCACCATCACTGGGACAGAAATTTCAAACAAGGAAGAAAATAACATATTCTCAGCGTCAACATCGCATCTTATTTTTCTTCAAGGAAACCGATGAATTTCTTGAAAAATAGAACGTATGATCAGAAATAGAAATATGAGGAATTAATTTTTTTTTTAAAGTTTGCAGAGAAAAAGCTGGAAAAACTTGTTTTCCTACATGGGCCCAGGATTTCTTGTGGCCATCGCCTACATTGACCCGGGGAACTGTAAGATCCTACTAGTTCATGTATCTTCAGCGTTGACTTCTCTGCCATGATTCCTAGCCTACTTATGAACATGCAGTTGAGACGGATCTGCAGGCCGGAGCGCAGTACAAATACGAGGTACTCATCCGAAATAATCATAAAAAATTTTATTTATGATTCATTTAATCTACTTTGAAAAGAAATCATACGAACCTTGTTTTGTACAGCTGCTGTGGATAATTCTGGTGGCATCATCTTCTGCTCTCATCATCCAATCTCTGGCTGCTAATCTGGGGGTGGTCACAGGTCTGTGGATAATATTGCCATAATTAGAGGTTATTAAAGCCTGATCATGGTATATAAACATATACTATTTATCTACATGAACGAACCCTTTTGATGATCATAGAAGGGATGTGGCAGGGAAGCATCTGGCAGAGCACTGCAGAGCAGAGTATGCGTGCGTCACAAACTTCATACTCTGGATCCTGGCTGAGGTTGCAGTAGTTGCATGTGACATACCTGAAGGTTTTTATCCTCTTTGATTGGTTTTTTTTTTTCTCTCTCTCTCTACATTGTTCATATGCACGCTATTGATTCCACTGAATTGAAACTGTTCCGTTTCTTCATTTGTTCCAAAATCAATAAATAAATAAATAAATCAGGTTTTCAAGATGTGAGAGAATTCATCATGGATCGGTTAGGTTCATCCGTCCTTTCTATACTTGGAAAAATCAACTTTGCATAGATTATATAAAAAACGGTGGACAGTGTTCATCGTTGGAGTTTTTATTCTCCAAGGAAACTATTTTGGGAGGAGAAAAAAAAAAGAAAAAAAAAAAGGCATGTTCTTCTCAACATATAATGACAATAATGCTGTGATAATGCTGTGATGATTATTTTCTGAGAGTTAAATTCTTTATTTTTTTGGCCATTTCAGTGATAGGAACGGCCTTTGCCTTGAATATGCTCTTTGGCATTCCTGTGTGGTGTGGTGTTCTTATTGCCGGGTTTAGTACACTGATGCTTCTGTTCCTACAGCAATATGGGGTACGAAAATACTCAATAAATTTTATCTAACATCATACAAACAAGATGATCATTGACCCATTATACGGCAGAGTCCCATAAAAAAAAAAATATATTATCTTTTGTTTAATTAGATAATTGCATGGAGTAGAAGAGGACTGATGAGCTCTGCTGGACGATTACTTACCTCGGCAGGTGAGGAAGCTCGAGTCGTTCATAGCCTTTCTTGTGCTCACCATGGCTGCCTGCTTCTTCGTGGAGCTCGGCTATGCAAAACCTAACCCTTCGGAAGTCATGAAAGGGCTCTTCGTTCCCCAGCTGAAAGGGAATGGGGCCACTGGGCTTGCCATCTCCCTGCTTGGCGCCATGGTTATGCCGTAAGTTCCTGGATCTTCCCGTAGCTCTCTTCTGGTGTTCATCTTCTCCCACTAACCTCTTTCTAGAAAAAAAATAAAAATAAAAAATAAAAAATCAATCAATCAATTTCAGGCACAATCTCTTCCTCCATTCCGCGCTGGTGCTCTCAAGGAAAGTTCCCAGATCTGTTCAAGGAATCAAGGTAAGATCAGAACTGCAGAACGCCTGTCCAATGAAAAGAAATGGCAAGATGATGGGGATATTTCCTAGTTTGGTGCTCACATTGGCCTGGCTCATGAGTGATGTGGTTGCAGGACGCATGCAGATTCTATGCCATAGAGAGTGCGGTTGCCCTCTCGATAGCCTTCTTGATCAATGTTTCTGTCATCTCCGTCAGCGGTGCTGTCTGCAGCTCATCGAATCTGAACGGAGAAGATAAGAAGAGCTGTGAGAGCCTGGATCTCAACAAAGCCTCATTTTTACTCAAAGTAGGTGGCTTGAATTTCTTCAGACTTAAATCTTTGATCAAATGTTCTTGCGGTCCATGGTACAAAAAACTCTTCTGATGCTGGGATTTTCATGCGTGAATTATATATATATATATATATATATATATATATGAACATAATAATTATTTCGTGACATCCATAAAGTATTATGACATTCTGACGAGGATTTCATAGAAAATCTGCGCTGAGGAATTAGGAGAAGACATCAATTGGTGCATGTAAGCTGATGACAAAGACGAAAAAAAAGAGGGGGGAGGGGGATAAATAATTAAAATGATTCATAATTATAAAAAATACATATTTATTTATTTTTCGTGATCCACATTCTGCAGAATGTTCTGGGAAATTGGAGCTCCAAGGTGTTTGCTATCGCACTGCTGGCCTCTGGTCAGAGCTCTACGATTACAGGAACATACGCTGGGCAATATGTGATGCAGGTATAGATCAAATACCCCTGAAAAACTATCCCATGCCATATCCTGCCTTATTTTTCTTCCATAAAAAACATAACGCGGTTCTTGACTCTTGAATCCTGAATCTTACCATCATCCCATATAATTTTGGTCAACTTAATGTTTTCCACAACCCGGATTAAGGGATTCTATGGTCTCCAGGTGGATGCTGCTTATGAAATTAAAGATTTTTCTTACACATTTTTCTTTTTGTTGCAGGGGTTCCTCGATCTGAGGATAAAGCCATGGATCCGGAATCTCCTGACCCGGTCTCTGGCTATAGTTCCCAGCCTCATTGTTGCAATAATCGGCGGTTCTGCTGGAGCCGGCAGATTGATCATCATAGCCTCGGTAATCATTCTTACAGCATATGATTTCCAGACTTATGCTCCTCAAACTATGATTTATAGCTATATTTGACTACAGCTCTCAAGTCCAGACTATGATTTCCACATACTTTTTTACTGAATCCTATCTATGTATAGCCTTTTTTTTTTCCAAGAGAAGATTTAGAGGCGAGAACACAGACAGATTTGGTGAATTTCCGCACCTGATTTTGGGTTGCAATGCTGATTCCCTCTTGTTGTTGCGATCTGCGGGCAGATGATCCTGTCCTTCGAGCTCCCCTTCGCGCTGGTTCCCCTCCTGAAATTCACCAGCAGCAGCACCAAGATGGGGCAGCACGCTAATTCAAAATCAGTAAGGAGAGAGAAAAACATAAAGCAAGCACCTTTTAACCATACATCTTTTTGGGGGGCGAAGGAGGGATCATATCATCTTCTTTTTTATATGCCTTGCCACTGCAGATATCGGTGGTGACATGGGCTATCGGCTCCCTGATCATGTCCATCAACGTGTACTACATCGTGACCAGCTTCATCAAGGTGCTCCTGAGCAGTGGGTTGAGGATCGTCGCCGTCGTCTTTGCCGGCATCTTCGGCTTCTCGGGGATGCTCATCTACATAGCTGCCATCGGGTACCTGGTCATCAGAAAGAACAAGAATGTCATCAAGCCGCTGCTCATCGACGGGGTGGAGGTTGGCCGGAGAAGCTCTGGCACAGATGCCGCCACCCTTCCAAGGGAAGATATAGTGAGCATGCAGTTACCTGGAGGGAGGCCGAGGCCAGCAGATGCCTGTTGAATCCCATCCGGGCCTTTGAGAACACTGTGATGGAGACAGCTTCTTCTTCTTCTTCTTCTTCTTCTTCTTCTTCTTCTTCTCCTGCTGCTGCTCATGCCGCTGCTGCTCCTCAGTTGAGGGAGAGATGGACCCAGCAAATAATTCCACTTGTGGTGAAGTTTTCCTCATAACTTATGGTCATAATTAGAAGCTTAATTCTTGTTTTAATCATATCTAGATATATATATATATATATATATATTAAAATCGGCTACTCTGACCCAGCCTATTTGGGCCGGCGCCAAATGGGTCCCTTCTTACGCACCTGTCTCAGAGAGAGAGAGAGAGAGAGAGCTTGGGGGAGGGGGCAAGAATGGTCCCTTAAAAGGCTTCCAAAATGTACAAATATCGGGCAAAACTTGAAGAATCGAAGCAAAGGAGAAGGCGGGCTACTCGCCCGCCGTCACCACCGCCCTCCTCCAAGAACAGCACGCCAGTCAAAATCCGAATCAACAGAAGACAAGTGACAGAGAGTAAGGAACTCTAAGACTCATTCATCCACAAGGCCCCGTCGCCCACCGCCCGCTGCGGCTGCTGCTGCCGCCAATGAAAAACTGAGGTCTGGTAAGAAACTTCAACTCGTGAAGAAAGACAAATGAGGAACCCATCAGCTTCATTTTGAAACAACATGGTGCAATATTATCCGAAGAATCAGCTCAACAAGATTATAAGAAAAAAATCAAGCACGAGACAATGCAGCGGCGCCCTTCTTGCCCCCCTTTCAAGGCGAGGACTCCCTTTCTTTCTCATTCTGTATGGTTTCAAGATGTATGTATGTATGTATATATATATCTAAATAGATATATATATATATATATATATATATATATATAGAGAGAGAGAGAGAGAGAGAGAGAGAGAGAGGGAGGGAGTGGGTCCACTGGATTCGGATTTAGAGAAGAGACCCACATCAACCATGAATCAAATATCATAAGAAATAAATAAAAGTAAGCATCATAGCTGCGGCCAGCCTGAAGCTCTGCGGTGGACCAACATCTCACCATCCCTTGCCGGGAGGTTTGGGGAAGAAAGGTCCGACTTTCTTGCAGTCATGGTCAATATATCACGTTCTTCATCTACACCCTCTGAGCGACCCAGGTCAACAACAATTCCTTCTCATCAATACATTTCACATGCGCTTGAAAAATTGATGTTATGGCCACAAGTGAGAGGGATATTGTCATTCTTTACTGCCAAACCAGCCGTCTATCACTCCTGTGGAATAAAGAAACTATCTCTATATGCTAATCAAGCATGTGATGCCAATGGATCCATTTCTTTACTACCATACCAACCATCTATCTCTCCTATGGAATAAAGAAACTATCTATATAAGCCAATCAAGCATGTGATTCTAATGAATTCATTTCTTTATTACAAAACCAACCATCTATCACTCCCATGGAATAACGAAACTATCTACCAATGCTAATCAAGCACGTGATGCAAGTTATACAAGGGATTCAGCTATTCTAAAGGGCAAGCAAGCAGACTGAGAATGTCAAAGGAAAGAGACTCCACCGAAGAGAGAAACTCTCTGGCAGGTCCACACATCCTCCTCAATCCACGAGAAAAACCATGGGATTTCATCTTAGGGAAACAAGATATCGCATATTTCAACCATCTCAAGAAACTGGAAGCAGTGCAATGACTCCACGTCTATCCTGTCCCAAAAGGATGCCGTTGGAGCATCCATCTTCCAGGCTTATCTCACTCATTACACTGCGATCGCCCCAGAATTTCTCTTTATCAAACTCCTGGCGCTGAGGAATGCAAAACAGTCGAATAATCCCATATCAAGTGTTACACCCGCTCGAACACAAAAAAATGACCATGCCTCATCTCAATTTGGAGGCCAGCGAATCTCATCTTGCGAGCATAGATGATCGCAGTGCACCATATAGTTTCTACTGTCTCATCAATAAAGGAATGCATTGAAGAAAATCGACATCTGATTCCCTCACAAGAGGAAAATAGATAGGCAGCGTAACTAGGAATACTCATCACAGATTCCCTTTTCGGTACAGTCCTGCGACCTCCTGGCAACAAAGTAGCCATCCAAAGAGAACATGTTCTTGTTCCCGACTCTTTCTTATGCCTTTGTGTGTAGGACCCAAAGTATGAAACACAGGTGGATGTTTTTTCTCTCTCACTATGAAAAGGGTGAGTTAGGTGGCATTTACTGGAACAGGACCAAGAATGACTGCGCTATACTATGCGCTCAAAAAGCCATGCAGAATGATGCCAATAGTTGGCAACTTCCCCCGTCCAGAGAAAAGGCCAGAAACGTTTTTACCAAAGATGACAATCCGAGAACTACAAGTGATACAGCAAAAGAGTGTAAAAGAGAACAAAAAAAGCAACAATAACATCCGTGGAGACATTTTGACAAAGCGAAAAAAAAAAAGGGAAAATATCAAAGCAGCCAGGTCACGTAACAAGAAAAAAAGAGAAGTAAAAATAAATCAACTATGGAGACGAATCTTACTTTAGACAATGCCACAATTGTACATCTTGCAAAGCTCATTAAGTGCCTCCTTATTAGCTGCATCTACGTACGTTTCTATCACTGCAGGATACTTTCCTGGGGAAAGAGCCGAAAGTCTTGCCAGTGATGTGACAAAAAACTGCTTTGGGTCCTTTATTACGTTTTCCAGTGGATCTTCATCTTTCTTCCCAGCATTGTGCAAGCGTGCAAAAGCCGAAGAATGGCCAAAAGCCCCTCCAATATCGGTCACATCTACTTCTTCTTCCACCCTCTGCTCCTCTGGCCTTGCAAGAAGAGTGATAACACTGTCGAGCATTTTGCCACATAGCTCAGTGGCCGAACTATCCAAAAGAACTGGAGACTCACAAAGAAGTCTCGTTGAAGCAGAGGAAGTCAGTTTTACCTCCACGAAACCTGTGATTTGCTTGAGATTTGGTATCCAAAACTTGTCAACCAGTGTGATAAATAAATTAGGCTGGACTGAATTTATGGACTCCACAAGAACAGAAGGACCATGCTTAACAAGAACCAAAGACATGAATATAACAAGCAATTTCACAAATCTAATGGTCTGGCGAGCCTGCAGACGCGTGAAAAGGACACTCCATATGTGACCAATATATGGTGCCAGAACCTCATACTGGAGATTCTCTATAACCGTATTAAGAACATAGAAACCTAATTCTTCAGTGTTAGAAACTGAAACCAAGCTCTTAAATATTCCAAGCACTTGGCTCAATCTTCCCTCACTGTTAAGTTCATTAGGCATCTTCTGTAGGTAGGCCCTGAGAAGTCGGACCAATGCTGGGACACTTGCGGGCCTATTCCAAGACTCAGGCGAAAGAAGTACCTGGAAGAGTTGCATGTAGCTCGGTGAAAGTGGCGGTCTGTTGATCTCAACAAGTTGAGCGAATATTTGGAAGGCATATGGCCAAAACTCAGAAATATCATTGACCAATATGTTCTGGAGTGCTGGGAATAAGTTTCCCTCAAACAATCCAACTAGAGACTGGTCCTTCTCACAAGTCCTCCTGATCAGTGTAGCAATTGACTCAAAAAGGTAGTGGTTGAAAATTGGATCCTTCGGATTTTTGCAAACATCACCGAGAACTGAAACTAGCCATGTGACACAGGGGACGACCACCTCACGACCAATTTCAGCAGTGCCAAGCACACGCATGATGCATTTCATAATGTAGGGGTTCTCCTGAGAATCAGGGATTCGCAGGGCAGTGAAAAGGTTGTTCATGAGCGCCAACAGGAATGGGCCAATGTCTGAAGCACTGTAACGTAGATGCCCTCCATCTTTCACAAGTAACAACTTCTCAATACAGTTCGCAGCATACGAATGCACCACATTTGAATCAGACGCCAGGAACCTTATCAAGTCCGGGAAAAGTAGGATTGCAGTTTGCTTTGGAATCTGGCTCCGGAAAACGGTGCAAAACTTCAACGCACCTGCCTTAAGCACTGGAGCAGCATTCACATCACGAGATTGTAGCTCTGGAATGATTGCGGATGCAAAGAAGCTCTCAATATTGATGAGATATGCAACATCCATGCCGCCCGTTGGCTTCTTAGTTGCAAGTGAGACAACAAGGTATATTGCGCAGTCCTTGTCTTTCCAGTTCTCACTCGGGTTTGCCTGGTAGGCGGCCAGCATCCTTTGTATCTGTTCTGACGTGATGGCCATCACCTGATCCTTGTAGTTGACGGCAATCCCCTTCAGCAGTTCACAAGCAATCCTTCTCCTCGTATCCGCGTCACTGCCCTCAATGTCCCTTCTGATGTACTCAACATGGTTCATTTCGAAGAGCTCCTCATCCTCCTCTCTGACCCGGATGTTGGGAAAGATGACGCTCTGGCAGATCTGTGGCAGAACCTCAGGATTCCCAAAGAGACCATGGTGGACGCTGGTACTAACAGTTGTGAGAAACTTGATGGCTGTGATGATAAGTTGGTCACGGGAAGAGGAGGGAGAAGATGTCATCAAAAGATTGTAGACAGCGGAAACGAAGTCCTCGAGATAGCCTTGGAATTCTTCCTCATTCATCTTCATATAAAGTTGGAGATTCTCGCAAATGGCAGCACGGAGAGTGTCCACAGTGCCGTCCGCCTCAAGAGCAAGGGCGTGGGCGTAGGGCGAGTTAAGGTACGCACTGAATCCCGACATCCACTCCTTCATGTGATCCTCGAAAAATTCCGGAAGCTCGATGGAGTTGAGGGAGAAAAAGATCCGGCAGCAGAGCCTCTGCGACTCAAACATTAGCCGGAGGACGGCGACATCAACCGCGGGGCTCGTCCGCGCGGCGTCGATCTGGCGGGCGGTCTTGAGAAAAATCTCGAGGAGCGGCCCCGCGAAGCCGTCGAGGCAGTACTTGAGGTCCAGCCGGGTATCATTGTCGCTGCCGAAGGCCGAGCGGAATTTCTTGAAAATGGAGTTAGCTGCGCCGAGAAGGCCGTTGATGGCGCGGTAGTCGGTCGCGGAGCGCAGAGAGGACACCAGCTCGGGGAGGAGCGTCGGCCACGCTCTAGGGAAATCGTGGCTGCTGACGACGGTGAGCGCCTCGCTCAGTTGGCTCTGGATGCGGGGAGGGGAAGCGAGCATGAATCCAACGAGGATGGCCTTGATCTGCTCCTTCTCGGCGTCCGGAATAGGGTTAGGCGACAGCGAGGAGTCCCCCGGCTGGGAGCTTCGGGGTGACCAGCGGGCGCGGAGGAAGTTTTTGAAGTGGACGGCCGCGGCGTGGCGGACATGCTCGTCGGCGCCGCCCTCGGAGACCAGCCGGAGCACGGCGAGGGAGAATCCGTGCGCCTCCGCCGCGCGGGAGAGCTCCTCCTCCGCCTTCCGCCGCGGCTCTGGCAGCGGCGATAGAGTGTTGAGGAACCAGATTGAAAGATTCTCGAGAGTGATCGCACCACCGGGATCCATGGCGACGGAAATCTCCTGCGAAAACCCTAGGCGATCCGCCACCCGAGGCCCCACGAAGCTCACTCCCACCAGGCCGGAGACACGCCGCGAGAGAGATCGATCAGGAGCAGCAGCAGCAGAAGGAAGAGGAGGGTTTATGGGAGAGAGGATTTAGGGATGAAAGCTCAATTCAATGGTCTGCAGTGGCAACGATGCGGAAGGTATTCATAGGCCCGGGCCGGACTGCATTTATTAATGGGCCTGACCCAAATTTGACGGGCCGTACAACGGCCCACTTTCCTCCACCCGCCCAGTGTAGTATCGATGCGACGATATTTTTATTTTCTTATTTTTTGCGTAAAAAATGTCCAATTGTGTTTAGAAAAAATGTCAACACTTATTTTATTGAAGAAACATGGTTATTATTTTTTCAACCTTGGGAGCCGTGATTGAGGCCCCATTTTTGCCCGGGCCCCACAAACTCGACGAGCTAGCCACCTTTGATTTAGCGGGCCCGTTTTCGGGCCCGGACCGGCCCATTGGCCCACCTAATCGCCCACGTAACGAGTAGACAACGAATAGACGAGAGTGTGTGTGTGAGAGAGAGAGAGATAGAGAGAGAGGGAGAGGGGGAGAGGGGGAGAGGGAGAGGGAGAGGGAGAGGGAGAGGGAGAGGGGGGGAGAGAGAGACAGAAGGAGAGAGAGAGAGAGAGAGAGAGAGAGAGAGAGAGAGAGAGAGAGAGAGAGAGAGAGAGAGAGAGGGGGAGAGGACGATCTGTTTTTACGGGTCGAGAAGGAAGAGAAGATCAATCAATGAAACGGAAGAAGGGGGGAGAGGATGGCGGAAGAACATTCATTCATGCCCAAGGGGGGAAGCCCCAATTAAAGACGGCAAAAAGCTAGAATAGTTCATCGAGCGAGCATGGAAAAAAATGGGAAACGATTTCAGTTTCTGGTATCATGATCGACAAAACAGCGGAGAAGGAGAAGGGGGGAGGGGGTTGAAGGTTTTTCTCCTGAAGAATGCTCGATCTGAGAATAATGGGGGCCTAGAGAGATCTAGACGATACCAATGAGCTAACAATGGCGATCGAGGGAAAGGAACCCAAGATCGAAGTGAGTAATTTTCTGAGGGTAAGAATGAGGTAGCAAGAGAAAAAAGTGATAGATAGAGAGAGAGAGAGATAAATACCGGGCATATTCCAATTAGACGAGAATCAATCGGTGGCGGGGAAGAATCAACAGCCCATGACTGCACAGTTGTAGACGAAGGTGCCGGCCCTCTCCCGGACGGAGAGGACGCTCCAGTCGGCGGCGGCGCTGCCGCGGCCTGCCGCCGCCTCGGGGGACCAGGAGTGAAGCACGATGACCTCCCCCTGTGGACCTCGGTGGCCGCCGATGACCAGCAACCTGTCCCCGCAAGCCTTGAAGGCCAGGCCCCAGCCGTTGTAGGAGTCGGCCCGGACCGGGAGCGGCTTCACCACGTGCCAAGTGTTGTTGGCCTTGTCGTACTTCTTGACCTCGTTGGTGGACTGGTCGGCGGCGTAGAGCTGGTTGTTGACCACGGCGACCAGAGGGGGCGACTGGGTGGCCCGGTTCCCGCCCGGGTACATGTTCTTGATCCTCCTCCAGGTCCTGGTCTCCAGGTCAAACTCCTCCCCGCAGGTCAGCGAATCTGTGTGGCTCGGCATCCCTCCGATGACGTAGAACTTGCCGTCCATGAAGAACCCGGAGCAGAGCTTGCGAGGCAGGTTCATATCCGGGAGGGTCACCCAGGTGCCCAGCTCCGAGTTGTAGAGCTCCGCGCACTTGAGAACATTTCCATTTTTGTCGCTGCCGCCAGCAACAATGGCGATCTCTCCGCAGCTGCCGGATCCAAAGAGGCACCGGGGAAGGTTGAGCAGGGGGCAACGGGACCAGCCGCGGTTGACCAGGTTGTACATCCAGATGGCGAAGCCGGTCAACTCCCGGCCGAAGACGAGCAGCTGGGTGCCCACTGCGAGGGATTCCTTGTCGGCGTAGGAGAAGCACTCGTCGCAGGGCATGCGGGGGAGCCTCATCCATCTGTCTCTGGCGGGGTCGAAGGCCTCCCACGGCATCAGGCTGCAGGCCAAGTAGACCCAGTGCTCGATCATGCCAAGTCTCCTCCTGAGTTTGTAGAGATAGCCGCTCTTGATCAGGGAATGGAGCTTCTTGCTGACGCAGGCGAGGGATGGGTAGTCAGAGCGGCAGGTCCAGGCCAGGCAGTCTGAGGCCAGGTCGTCGGGCAGGCCCGGGAAGAGGGTGTCGTTCGATCCAGATATGTTGTCGTCCTTGGTAGATTGTGAGGTCACATTCTTGGAGAGGATGATGCTACTCTTGACCAGGATCATGTGAGCTAACAGATACCAGTGCTTCTGAAAGGAGCCAGAGTCATGGTTGAAGAAACTGTGGAGTTGGGACAAGACGCAGCCCTCGGGACCAACCATGGTCTCTTTACTGCAATTAGAATCTTCCTTTTTCCTGTTTGCCTTCTCGGTGGGCCCGCTTAGACACATCCAGCTAACTGTAATGTACACGATTGATGCTGGCAAAAGGAAGGAAGAGAGTCGGATATCGTGGAGATGAAAAGGCACACACCAACCCAGAGAGTTATATGGCATCAGGCGAGAAGCCTCAACAATCAAAATTCGAAACAGAAGGCACCCGTAGATATCCCTCAAAGTACCGTCAGAATCAATTCTTGTCCTTTCGAATGGTGGCAGAATGCGGTACCAGTGAAGAAAAATAGTATTCGCCGTTTTGAAGCATGGAGGAAACATGAAACCGATGAGGCATAAGGGGAAGAAAAACAATAGCGCATTGTAGAAAGAAAGCCAATGAACCCACGCGGGAAATTAAACTGTAATGTTCCTCACATTTGGCAGGGTGGAAGTCTGAGGAATCTAACAAAAGAAGGGAGGGAGGGAGGAGACCAATATGGACAAGAAAACGAAGAAATTCTTCTCACGATGATACCAATCTAACTGGGAAAACTCTCAAACCGTAAAACCGTCTAAATTATTAGTGTTACATAGACTAATATTTCCCGTACTGCTAAACTATAGAGCAGTTTGGCAATAGGAGGCGCAATGTGAATCCACACCAGAAGTGGAGCGTTGTGATGCAGATATATTACCCACCGATCGACGAAACGTCCGAATGTAACTAAACATATCGAACAATAGAGCGAGGGGATAAACAACGAAGCAAAGCTGAAAAATATAGAAAGGTCAAAAAATGTATTAAGAAAGACTCTCACCTCAGAAGGATTTAGTGCTTCATCACGGCATCACAGTCACCACGAACGTCATAAACGCTTGCATCTGCAACTGACGCATTCCGGGACCGGACAGATTCACAAGCCGCTAATCCCACGCACCAGTCTGCCACCCATCAGAACGTACTGATTAATGGCGAGTTGAGAAATAGGCGACGAATAGCAGATGTTTCAGATCGGAGCCCAGCCGCAAGAGAAACAGACCGAGAGAGGGCAACGTTCCCGTCTTCGACGAAACGCCTCACCTGAAATCTCGATTCAGCGTGCCTACAAAGAATATCACATGATGAACTACGGATCAAGAGGCCGCGCACGCGGACACAGCCTGTTCTACTTCCAAAAATCTGGATACCAGCATTAGTAATCCGGAATTCCTCGCCGATGATCGGATGAATACTCACCGCGGAGGAATCACCGAGACATCGCCCCCCGTCCATCGCTACGCTGCGCAGCGGCACTGGGAACCCTCCTCCGTCAAGCAACCTCCCCCAAGAGCATTGAGAAGCCGTCGCAAAACAGAAAACCCCGAAGTTCATAGAAAACAAAAACCGTATTATCACCTCCTCCGCCAGTCCCTCCGGATCGCCGGGATCCTACCGCCGCGCTCCTCCTCCGCCTCTCCGGCGGACGGGGGGATCCCGCGGATCGAGTCACCGGCTCTCCGCGCCGCCGCTCTCATGTGCTCCCCGCCGCCGCCATTGCCGCAGATCCGGCCACGAATCCGTCGCCACCACCGCCACAGATTCCTCCCCGCATGCTCGAAACCTTCCGCCGCAGCCGCAAGACTACCACCGCCGCCACCAATTCCTCGTAATCTCCGGCCGGCGGAGCAGCAGCGGAGGAGAAGGAACCAGCCAACTCCCCTCTTCCCTCCCCCTTCCCGTCGACTTTATAGCGCGGCCAAATCATCGCCCTCCACCAAGGGCACACCCCCGGGGAAAGCTCCCCCCCACTGTAGATAAAAACAGTAAGAATAATTATTATCATCCGAAAATGTAATTCCTTTTTAGGAATATTTTAATTAAAATATATTGGTATTCGTATTCTTATATCAATATTAATGCTTTAGTTTATATTTTTTGAACCCCCTGACAGGGTGGTTCTGGATAAGGAGCTCGGCTCCCGAGGATATTTCACCGGAGGCGGTCCGGTGCTCCGCCCAGTGAGGGCGCGAGCCGGCGAGGCTAGTGCTGAGGCAGGCCCGTCTTGTAGCGCGGAGCAAAGCGGGTGAGGATTGGACGGTCACCCGACCTACTCCGAGGCCCATGCCGTTGCTTGATCAGTAGAGCGACGGTCGGCGCCGCGGTAAATGGACGGGCGGAGGATTTCACCACGGGCGTTGTTATCGTGTCCTTCTCTAGCACATTTACAGAAAAACACCAGCTTTATTTGAAAATTTCATTCCAGAATTCTATTTTCTTTTTTTTGGATACTTCCCCCCCATCTGCACTGCCTTGTTAATGCTAGGCTGTCATTTGCCGGAAGAAGCGTGTGGAAAGGGGGCACGTGCGTTTTCCCACGTGTGATAATCGAACGGCGGAGGCCCTCTCACGTTTCGACCGCCCGGTAGCGCGATGTGACAGAAAGATGACGTCGGCAGCATGTGCAGGCGCATGCCCTACTGGTCCGAACGAGGACGAGGGTGACGCTTAATTAACGTGCTCCGAACGATCCTGGACGTCCGTTTCTCATCGCAGCCCCCCCACCGCTTCGACCAACTCGGGACGGCGCAGGCGCAGCGCCAAGAGCTCCTGGCGACGAGCGAGAACGTCGCGTCGGAGACAACTGGATCGAACCGGGCGTGTGGGCCCACAATAAATAGGTAGTTCCGACGTCACATTTGACCCGTTTTCGTGGTGGTGCAGGGAATCGGAAGGCTCTTTAATTAGGCGGGTCAGGGGACCACGCTCTCTGATTGGCCAATAGATCTGCGGCCACGCCGATTCTCATTGGTCCGACTCATCTCCACATTAGTCAACTATTAGGGCCGTGCCTACCCTACCATGCTAGGGCTGGTGCGGATAGGATTTCTTTTCTTTTCTTTTTTTCTTTTTTTTTTTGGCTGGGGGGCAAGAAAACTACCGTGGTTAGGTATTTTAATTTTAATCTACCAAAGTTGAGTACAAACTTTGGTGTTCATTAATAGCCAATATTTTTTTACTATATATTTATCATTTTGATTATTATGGGTAATGCCTAATCATCCCATTTACTGTTGGGCATAGAAAATATATATAAATACCCAATAATGGAAAGTCCGTCATTTTTTTTTGGTCTTTTATTTGATGTTTGAGAATAATGAGAGCTAAAATGGGAAAAATATTTATTTGACTATGAACTTTTAAAAATATTTGATTTTAATTATCTCACATGATTTTTTTTATTTTTATTTTTTATTTGTTTTCTCCCTGTGAATTTATATTTTTTCCAAAGGAAAATATATGTTACGGAGGGTAACTTTTCAAGAGAAGTTTGTTATGAGTATTAAATGAAGTCCACCAATTTCAAAGGGTTTTTGTGGAAATTCAGTCGAAAACTTTCGCCCACTTTCTACTCTTTAGGCGAAGAACTTTCCGGCCGGCATCATGCGATCTATGTAGGCATTGAATGTGAGAGGCCGGGTGGTGGTTTTTACTAGCTGGTCCTTCACTTGGGTAGTTTTCTATTTTTGTACCTCAAATACATAATATTTCGTTCCCAACCCAAAATGGATAACTTCCTCAAAACATGCGATTTTTTTGCTATAATTCAGTACTTCGTAAATTTGCCAGAAGGTTAGAATAAAATATTACTAATATACTCTCCCTTCCTATTCGCGCACTATTCAAACCACACCTAATTATATGCTGTCCGCTGGTTTTTGCTGGTAGAGAGAGGGAGAGATAGAGTGAGAAAGGTAGATAGAGAGAGAGGAGAGAGAGATAGGACAGAGAGAGAGGAGAGGGAGAAGAGAGAGAAAGGAGAGGGGGAGAGAGAGAGATAGGAATAAAGGCGAGGAGAGAGAGAAGAGAGAGAAAGAGGAGAGATAGAGATAAATGGATAGAGAGAGAGAGAGGAAGTAGTGTGTGTGTGTGGGGGGGGAGGGGGACAGCCATGAGACGAAGAAAACGAACTCCAAGCTTGGTCAGGGTTTCCATCTCATCCGATTGATCGCGGTGATCGAGACGAGAAGAATCTTCTTCCCTCTTCTCTTCTAAGGCGCTCGATCCTCCTCCTCCGGTAACCTCTTCTGGTTGGCCATCCATCTTCTTGATCGCCTCCTTCAGAGAGGGACGGGGCGATCCTTCGATCGCCGCGACCACTCCCGGAAGCTCCCCTCTCGCCCTTTCATCCCCTCGACTCTCTTCCAAACCTTGCAGGGATCCGTTCCTCGCCATTGATAAGGCAGTTGACCTTCCCGATCTTCGTCTCCATTGCGGAGACCCGTTCCTCGCCATTGAAGAGGCAGTTAACCTTCGCGATCTTCGTCTCCATTGCGGAGATCTGCAACCGAACCAGAGGAGAAGCTGTGAACTGGTCTTCCTCCCCGCCACTCCCATTCCCACGAAGATGATGGAACCCGAAGGGCGGCCCACATTTCCACTTGACAGACCGGGCCCAATAAAGCAAGGGCCATTTTCGGGGCCCATAACTAGGGTTGTCATCAGCTCTCTCTCTCTCTTGTTATATGTACGATATATAAATATATCTAGGATATTTATTTATTTATTTATTTATTACGGATTTTTTTACTATATTGGTAAAATCAATTACACTCGCTTATGAAATTTTTTCTTCTATTATGACACCTTTTTCCTTCCCCACATATTATACCAATATATATTTTTTATTTATTGAAATTGGGAAATTCCTTGGGCCCAAATTCGGTGCGGGCCCATGCAAAGGAAACTCTGGGTCAACTCCATACGTCTTGAAATCACCCATGATGTGTACCAAGATAGAGATAGAGAGGGACAATGGAACCGCCACGTGGGCAAATTAAGTGAGGCTGAAGACTCGTGATTAATGATGGCGCTAGAGTCTGGGTGAGTCCCATTTGTACTCTTAGCCCCCATTAAACCCGAGTGGCATCCACATCATCAGCCTACTTATGTCCTACTAGTTTAACTAATCCGTTGACTAATTAATGTTTTCCCATTTTAATTATCTGAATTTCCAGTACTTTGCTACTATTTCCGGTTTTTTTTTTATTGGCTCCATATTATGTCTCCTTCTTGGGTGGGTCAAACCCACTCCACATGGATTGCCAAGACTTAGCACCAGTTCATGCTCTCCCTCACACCTCCGATGGGGTTTATTCCATAGGTCAACTCGAGATGCTACTGCCAACTTGTCATCTTGAGGAATGTCAACCGTGGCGTTGACCTTAAGGCAGGTTTTTGTTTCTTTATTAGTCAGAAGAATTCCCCGTGAGGTCATTTGGGAATCTTATGATTCTTAGACAACCAATGAGAGTGAGCGAGAGAATTTATCTTCTTATTTATTTATCTTCTTTTATTCTCTGAAAATAAAATTATCCAGGAGTTCATATTCCCTCGTTCTCATGAGGTCACAGCTTGAATGCCCAGCTGACATATACTCATAGTGATATTATTATTTTGCGGATATTCCACAGAAATAATCGGAATAACTTAGGTACCCCCAATTAGTGAGAAATATATTGGCCGATGTGCCCTTGTTTTCATGTCGGCGTGAGCCCACCTTATGAATCCGTCCAACTTTACGGGCCACATTTATATTGCAGCGGGAATCGAGTGACGGTCGTGGTCTGCGCTGTAAATAGGCCAACCATAGGGGTATGATCGTACATGTACTGAAAAGGAGGGGGTATTTATGAAAACGTACAGATAAAGTCAACACTTGCTATGTTGTTGTACTTCACACGTGCGGCTCGATCCGTCTCCTCCCCCCCCCCCCACCCCCCCCGCGTCCTTCCCTACGGCTGGGGTTAGGGCGTTTGGAATCGGTTTGCTAGGAATCCGCCGAGGCCATGGCGGCCCGTCGTCTTCAAGAGTTTGGGGAGCAAAGGAGGGAGAACCCCCCTCCCCCCTCTCTTCCGTTCCCACCTTTCCAGATTGGGGTTAACTTCCTTGACTGAAATTCTCTCTCCTCACCTCAGCCAAGCTCTGACGGAGCTTGCCCCAGAGAGAATCCCCTCTTAATCTTTGTTGGATTATCGAGGGGCAGCACAGGCGTTGACTCGGGCCCATCTTGCTAGATTCGGCTACGAGGGTTGACAGACAATGAGGTCAGCAAAGATGGGATTTTTATCACTTTTTCTCTCTCTTTTAGCTCTTGTGGGAGGGGTTGTAGCTTGCTGATGGGAGGAGGTAGGCTCGTAGGCCTGTAGATCTACCTTCCCTAGGGAGAGAGGGAGGAGGGGGGCTCGCCTGAAAGCCGGGTATCCTTCACTTTCGCCGGTAAACTCATTAGGGTTTGTTGATCCAACCCTAGAATTCGATCATGCTAATAAATGGTAATCCGGTTTCTCTCTCTACCCGGTTCTCCAGAGACCCACCCATCCCCGCGGGTTATCTTTCACTTTCGCGAGTAAACTCATCAGGGTTTGCTGATGCAACCCTAGAATTCAATCATGCTAGTTAATGGTAATCTAGTTTCTCTCTCTACCCGGTTCTTCAGAGACCCACCCCCGAGGTTATCCTTCACTTTCGCGAGTAAACTCATCAGGGTCTGTTGATCCGACGCAGAATTTGACCACGCTAATAAATGGCAATCAGTTTCTCTCTCTACCCGGTTCTCAGGCGGGGACGAAGGAGTGAGAGACTTCTTCTTGGGAGAAGTTTCCTCTCCCGGCTACACTGGAAGGGTTTTAAGGGTTTTGGACGGAGGGAGGAGGTGGCGGCGGGGAGACTCCAGCGCCGCCGATTGGACCCGGATCATCCGGCGGGCTGTCCCCTCACCCCCTCCCCCTCCCGCCCCCCCGCCGACGTCGGATGCGTACCTAATGACTCTAAATCTCACGGGGCCTAACCACGGCGGCGGAGAGATGGGGACGGTGCCGCCAGCTGGCCGTCGCCGGTGAAAGCGACGGGGACTGTTCCTCACTCGCCGGAGCACCGCCGTTGGGGGGGGTGGGGGGACCTCGCCGCTGACGGAGGAAGGGGACAGCGGAGACTGTTCCCATCGTCGGTGGCGGTGGCCGGCGCCGGAGGGGATGGGCGGGTTGGCGCCGCTACGGCGGCGGCGCGCCCATCCCCCCTCTGAGAGAGAAGAGAGGAGAAAGGTTGAGTTTTTGGCAAGCCCACCTGCCGCCGGCGGAGCTCCGGCGGGATGGTCACGTCACTGCACCGGAGATGGGGGAACACGTGGGGGTGGGGCACAACTGGGGCCCACACGTGCGGTAACGGGTAAGATTTAACGCGCGGCAGTTGGGGGAGAGCTTTACCCCCGCAAGAAAAGGCAAGAATTCCTCCGGATGGATATTAAATCGAGGAAACGGATGATTGGTGGTGGGCGGAATATAATAATCCGCGGTGATCTCATTCACAGGGCCATGTGGGTCCCATTGGGACCATGGGTCCGACTGGGGCTACGTCGTCATCTATGGGGCCCACGCCCTTCTGTGGGATTTCATGGTCGCCTACTCCTATCTAAGCTCCGCCACCACGTCACTCGGCAAGTGGGGTCCCACCTGTGTTGTGGGCCCCACTAATGGCGGTGTTCGGTGGATCCACTTCACCTCTCTACGTCAGCATGGCCCTAACACTTCGGAGGCGGCCAGGCAGCTCGTCCCTCTCTCTCTCTCTCTCTCTCTCTCTCTCTCTCGCTAAAATCTCTCTCTCTGTCTCTCTGTTCAAGACATTGGCTTCTCTCTGTAAACTTCGTGTTTCTCACTCTGTTAAGCGTCTATCCGGCTGTGGACCTTTTTATCGCTCTAGCAGAGACCGCAAAACTCTAGCTTTGAGGTTGACCCATGCCCCTATTAATACTCCGCTCCCTCTCGAGCCCCCTCGACTTCAAGATCCCTTCTCCTTCTCCCCCCCACACCTCTCTCTCTCTCCCTCTCTCTCTCTCTCTTGGTCTTCCCTCCGCAGTCCCCCGAACTCGGGAGGGCCCTCGCCCTTCTCTCTCTCTCTCTCTCTTCTCTCTCTCTCCGCCTTCAGGACTGAGATGAGCTTCCTGTGCATGATGGAGGCGAAATTGCCTCCGGGATTCCGGTTCCATCCGAGGGACGAGGAGCTCATCTGTGACTACCTCGCGAGGAGGGTCGCCGGCGACGGCGACGGTGTCCCTATGATGGTCGACGTCGACCTCAACAAGTGCGAGCCCTGGGATCTCCCCGGTGCGCCCCTCTCTCTCTCTCTCTCTCTCTCTCTCTCTCTCTCTCTCTCTCTCTTTCTATCTCTCCAGCATCTCAATTCCCCCCTTCCATCCAAGCTCAGATCAAAACCTACGATTCCTCCCTGTTATTTCTCCACAATTAGATCTCATCTCCCCTCCTCCTCTTCTCTCTTCCCCCTTCCAACGTGTTCTCACATCCCAAGCTCACGATTTTCTCACCCTCTCCCCTCTCCTCTCTCTCTCTCTCTCTCTCTCTCTCTCTCTCTCTCTCTCTCTCTCCGCTCCTCTTTCTCTCTCTACGTGTGATCTTCAGACGATCATCCTCCTCCAAGGGGGCCGCCGCCGTTTACGAATGTCGACCCCTCCACGGGGAGGGGGCTTTAATCATTCTTGAAGCCGTATTTATTGCGTCATGGAGGCTAATCCGGGGGGGCTCTGCATGTGATTCCATTGCAGGCTCCCTCGCAGCAGCCATTCATACCAAGCACATGGCTTCCACGCCGTCCGCCACATGCCCAATCAAGCACCCGCAATCCCTCCACCACCACCTCCTCCCATACTCTTCCTCCTCAATACTACTCCCACTAATTCCATAATTGATCATGAATCCAGACGGATTTCTTTGCCCACTAATTTCCGCTTCTGGGTTCCTCTTCCTCGCCCAAATCACGCCATCTCCGGCGTTCTATGCCGATTTTTCATCGTCCGGGAAGCCCTAAAATCTCCGGTGTAACAGTTCTTCGTCTGAGCTCCGGCGGCGATTCTCGCCATGACCCATCCTCCCAAACCGCCATGATTTACTGATAAAGTAGGCTGGGAGGGGAAATCTTTGTGTTTGGACGCCTTGTTTGGGGATTATAACCGGGCAGATTCCATGACGAAAGACAAAAAGTCTCATTAATTGAGAAACGAGTATAATAAGTGGGGGGAGATATTGGGATTTGGGCTGGTTGATCCAGTCATGAGGAGGTTCCTTCCCTTGGTTTTGCTTATCACCCATCATTTAGAACTGCCACAGATGGAAGAACAACCAAGTTAATTAACCTCTCCACCACTGGGTTGATTCCAGTGGTTTTGCTCAGGATCTTCCTTTCGAGTCTTTTTTAATTGATTAATCAGCGTGATTACATCGCTTTCGCTCATAATCTTCGTTCATATCCTTCCTAGTTGTCTGATCGACACGAGAATTCCTTGGTTACGAGCGCCTCAATCTCTTCCTCGCGGGGTAAAGATCCCAGTGAGTTTGCTCGTGATCTTCGTTCAAGACCGTCCCAACCGAGTAATCTGGGTGCCGAAAGTGAAAGCTTTGGCGTTTCCTATTGACCAAGGCGGGGTTTGTTCAGGCAGTCTTGATCGCGGCTCGTCTCCCGAAATGGGAATCTTTTGGGGAAAAAAAAATTCGTTGGAGGGGGTTTCCTCGCTGAGACCCCCACCAAAGTGGAGAGATCACCGGGCCAAGAAAATGAAGGTTTTTAGATCTGGGTTTCCTTGTTCTTCGATCAAGGCTGATTCAGGAGGGTTTGCTCAACACCCATCTCTCAGAAATGGAAGTTTCAGGGGGGAAGTTTCATTTTTTGACGGATATTGAAGGGGATAATATTTCTGCCAATGCTCATGATACGTTCCCTACCAATCAACTCGTCGTGTGGATCCTTCTGCATTTCCATCGCCTCCCCCGCTCTCTCTCTCTCTCTCTCTAGATACCACCAAAAGAAGAATACCCATCATCGCCATGAAAGAAGGTACTCCTCCAAGGCGTGCTTCATCCCTATCCATCACCTCCTTTCCGTTCTCCACCATTATTGCCACTCTGCCACCTTCTTTTAGCGCTTTCGGGTCCTCGGAATCCCAGCAGAAGAGAAAGGAGTTTTAACCTACATCCCGGCGATGGCACGCAGAGAGAGAGAGAGAGAGAGAGAGAGAGAGAGAGAGAGAGAGAGCTTGAATGTGTTAGACTGACGTGACGACCAACTAACGGCATGACACCAGCTTACTAAAGCCGCCTATGTTTCTCAGAGACAGCGTGCGTGGGTGGCAAGGAGTGGTACTTCTACAGTCTGAGGGACCGGAAATACGCCACCGGCCAGCGGACGAACCGCGCGACGGTCTCCGGCTACTGGAAGGCCACCGGCAAGGATCGCCAGGTGGTCGACCCACGCCGCGGCGGGCTCGTGGGCATGAGAAAAACCCTCGTCTTCTACCAGGGCCGTGCTCCCAAGGGCAAGAAGACCGACTGGGTCATGCACGAGTTCCGCATGGAGGGCCCCGCTTCCCTTCCACTCAAATCCTCCTACAAGGTACACCTCTTTTCTTTCCCCAATCATCCGTTTCCGTGCGTATGATGGAGAGATATGTAGCGAGAGAGAGAGAGAGAGAGAGAGAGAGAGAGAGAGAGAGAGAGAGAGAGAGAGAGAGAGAGAGAGAGAGAGAGAGGTATGGGTATTGGAGATGATGGGTATGCGGCATGGACAAGTTAGGAACGAAGAGGACGACTCGGTAGGATTTGACCGGAGAGGCTAGATTCAGAGGGGGTGTTGTCAATGGAATAGTGAATCGAGCTGAACCATTAAAAGATGGAAGGGGAGGGAAGAAAGTCGCGGGTTATTAGTATATTAAGAGATTGGAAGAAGGAAGAAGAGATGATGATTAGGTTCGAGAAGACAAAACCTGGGTTTAGAAAAGGAAATCCAGGGGAGCTTTCGTCTCTCCTACGGAATCTTCCCCCCTTCTCCCGGTAACAGTCCAGAGTTCCCCGAGACTTTCCTTCCTTCATCCCCCAACCCCTCCCTTTCCTCTTCTGTTGCTTTCAGATCCCCCGTGGAGGATAATCCTCAGACATGGTCGTTGCTGGCTCTTGTCTTCTCCCTCCAAATTGGCCTCGGCGTTTGGTCGTGAAGGAATTTCATATGATTCAGCAGGTAGCTGGCTGTTGCATCATCCAAGGAGGACATAGGAGAGAGAGAGAGAGAGAGAGAGAGAGAGTTGCAAGTTGATGAGTCGCTATCCGCTCTTAAAGAAAGGGAACTAGAAGACGGCGGAGTCTCATTGAATCAAGCTTTCGTCAAAAGACCGGCGAGGGTGGATGCTCTAGCTGAATAGTATCCCAATGCTCGTCGCTGATTGAAGTTGAGTGCGACAGTCTGATATGTTTTAGGGTTTCAGAGAGAGAGAGAGAGGACCACGACTTCAATTATTACTAATTACCTTTGAGTTGGATGATCTGACTGGTTCTTCTGCGGTATGTGATCAGGAGGATTGGGTGCTGTGTCGGGTGTTCTACAAGAGCCGGGGGCTCTGCTCCAAGCCCGGCGGTGAGAACTGCTACGACGACACGGGATCATCCTCTCTGCCGGCCCTCATGGACACCTTCATCAGCTTCGAGCACGCCCCGATGAGTCTAGATGGCAACGAGCAGGTGCCCTGCTTCTCCAGCTACCCTTCGGGCCAGCCTCCGCCGCGCCAAACGGTGGCGCCGCCGCCGCACGGCGGGCCGTCATCGTCATCGTCGCCGGCGGCGGCGGCGGTGGCGGGGGGCTACGCGCCGATGCTGGCGAAGAGCTTAGCTCACGGCGGCGGAATACCGGATCTCGTCCCCTACCTGAACCCCTTCCCCAGCGAGAAGAAGGCCCTCAAAGCGGTCCTCGACCACCTCACGAAGATGGGCGGCCACATGAAGTCGGAGGGGGCGGCGCATAACCCGGCGGACGGGAGTTCCGACAGTTACCTGACAGAGACCGGCGGCGCCGCCATGTGGAATCCTTTTTGACGGAAGGAGGAAGTAACCGGCGTAGGTAGAACACATAAATTGCCCCGTCTCGTTCAGGTAAAACTGCACCATCATCTACAGTGATCCAATCCTCTCTATACACGAATGGCCTCTCATTATCAGATCTATAAAGGACTTCTTTCTCACACTGTGAATCAACTTTCTCCATATATTTTTTATTTTTTATTTTTCACTGTGCGTTCCATTAGGATTGCTCTGGGGAGGGGGGATGGGTTCCTTGTAAATTATTGATTACGGTTGAAGAGAGATAAGGAGAGAGAGAGAGAGAGAGAGAGAGGGAGAGAGAGAGAGAGAGAGAGCATGACAGGGAAGACCACGAATTATAGAATAATAACGTGGGCTGCTCCGTCTTGTGGCCACTGGGAATTCTACTAATGGCCTTGGTTCCTAGAATACTATTCATTCGCGATGGTTCTCTTTCTTTCCCCATCGATGAACATGCTTTATTAATGAAGCATTAATTGCCACATATATAATATTTCGCACCAAGGTTGAAGCATGATCAAACTTGATGTCCTAATCGATGACCGTCAGATTGTAATACCATTCCCTTTGGCATTGTTTGATCGAATCAGGTCGGATCAGTTTGCAATTATTGATCACCTACTGCTGATATTGATTCAGAACATGATCTCACCATCCTTATTTTTTTGTTGTAAGAAGATCAATAAAATAATACTATGATTGTGCAAGGTTCAGGCATATATTATGAGATCTTTTTCACTAGCATCGGAGATGTCGAGGGGTCATGCAAGACCCAGACCTAGAACGAGAAGATACGTCATGGGCACAATTTCTATTTCTACTTCTTGGAAGGTTAGGAGCTTTCCTTCCGTATCCATGCGTCCATTGCATGGTCTCCCATATGGCTCACCCTAGCTCTCTTACTCATATATATATATATATATATATATGGCCAGCTAACATGGACTGCTGGGTCAAGCTTGAGGTTTCGATGGATGCTCATCGGAAACAAATTTCTTCACTTTTCTATGGGCTAGGTCATGAACTTTGAATATATATCATGGTACAATAAAAAATCATTGATACCATAGTTATCATGTTAATATGCCATATATATGTATATCAACTTGGGTAATATATCCTATGTATGTCATTCATTTGATCCATATAAATGAAGAGGAAAAAGCTTGGCGGCTGATTCTACCCAACGTGATATTTCTACCATATCCCACATTAACTTAATGTTCTTGGTAGACAAGATGATAAATCATAGAGTAATGGCTCTCCTCATGTCGTACATCAACATCCACATAAATAGTTTGATCAATATGTAGCTTTGAGATCCAACATGCCCCACACACATATAGTGTAGAAAGCCATCAATGGCTAAGGCATGCCTGATGACTAGGCCCCACCTTCTGGTCCACGACTGAGACAAGTCCATGCTTTTATTAATGCCAAGAATTGAAGCCCGAAGCCCATTTGTTCGTCCTACAACCCCCCTCAATCACTTTTCTCAGATGCCATGCCATGCCATCAGCTGGGGTCCAAGTTGGGCTAAGGCTCACTATGTGCCCACTTATGGACCATTTTCTAGGCTTTTCTTGACATGACATTAGCCTACTGGGGCCCCACTTGTTGACATCTTCAAGCATCATATCTTGATGGCCATTTGTCTAATCCTCACTAACTAAGCATCATACCTTGCCCTACCAAGAAGAATGAGTGAAATAAAAGCTAGCCTTTAGATCACTAAACCATGGTGGGTTGGGAATTTCATGCGCATATCTACCCATGTGATTCGCATACTTATCCATCATGTGTGTGTGGGGAGGGGGGGAACTCCAATATTTCAAAATTTGTTCATTTTACCGTCATTAAGAACAAAAGTCTTAGATTAAGTAATAAAAAGAGGCCTTTTATAAAATAAAAAATTATCCTAAAAGCTGTAGATAAGATTTCAAAAGGACACAATGCCAAATAAACTAAATTTGGGTCTATGAGAGAAGTGAAATTCCGTTGGTTGGCACGCAGAGCTAGATGTCCACGTCAACACGTCTCGTACATAACAGCATCCCAACTGACCGATCACGTGCTTTTGGCCGGGGCGCAAGTCGACGTCCCTGTCACCCACGTGGCCAGTAAGCCCACTTCCTGGATTTCGTACCTGCGGGCTTCGAACAGCCTGGTCCAACTGACCCAACCGCTTTTGGCTCGCCTGACTGCCGTGTTAAACATGAGAAAAAACCCATATGTAAATAATTTAAAATACTAACCCTCTCTCTCTCTCTCTCTCTCTCTCTCTCTCTCTCTCTCTCTCTCTCTCTCTCTCTCTCTCTCTCTCTCTCTCTCTCTCTCTCTCTCTCTCTCTACGCAGGATATCCCGTTCATTACTAGGTGAGAATGGATTTTTTTCAGAATAATTTTTTAAATTTATTTTAGTGCAAATAATAGTTGTAATACATTATGAAGATAATAAGTAGGTGAAGAAAACTGTGGAAATGCTATTGTGAAATTCCCAAAATAAATGTGTTTTAACATATTAATTCATAAAATAGTTGACACCATTGGTAATTATATTGACTGAATTGTTACACACGTTGTTGGATATATATTATATGAGCTTACATTTTACTTGCACCTTCTCTCTTAACTATATTTTATTTTATTGAATAATGGAACAATGTTCTAGTGATAAGGGAATACTAATATTATCTTATTAAGAGCATAAATAGAAATTCACTCATAGGAATAAAGTGTCATAGGCATATTCTTAATATGGCATAGAAATCTAAATGAGCGATCAAAGAAAAAGAGTTGAGTGGAGAGGAACAAGGGCTTGATCCAAAAATCAAGTAATTTATTGAGATATATAAACGAAAATCCCTAGATGTATCACCAATACTAGGATTAAGTTTTTGGTAGATAGATCATGCCCACATGTCATCTTGGGCACCATGAATACACAATGTCTAGAGACCTTGATAGTTCTGTCTTGTGATATGTTAAGGGTCTCATCATTGTTAGCCCTTGCCTCTAGGCCTGTAACTAATAAGTCAACGGGTCTACAGGGTCTAGATAGTGGCAAGTGGCAGCCTAATAAGAGAGAGAGAGAGAGAGAGAGATAATATGACAAGTTGAAAGACTATAATGGATGTATTACTTTACTAATAGAAGAATACACAAGCAATGAAAAGAGAGAAAGAGAGAATAGAGAAAATAAAGAAAAGATAAATCCGAGGGACCCCAAGAGACCCTTCAAAGGGAGTTGATTTAAGATAACTAATCTTCACTTTGCCACTTGAAGATACAAAACTCAATTAACTCTCTATATCCCACATGGTGGAAGGAGGCGGTCTTCTTATAGTTGCAATAGCCTTCATCTAATGCTCCTTTTTGCCTAATTGCCTAATTCAAACCTTAATAGGCCATCCTTTACATGACCCTTCTCTAGGCTTAATGGACCATTGTTAGTTGATAGACTTGTGGTTTATTGTTGACTATTAGAATTTTTTCCATATGTTAATTGGGATCTATTCCCACAAGGGTGAGGGATTGTGGCTAATGGCTCAATAATACTTTACCCCTATGAGACTCACCTTGTCTTCATGGTGAAAGTTGAAAAGTTATTGGTACATAATCCAAGTTGATTCCAAGTGACCTTGGAAGTTGACAATTTTTATCATTTGATGAAGACTTTGGCCCAAGCAGATCATGATGGATGGCTAACACTTTAAAAGGTTTTAAAGCCCAAGAAAGGTATTTGTTTAGTCTTAGTGGGTTGACTAGACCAAAGGATGTTGAGGCATCTCCCTTCATAAGTTATGAGATGTGGAAAATTAGGTGGACACTAGTTGTGAGTAGGTCCAACTAATATATCATTGGCCCACCTAGTATGAATGACAAAAGTGCATGAAGATAGCTTTTCGTAAGGCCTCCTTGCAAGATACTTTTATTGATAAGGGTGGAGTCAAAGTTAGAAAAAGTCATCTAACCTTTATCTAGTTCATCTAGTAGTTTTCATGATTAGAATTAGAAATTGATTATCTAGTTCATCTAGTAGTTTTCATGATTTTTATTTGAAATTTGAAGCTTGATAATAGATCATTTGAAAGTAGATGGTGTCCATGCCCAACATTTTAAAATAATTTTAATTATTGTAGTCTTTTGAAATATTCATATTTGAAGGACTTATGTTAATTAGTTTAGAGTTAGGTTACAAAGTTACTCAATGATCTACACCTCTACTAGGGAGAAGTCTTTTTAGTTGGTTAATGTCTCAAAGAATTTGAACCTCATTTATTCCTTAAGTGGGGAGTAATTTTATTTTAGGTTATTTTTACATCAATCATAACATCTTGTAATATATATCTCTCTTTTTAATATTTCTATGTAGAGACTTGAGAGTGATGATCAATTGAATTTTCAGAGGTTTGTCTTGAAAATAATTTATCATAATATAAATATAAAAGAAAATTATTGTTAAAAGTCTAACTTAGTTTTTCTTTAGACTTCATTCACTAAATTTCAAAGATGGCATCAATTGTAGCCAAATGGAAGAGTATTAGATCTTTGTGAATAGACGTGGTTTGTACGTTGATCATTGATGATGATTCTTTGGTAGATTCTAGTTTTAGCCACCTATTGCCTGATTATGGTAATCACTTAACAGTTTGAGATAATTGAGGCTAGAAGGTTAAGTTATTTAATGATGTTATAACCCATGAGGTTGTGGGTTGTTCCACTATTGGTGAGAACTATAGTAAGTTTGTTATTGATCTCTCCTTGAAACTTTAATAATCAAATAAAAGATTATTGATAAGGGAGTCTAATAATAACTGAAGATTGAGAGCATGATCTCCTTTAGAAGGGATGTTAATTGATTCTTTCATACTTCTTGTAGCTCTAGAAGAATGTTAGTATTGTCTAAAGTGAAGATGATATATAGAATCATCCAAAAGTAATACTTCAATAATATATTTTTTTTATTTGAGAAAAATATGTCTTAAATACAT